ATGATGATGATGATTACGTGGTAGCAGTGATGAAACTTGTAATTTCTGCAAGTATACAAGCCTTGGTCATTAATGAGATTGAAATACTGACAGGCTACCAATTCTCTCACTCAGTACGAGATTAGTCTACCCATGAAGTTTGCCACACAATTGCCACTTAAGTGAAACAGAAACAAAAACAGCTTTCAACAGTGAAACGACTGCATACACTACAGGACTAGGCATTAAACTTGTGAGAGGTCAGCAACAATTAAGTACTGTCAATTAACACAATGAGATCAAAGTACTTTTCAACTTCACAAAGATAAACACTTTTGAAAAGGTGGAGTAATGCTTATCTTGTTTGATCCCAGTTGTACTCCCATGAGGGTTTCATACAGAAATCCCTGTATTTCCAAAAAAGCATGGCATAGTTTTCAAAGCATTCATACCACTGATCTCTATATTGTATGCAGAGGATACATAGCAGTCACACCGATGCCACTGCTGTTTGCCTAATACCTGGTGTAGAAAGTAACCTTCAAAAAAAAACCCGCAAGATGACAAAAAAAAATAGCCAAATCAGCTATGATGGGTAAATATAGAAATCATAGTATCATTGGAGTATCATCATAGCATGATTGTCTGGCATAACTGGGATTTCTGTCACTGCAGAATTGCACAGGGCAACTCAAATCTATGTATCTGAAGTGCTGTTACCTCCCTGCATGTCTCCTGTTGTTCCTGGCTTTTTTGTCTTTTCCATCCTGAAGCATCAAAGTTACCATGGAAACAAGCAGTGGCATTTATGTATATTTGTGAGCCTTACCCATACATGGCATGACCTGCACCTGGTGGAGCACATCCCTGTGGAATGACACCCTGCAGCGGGATATGGGCACTGGCAGAATGAGACAGTGATGAGCACCACCCTGGAGAGGGGCTCCAGGAGCAGGGCCAAACGCCTTCCAGAGAAGAAAACTTGTAATTCCTTGTGCTATTGCTGAGTGGTGGGGAGTCAGCAGCTTCCTCAAAGCTGGAGGAGCTGGTAAGAGATAGGACTCTGGGGACAAGTATTTTGGACACAGTGCAGTGACACTTTTTCTCCACTCAGTGGGGACAAGCTGGAGTGTGACATCTAGCACCACATGTGACTTCTTTTAGGCAAATACGTAATGGAAATAATTTTGGGTATCATGGCATGAGGACATAGGGTCTATCTAATTTAAGCTTGCCTTAATTTGCCAACTTCTCAAGAGGATTTCAGTAACAAAATAACTAGAAGATAAATCTGCAGACACTCGCGTAATGTTGGAAATTTAAAACTTGAGTGGATGGCATTAAGTGGCAGACCAAAGTACTTTGACTCTTCAAGCTTTAGATAGATCTTGCACCCTTTCTGTTTATTCAGGTGGACTTAGATAAATTACATCAGCTTCTTGACTCACAGTGATGAGAACTGGAACACCAGAAACCCAGAACTGCTTCGGTTTAGATGCAATGAAATTAGGAGGACAATTCCATCTACTTAGCCCAAAACTTTCAGAAATGATGAATCAAGTTTGTTCACCATAATTTTTGATTGGCCAGTCTAAGACCTTATGAAAGCATGAAGAATTGCTGTTCAGAAAATACAGCTCACCCTCTGGAACCTGATAATTATAAAAAATATCCCCAGCTGGACACCTCTGGGTATTCAGGCATTCTGTAAGTAGTGTTACAGTAATGCAACCGGGCACTAGTAGTTATTTATAGTACTAATTTTTTTAAATTAATTCTGGAACACTTCTGCCCTGTGTTAATGTGTATTTTTATAACCAGTAAAGGCACTTGTATGTAAATAACCTGTATAGGAAATTGTGTTCTTTTCTCATGTGTCCTTTTCTCTCTGTAATTTCGTTCCTTCTCCATTACTCAGAGGACAAGCAGGGATGAAAAGAATAAATCAGAATTATCATTCTTGCAAAATAATAGGCTGAAAAAGTGTTGTCTCTCAGTGATTTCCATAAAGAGACAGAACTTTGTGGTGTAAGAAATTGGAAAGGAACCATAATAACTTTCCATTATATGAGCCTTGGTATTTTTAGCTAGAATGAGAGGACAAATGGGGAATTCAAGAAAGTGAGCCCAAGGCATGAGCATTTGTTCTGAAACTCACACATGATAGAACTAAGGGAGAAAAATATTCTGCTAGTAAGAACAACAGAAGCTTCTACTACTAGAACACATCTCAGGTGATCCTCAGAGGTATAATGACAATTTTAAACTCCCTCCAAAATCATGTCTGCAGCTAGGCCAGTGGCTACATGGGACAACTGGTAATACAAAGCTGGGCAGTTGTTTCAGAGAACTCTTAGTATGTGATGGAGTGTGGATGGCTTCCAGCACTCATCAGCAAATTTTAGAGCCCCAACACTTAGAAAATTCTAACATGATTTAGTCCCTAAACAACATGGGCATTACTTTTTATGCTGCACAAGCATTTGGAGGCCTGAACTGGTTCAGCACAGGCAGAGTCCAAAATAAATATGGCACTTTTGCTCCACTGTTTAGTCATAATACAGTCTCTCTGGAAGAGGGAATGCTGCTTCCTACTTGAGTTCAGGTCTGGATGTTTTAAGTACCAATGAGGCTAAGGAATAATTATCAGCAGTCTACACTTCTCTTTCCCTCATTTTTAGTCAGCTGCTGTTTATATCCAGGTGAAGAGAGAATAAAGTGTAAGTTTCTGCTGATTTAGTGGATTCTTAACTTGCTCTCAAAATTAAATGCCTTCTGGACCAAGAATAGGTTTTTTTGGGCCATCAGCCCCCCTAACACCTCAAAGATGCTCTTAATAATCTGCAGTTTATTATATATGCACTGCCTCAAAAGTTTCTCCATTTATTTTGAAAATATTAGATATGCATTCTAGCTCCAGGATACCTTTCCACACACAAAAAAATGGAAACATCTCATATAAGCCCCTAATTTTTGTAAAAGTGGCTATATAAGAAGCGTTACTAGCAACTGCTGTGGAAAGCTTACTAGATATGACACTGTCCACATCTGAACATCTGAAGGATTGTGGCTCTCAGCCCCACAAACGTATTACTGTTTCAACTGACAAAATCACCTAAAAAGAGATGTGCTTTCCATGACTTTTATTGAGTATGATTCCACTGTTAAGTTTCCCTGCCCTATAGCTGCGCCAGACAAATATAAAAATGTGAAGTACACAGGTACTGTCTGTACTTCCTTGGCTAGAGAGAGACATCCAAAATCAAAAGTAGTTTCACAGTTAATCCTGAAAACACCTCAGAATTTTTTACTCTTGTCCCTCCAGCTTTGTAATTTATCTTTGCCAGTACCTGGCACAGGATGCTTAAGGGAGAGTACAAGATGGTTTCCACAGCTGAGAATTTGTTCATTAGCACTGCCCAGATGCATGGCCTGAAATGATGTGAAAATGACTACTCAGCCTGGCCAGAAGGTGCAGCTCTTGACGCACACCAGTAATGACACACAGACACAAGTGCACTGGTGGGGAAGCACAGACACAGCACCTGTCAGCCTTAAGCACTCAGCAGTGTCAGATCTGTTACCTTCATATACAAAAAATCTACAACCATTTTGCATCTTCAGTTTTAGAATTTAGAGATGGCAAAGAACTGTACAGTTTGGCAATGCAGTCTGTAAAGCACATTCTTTCTTCTAGTATGCCATGTTCCTTGTGCAGGAGGGGCAACATGCAACTTCCAAATTCAGCCTTGTCGTGCTTATGAAGAGTACGGTGTGTGTATCAGGCACTTGTGGACTGCTGCCAGGAAGTAAGAACATGCTGGCATTTTGCACTCTTATGAGAATAAATCTATTAGTCAAAATCAGCTTTCAAACCCTACATACCTTGAAACTGCAAATAAACTTCTCATCAGAGAAAGTCTTTATTTGCATGAGAGAAGGGAATAAAAAAAATTAACATCCCTAAGTTTAACACGAAGAAGACACAGGACGTCTAACTCACCAGGAGCTTAGGAGACATTATTCCCCCTGCTCAAAAGAGCTGCATGAACATGATCTCTTTGGCATGATGGCAACAGTTTTCAAGTTGGAAGGGGAGACTGTTCATTTGTCCTTTACTCCAAGAACATGAGGTACTGTGAGCATTTCAGTGGAAACAATTGGATGGCCTACACAAAGCCACAGAGGTAGAAGAGAGATTACTCCAGATTTTCAGGTAGATGGTGCCTGATGAGGCATAACAATTACAACACTGATCATTCTCTTTAATAAGCAAGTCACCACAGCTTTTTACTGAAAAAGGTGAAAAGAAGCTTTATTTTAACATACAAATCAGATAGTGTACAAGGCAAAACATAACTTTATAGTGAAAGGCAGAGTGGGTCTCCACACACCATGTGTAGCCACTTGCACTACACTAATCCTGAGATATGGACAGAAGCCCTAAAAATCCCTAAAAATCTTTAATTATTCTTGCTATAGTCACCTCCATTTGGGAATTAAAAACATTACACGGTTTGGAGTCAGGAAAACAAATTACCTATAAGTAAAATACCCAAGATAATGGTCTAACTCCCTACTGTCATCCAGGTATACCAGCAAGAGCACTTGAAGAAATCAAGAGATGGAAATATGCAAGGTTACTTCATTAACACTGGAAAGCATACATAGAAGGATGCTAAGGTATTTTTGCTACCTTCAACTACTACTGTCTTCACAAACTGTGTGGTCTATGTGTCAAGCTTACATATCCCTTGAATTTACCAAAGAGTTCTCTACACTGTGTCTGAAGTTAGTAAAAAAAATCTCAACTTTGTTTCCTTTCAATATGAAGTTATATGTGATATAGAAATATTTTTAAAAGCTTATAAAAGCAGTAGAACTAGACATTTAAAGTTATTTCCCTAATATTAAAGGCTACTTGAACACCCTCATTTTGCTACAAGACTGTGTTTTTCATTAAATGACATCAAAAAAAGGAAGTCTCTTTTTTAAAAGAAGTTAAAGGTAAGGAAGTTATAGACATGTTTGGAGTTTTTCTTTAGTTTTGCAACATATAAAAATAAGTTACACTATATATTATGGCTTTCATTTATTTATCTACTCATTTAGTAGCAGTGTCGTCATGGATTTAAACAGTAGATGCAAATTAACCTGCCATGTTCTTCAGACTTCTGTGAAAAGAAACAAGCATATATTAGAAGGAAAATTAAGAAGCCTCCAGAAAAACTTAAATAGCAAGAAGCACTTGTAGAAGTCTTTCAGGGAAATTTTTAACTCAATTTAAAATTTTCATTTGATTTTTAAAGTAATTTATAATTGAAGTTTTAATTTAATCTTCCTGGCAAAATAAAGGCCAAGCCAAATATCCCATGCAATTCAATAGTCAAGACTTCCTAGTGAGCTTCATTTCAGAAATGTTTACGTACCAGTATGATACTATTATGCTACTGAAGTAATGATCGCTCTTTAATGGTTGTTAATAATACAAGATAACAGATTTGGTATGCAGCTATCTGAAAAAGGCCACAATAATGCTAAACCAACATGACTCAAAACTAAAACACAACTGCTCAATATTAACTGTTGTTCACTACCAATGGAAGGGGGGATTGGGCACAAAAGGTGCTTGAGTCAGACTGAAAGACTTCAATTACACATTGCTGTATTATTAATGGTTATATTATTAATATACTTACATTTTGAAGACTAAAGTTGCATTCAAATCGGACAAGCTATGACAACATTCAAATACATGTAAATAAAAAGAATTCTAGATTCATAGCCAAAGTAGTAACAAAAAATCTTGTTGTGCAGTTGATGTAGCATTTGCAACAACGAACTTATGAATTCAGTAAGAAAGATTGTGGCACTGAATTTGGGAACATTTTCAAGCTCTAGTTTTACTCAGGACAGAAGAGTTTCCAGCTGAATAAACTCAACTGACTACTGTACTTTCCAGCTCTTTGTAAACAAGACTCCACGCTGTGCAAAAGAGGAGCTTTCACTTCCCTCTTTCCTCAAGGAAAGTATCTGAAAGGCAAGCTGTAGTGATTGTTTCTGACAGCAGTAGAATAAAGAAACAGATAGAAAAGTAGTTATATATAAAAAAGTTCTTACAGTAAAAATATCTGCCCTGGTTTGATTTTGTTTACGAAAAGGCACTTTATGTGTTGCCAAAACTCCAATACCGTACTTGTCTTTTGAGTTTTTCTGTTGGAAGTCTGCGTTGCAAGGTGGTCAGCATGAAGATGCAAATAAATGTTCTTTATACAGTGCCTATCTGATACAGATTTTATAATTAGACACAGTATCTTACACCAATTATTTAGAAGAATAGATTCATGTTCAAAATAGTAACAGGTCTTCAAACAATACTTCAGTTGATAGATGATCTGTGAAAGACAACACACCACCTGTACTGAGTTCACGCTAATAAAATCAGCAATGTAAATCTTTCAGAAGTGAGTCCTCAGTCTTTTGTTTTCCTCTCGCAGTCTCTCAATTTCAGCTACTAAGCTTTCATTTACAGAGTATCTTTCAAGTAAAGCGTGCATTTCATTCTACGGAAAAGAAAAAAGTCCCAATTAGTAGTAATAAAGTTAATAATTCCAGTTCTATCCTATTGGCTTTCATGTTTCTTTTAAAAATGAAATAATGTAGACAATTCTGGTTTTAGAAACTTTTGATAAGAAAAGTAAGATTTTCCCTTTTATGCTGACATACAGTATTTTGATCATTAATACATTAGTGAATATTTTATCAAAGGATATTTTGCAGTTCTTCAGGATGAGAATCTACTAATGCAGATTCCATTAAAATGCTCAGAACCCAGACAAGGTCTTTTTAATGCAGATCAAAAGAACAAAGATTCATAAAAAGGTGAAGCTAAAGAATACCGAACAGCCCAGTATGCCTACGGTCTCTACAAGTGAAGCTTTCTATTTGAATTCCATCTATCTTCTCCTTACCCCAGCCTTTGGCCCTTTCCAAAGGACAGCTGAATTTGTTTGTAACTCCTGAAATATGGAATTCATACCTACTCAACCCCTAGGTTCCCTTTACTAATCAAAGAAAAACCAATTTAACAGATTCCCATTCATACTTCCCCCCTCCTTCACATGAAATCCTCCCTTTCTTGGTTTTAATAAACAAAAAAGACTTTCAGTTTTGAAAGAAGATGGCAAGTCTTGGTATCACCAAAATTAAAAACTCAATACATTTCCCATCACGGTCCTTGTACATACCAACTGCATATGGAATTGCTTGATCATCTCCACTTGCAAATTCACAATATCTCGATGGCATGCTTCTCTGGGGGAAGAATTGCAAAAAGACGATGCTTAGACTTATTTAGGAAGCAGTCTCTCTCATACCCTCAGCACCCAAAACTCCACAGCTCCTCACCTTTGCTCTCATCAAAGTCTAGAAACCCTTAGACCATGAAACATAATCCTCTACAGCTTGTTTTGGAATACTTTTGTTATGACATCGATTTTCATAAGTACCATTTTTTTAGCACATAAGAAGATGTAGGATTTTCAGTTTAAAAACACAAACATATACATGGTGATACCAAGGTTCTTTTTCATTTGCAAGCTATAAATTCCTCTCATTTTTACCATTCAAAGCTAATTTTCCATCCCTTGATTACAAGCACCACAGAGAAAGATATTTATCTGTACTTGAAGATACACCTTTTCAGTACATGACTTTCAAAATTCTTTTGTAAAAGGGCCCAAAACATCAGCTGTGTTGGTTGGTTGAATGTGTCATCATTATTCTCCAATCCATGGAATAATCCAGGTTAATCTACACAAAAAGCAGTGGCAGTATTGTCTGGAAGTGGACATGAATTTGTTAATTCATGGACATCCATTCTACACTACAAAAACCATGCCTGAAAATTGCCTCATAACAATACTACAACAGTTCCAGGAGATGAGGAAGAACAAGAATACTTCACAGAAAAGCAGGCAAGCTCACAAATTCTCCCTGACCAGTGCAGCTGTCTGAGATTGAGTACTGTGCTGTGGGTACCACTGGCCTGACACAGTAAGGTGTTTCTTAAGTGGACACTCACAGATCTTATTTCATTTTCCTCTCCTCAAACATACAGCAAACCCAAATGGAATCTTCACTTTTGCTTTCCACAGATCATTGTTCTACAGAACTCCTACTGGAGGCAATCTTCCTTGAGCGTATCAAGTATAGATGCCAGCTAGCATCCTATAAATCCAAAGATGTAGGTTATCTCCCAAAGACAGGGAGATCAAGAAACAAACATCCTTTAGGAACTTAATGAATTATATATTATTCCTGGTCCTTTCCTGAAGGTCCGTGGTTTTTCCCCCATTACTTGAAGAGGAATGAATTTCAGGCGGGGAAAATAAAAATCCTTTCCAAATTCCAGCAGCTGAAAGGTAGTTACATCAATGGGAAGCTTACAATAGTTCCCTCTTTCTGACCCCAGTACTAACAGTATTTTATGATGTTTAAATGCATCTCCAACTTACAACTGGGACAAGGGCCAGCAGAGCCTTCCAGCCACTCCAGAAAGTTTAGGTCAGAGGAGAAACACAATATTTAAGGCTTCAGATCTCAAGTACTGGAAGTAAAAGACTTCCCGTAAAAGGCAAGTATAACTTCTAACTCTGGGGTGCCTGAACACAGGTTTTAAAGAAAACACATCTGTAATACATAGACTGCATTTTAAGTTACATCAATTAGAGGTTTTCATCAGATGTGTATCTATTGCCAGAAAATCCCAGGGGAGTTTTACCATACTATATTTATGCAAAGACATTAAATAACATCTGATGTATTTTTTCTGTTGGCAGATACAGAACAGCCATAGTACACAGACCTACTAAGCTAAGTTTGCTTAGTGCTTTGCTTTTTATCAACAGGACAGCAGTGTTTCCCCTGCCCAGCAATTCTTGTCCATCATCTCCATTCAACCTACTTGATCTTAAACATGGGTTGGGAAGCGATCCCCTAGAAAAATTCTATTAACGTCTTCACCTTCTTCAACCTCCACTCTAAATAGAACTGTGCTAATCTGACTTCTTTCAAGACAATTGGAATGTTGGTTAGATATCCACAAAGTAAGCTGAAACCAACCATCACTTACAGCACAGAGATTATTTCAATGCAAAGTTCCACCAGCAGAAATACACACACACAGTTTTACCTTACACATGCCAAGATAACAACAATCAAAGCCAACACAAGTCAACTGGCTATGTCAAACTCTCCTCACTGTCAGCTTGACATTTCTCTGGCTGGGATAGGGAGATGAGCAAGGAAGAAAAGAAATCACTGCAAGGCTTCAGGGGAAGAGTAGAAACCTCACTATGCAGACTAAATTTACCATCAGAGAAATATTCCCTCATTCTGGAAACATCAGTAAAGTCATACACCAACAGCCCTTGGAGGCATCAGTCTAATTAGTCGTCAGAGCTATTAAAAATAAGTTTCATAACTAGTTTTTCAAAAATAGGGCTATAAATGGTGTAATTTTCTAATCCAAGGAGAAATTTGTTTGAGCAGATGCTGAAACACCTCATTAAGAAAACATGCCATTGAAAACAACAACACTCTGCAGGAATACCAGTACCTGAAGTCATCCATTGTTTCTTGTATCATATTCTGAATGAAATTTATTTGAATTGCTGTCAAAGGTGCATTTGGTCTGCTACTCCCAATGGTTTCTACTATTTTTTCTGACAACGAACTTGCAACTCCAGCAGTGACAGGTGATGTTATCTTTGAACCTTTACAATAAAATAAAATACTGAGAATCCTCAGGACAAATAAAAACCTCTCATATATTGCATTACATCGATACTTTTTTAAAAATAATTATTTCTTTAATTTTATCTCAAATATTGCTTGGTAAAAAAAAAACATATATTTAGAACTAGTCTTTTCAGAGGCAACTGAAGACTTCTAGGAGGGCTGGCTCAATTTAAAGAACTGAGACCAGATGTTCTTTTCTAATGCTAAATTCATTTTATAAGATTTCACTTCAGTTTACAATCAACCACGCCTAGAACTGAGCTAAAATTATCAACTTACTTGTTGAGGTAGTACCATTTACTGGTAGATCAAATGCAGGATGGGCCTGAATATTCTTCATTAGTTTCTCATTTGCATCAGGAGTAGATGGTGGTGGAGAACTTATAGGTTCTATGCTTGATAAGCTTGATTTTGAAACCTGAAAACAAAAATATTTTTTTTCAATTTAAAAGATGAAATCTATGTGCTACAATTGTTTAATTGCACGTGAAAACTAAGTTTTCCAAAATACACTTTCAAACGTTTTTGCTTTTAGGAATCTGTTTAGAAATACATGCTTTTCATTTCCTAGCAAGATATCTGAAAAACTGATTGCTAAAACATTTCAAATTGCCTCAAGTGGGCACACAGAAGCAAGTGCAAAAGGCGGGGGCCTCTTAATTTTCACATGAAAAATGTTGTGACTAAGTTGTATCACTCCTAGAAAACTCAGACTTCTCAAGTGCTATACAAAAGCAGCTAAGCTCTGTGCAAAGGCTTATCAAAGATACCTCAAGGAAAAGAGGGAGACAGAGAACAGGGAAAGAAGAGGGGTGGAATTGAGCAAAAAAAGAACAATCAGTCATACTGGTGCAACCAGCTAGTGATCCTTGATTTTCTAGAAAAATCAAAATACTACTCAGGCTACCTGTTTTGTTTCATGGGAACTTATGTAACCTGATATTATTTAAGACAAACATACTTTTATCTTCCATTTCTGAAGGCAAATTCATCTAAATCACACAAGGTTTTAGGTTTGTGTTAATAGCATGTGAAAAGAGCTGCAAAATAAAAACAGATGGAGCATGACTCAGGATTTTTTTCTTCAAGCAAAAATATTCTGCCAAGATTCTAAAAAGACCACTCATAACAAGAATACCGGCTTCAAGACGTCTTTAGATTCTTGTTTTCCAAGACTTATTTTCTTAGAGTCAGTCTCTGGATGCTCCTCTTCTTCTTTAATTGGAGATCCTCCAAGTGCATGTAATGAGCTAGACTGTGTCCCTTGTGCACTACTGCCCACTGGGTTTCTTTTTATCGGAAAGGCAATGGTTGGTTGTGGGAGAAAATCCAAACCCAATAGGTGGGTGAAATCCAGGCCTAAAATTAAAAAGATGAAACACACAGGTGAATGCACACACACACCAAATCTATCCCACACTTAAAATGCCTGCACACTCATACAAAAATGATTGACAAAAGAAATCACCAAAAAATGTACTCCACAAAAACTACATCCTTCCATCCAACTTATGGTGCCCCCATCTTTATACAAGTAATAGAACATGAAAAGCCTCTGCCTATCATTGTAAATTGTGTAAAGGAAAAAAACCAATCACTTTAGGACCTTAGTCTTGACTTCCTGTTACCATGTTGTGTCTCTCACTGTGTCAGACAATTTCCAGGGAAGTTGTTTCAGTGTCTGCTTTGGTCATTTGTTGTTTTCAATGGTATGACAAAATCAGCATTTGAGAACTAGCAGTCCTCCAAAGTCCTATCAGTGGCATATGCTTACCATTTCCTTGGATATCTTCAGTCGCTTTATTTGCAATAATATCTACAAAATAGCAGAACACAGACAAATTAAGTGTTTATTTGTATCACTACATCGAGTTCATAATCAAAGACAAATTAAAATATCAAGTAGGTACAGCAGTCAATAAGACACTAATGACATTTTGTCACACTACATGCTGACAAATGATGCTTTAAAAATTCCAGTATTAGTAACTTACCATCTCTGACTGGAGAAAACATATCTCCTAAACTACTTCGACCCAAATCATCAAAATTATTTAATTCAGCACGTTTCCCATTATCTGTTTCTTTAGATGGAATGACATCCAAGCTGGAACTATGTGGAAAACCTTCAAAGGACAGTATGATTCGGTTAGTAATTGACCTTTTCCAAAAATAACATACATTATGGCCAAACAATCTCACACTACTCATGATACTTGGCAAGTCCAGTAAGCACTTCAGAATCGTCTGCAGATGCCAGTTTGAGGATCAATTTTAAATTCCTCATTTGGGCTGACAACAAAGGTGACCACAGCTAAAAGCAAAAGAGGAGGACTGTAAAATTGGAGAACCCACCCATGTTCAGAGAAGTCTATATGATGGGTGCAGCAATTTTATGGCGGATCAGCTGAAGTGAAAACTAGTGACTGTACCTTCTGCTAATAAGGTAACCACACTCAGATGATAAAAATTTAAGCTTGTTATGCAAGAAGTTTGCTGTACTAGGGCCATTAAGCATTCCAAGAGAAATTATATACCAGACCTTTTTTAAAGCTTACCTAGCTAGTGTTAGTTATATTAGCTAGTGTTAGTTTATTAGTTAGTTATATTACCTAGTGTTAGTTATACTCTCTGCATATTTCCAATATTAGACAATCAATTTATATATTCTAATATTAAAAAATCAAATTGGAGATACAATTGAAGACAAAAAAAAAAAACAACCAAACTTGTTCCTAGACTTTTCCTCACTCTACCCTCAAGCCCCATCCCTGACCCAATCCAGGGGGAAAAAAGTAAGCTTTCATATGCATGATACCAAGGACAATTGTTTGAAGAATGGAAGCATATCTTAAGTTCAAAAAAATCCCTACTTCAAACTACAGTTTTTAGAAAGTGAATTGAACTGCTCAGACAACCACCAAAATAACTTTCATGGATTCACAAAGTGTTCATAAAAACCTATAAGTACTTCTCTAAGTGGGATTACTTGCTGAAGTGATCCAAATATGACTGTGTGGGTGACTGCAATTAATCATGTCCAAGTATTTACATTAAGCGGAACTTGAGTCATGTTTACGATTTCACATTTAAATGTATTAATAGATTACATTTTTCACTTCTTCAGATGTGTCAGTTGTGACACCAGCATAGGACTGCACTCGCTAGTTAAGTAAATACTTGGTATACTGAGTCAAATCAGAAGTGCAGTATCAACCTGTGTGTCAGAATTTAGAGGATCTACATGGAAAAAGTGAAACATAAAATTGGGCCAAAATATCTTGTGCACTTTCACCCATTCCCAGTAATCTAAATGCAGTAAGGTACCTAAAGCAGAGAACAGTTGGTAAACGGGAGTTTATGGGAAGCCAGCTCAAAGTACATCCAAGCTTCTCATCATATTTTGACTCCATTTATACTTTTGTACCTTAAAAATACCTGTGACAAAAAAGCCTCAATTTTGTTAAGTATGCAATCAGATTACTTTATTGAATGCCCCTTATTTCTCCTAAGTTAAATCCCATGAACAGGTTCTAGAAGAAATTCCAGACAACAAATAAAGTTTGTGGTATCTCATACATTCCCATTTTTAACCTTAAAGACTGTATCTTCTGAAGTATTCAGAGGTCTTTACTTTTAAAGTGAACACTCAGATTAAGGAAAACTGTTTTGCTTGGTAAGCTTTTACTTTCTTAAAACATTTATTTATTATGCATGGTTCTCTTTAAGGGGTAACAGCCATGACATCTTCAAATAAAGATAATAAATCATATGTGCTAACCAAAAAAAAAATTCCACACCCTTCAGTAATGCTGATTAGCAGCACTTCTTGCATACACAGGAAACATTCTACTTCACCTCATACTTCACTGCATACCCAAGGGAGGTCATTAATACGCATTTTCATAGAGTGCAGCGGCTTACTGCCTAATTACTGTTACTAAATGTAATTCTCCTTATTTTAAAAGGGAGGGGGAAAGTGCTGTTACATTAAAATGGATTAAGGAATTTTTTCAAGAATCAAACTAGCAGTGTTACTGATTTGATATTTTCAGAACTCTTGAATTAAATAAAATTTTAGGAGTACATTTCACACAGTGGCAGTTTTGGAATACTCAGAATTCTTACAAAGAACTTGTTAATTTCAGAGGCATAGATAGCAAGTACAGTTATACAACTAATCATACTTGCAACTATATTTAACATCTTTCCTACCATGTGATACTGGAATCATGCCTCTCACAAAAATATAGTTCAGTTGTCACTTGAGTTTTTGGACTAGGTTGCTTTATTTTTTCCTGTGTTTTCCTTGGTTGGTTGTTTTTTTGTGGTTTTTTCTTGGATTATGTCTGTTACTCCTATTTGTTAACAGAATTACAAATCTTCAGCTCTGTATTCTATGCAGACATTGCATCAGAAAGTACATAATCTGCAAGAAGTCAGAATGCAGGAGATAGTTCCATAGTACCACCACAATTTTTACACATCATGTGTCTTAAGCTTATAGTAGGACCCAATTTACCTCCTACAGTCTCATAGCACATATTAAACAGTGGGGAGGGAAAAGAAGTTTATTGAATGTGCATATGTATGTGCATACAGTACTTCCTAACAAGTGCCCTTCCCTCCATGAAATTTTCATACTGTAATGGTCAAAACATGAAACTGCTTTCCTCTTCCACATTATGCCAACTATTGTATAAGTAGGAACACAACATTACCAGTTTTCTCCTGAAAAATCTCTCCTCCCTTATTCTCATTCGTCAACGTAAGGTGAGAGGAAACTGTTGCTGATGCTTGAGAGGCAATGTTTTTGATGCCCGTATTTTGAATTCCTCCAAGATTACTACCAGCTTTGACTTCTAGTCTTTTGGACACAGGTTTATTTGACGAACCTGTGAGGTTAGACTGAATAAAAAATATAACAAATTAAGAGAAGCTATTATTCCTTCAGCCAAAAGTAAAAATACAAGACAATATACTTTCCTTTTTAAACAGTAAAAAAAATCAGTTCAAGTTGCAAAAGTTGCCTAGGAGATATGCCTTTACAAATATAAAAAAATGGTATCTTCATGTAACTTCAAAGACCATGGAAAACATCTGCATTATCATACAGATACTGTGAAGACCTCCAAGGATATCAACAATTTAACTGTGAAATGACCCTGCATGAGTCAATTTTGATTCCAGGTTTAGACTCTGCAGAAAAAAGAGATCACATTACAACAAGAAATTACATTATTAGGGACTCCAAATTTTACAGGAATAGTTAACTACTATTATTGCTCTAGCAAGTGTGCTAGAGGAGAAGGAAAATCTCAGAGTGGTAAAGAGTCCATTTCAAAGGTTCTCTCAGTGTCTACTAACTGGAAACACGGGGTTTCTAGATACAGTGGAGCTAATTAACTCTTGGAGGAACCTCTTAAGTCTTCTCTATTAACTTCTCCACTGTTTATATGTGCTAGCAGAAGTCCACATATAGGACATACAAAACATCTTCAGATGAGCACCCTTGTGTCTTCTCCTGAAGCAGAAGGGCCATTACAGACCTTTCTATTACTGCCTACAAATAACCAGAAGTGCCACAAACTGATCTGCAAAGGCAGCATATCCACAGCCGAAAACCTAGAAGACCACAAATTCCACTTATTTCTACACTGAGGCCAGGAGTGGGGGGAATTCCACATTAACAATGACTAAACAACAGTTAAGACTAAGCAGTTTACAATTCCTCTGTTCCTATGATCTGATTTGTTGGCATCTGTAATGCTTAAGACAGTGAAAGGTAAACTGTTTTTAGAACTTAAACTTATGCTTTGCTTTCATTAATCTGCACACTGAACAATAAAAATACCTTGGAAAAAGTGCTACTGAACTGGAGACGTATGCATTTCACACAGCCTTTGTGAGCAGCAACTGCTTTCACTGGTGATGTCAGTTGTCTTAAGTCATACTGGCAAATCTTTCCCCGGGAACATCCTATAGCCAAAGTAGTACCATCAGGCATGAAGTCTACTGTGGTCAGAGGAAAATCGGCTACAATTGTTGTCAGTAACCTTCAAATACGAGAAAGGACAGGATGAATCTTTTAGAATTCACAAGTTGAACTTTTCAACACAGAGTATCTTAAAAAAATATAAATAAATTATATATATGTATATATATAAAAAAGCTTTCATAATTCAGCTACAGGTCAATAGTTCAACTTCTCCAGTGCCAAGTAAATTCAGTGAACTATTTTAAGAAACAGTGCATTAGGCTTACACTGAGCATTCATGCCTAACAAGAAAAAAACTGCATATGCCCCAAAAGATTTAATGAGGACAGGATCACACTGCCTTCTTAATAGCAAACACCAACATTATCTACTGGTATCATCACTTGCAGCAGCAATCACACTACATACATCCTCTCACCCTCTAGCTTCCCAAGCCTATCAACTCTACCCTTCCCACAGCTCTGGGAAAAACTTCAGGTCTTAGTTCAGGTCTACTACATTCTTCCACAACACTGATTCCTGCTTTTATTCAGCTACAGTAAAAGCACTACTCATGCTAAAACCAACGTCCCACAAAAGTTGCCATCCTATCCTCTTGCTCCAAAGTCTCATCACACAAACTTCCTGCTTCTTCATCCAACATTCTCCCCTATCTCAGCAGCTCTGTGCACCACAGGTACATCTTTTATCTTAACTAGAAAAGCAGGCAAGCTAAGCTTGGGTGGCTGAAGGTCCCCACAGGTTGCACTGCCCCTCACAGAGGTTAACTGCTCTCTATCAACAAGAAATCCCACACACGAGTACTGGAGAACATCACCCATGAACTGGACTTCATTTAGCTCCCACATGCCTTGGGATTTTTCAATTGTTTGTTTATTAACTTAGAAAGAAAAATGGACCAGGTTTTCCAATAGCAATATGCCAGCCACTTCAACCATTCTGCATGGGGGCTGAATGAAAGAATTCATGTCATAATTGGACATGTTTTTGCAGTTTATAAAACTCAAATAAGGAATCTTCTAAAATCAAAAGGTCTTTCATATACTCACTTTTTACTTAACGTGTCATAGAGAATAATTCTTTTATCCAAGCCTACAGTTACAAGCAGCAGCTTATTGACTGGAGAAAAGCAGATTTCTGAGGCTGGTGCTTTATGAGTATTTTCAAAATTATGATATGGGTTCTGGCTATTTACATCCCAGAGAGTGACATTTCCACTGTCAGAAACAGTGCCCAGCAAGGATTTCTTAAAGGATGAATATTTCAAGTGTCGAACAGGCTGTAAAACAGACATAAAAATGAATTTTAGTACCAATATTAAACACGATATTAAATTATTTTCTAAAGACACAAACATATTAGGAATACAAAGTTGAAGTAATCTACAAAGGCTTCCAAGTCTGAAATATAAATAATAAAACCAGAAAAAGAATTTTGCATTACAATGCCATTTTTGCTACTGGGGGGGAGACTTTTTTTTTTTTACTGTTATGGGGTACCATTTGAGCTGATAAGCAAAATTATGGAGAAGAAAAATGAAACTTCCAGAAAAGCTTCTCAAATTTTCAGCAAATATCATGCCTTTATACAAAAAAAAAAAAGATCCCATATCACATCTAAAATTAAAGGAGTGAAAAAGTACATTATTTCAACAACTAGTCTTCTGCCAAAAATGTTAAACTTAATTCCCCTCACTGACTTGAAGTACTTGGTTATCAACCAATCTGACAAGACACACAGACTCCAGAGTTAAGCAAGGTCCTGCAGACCAGACTTCAGCCTGTGAACTAAGACCACAGAAGTGGATAACGTGTGGTTTATCATACACAGCCTTTCTATCACAGAACCAAGTAATCCAGGAACTTAACTTGCCTTTCAGGACAGATATTTTGTTTTAGGACGTTTCAGAAGCTCACTGCTCTAATACTTACAGTACTCAATTTCCTGATTAATTTTACTTACAACCTATCTGCACCAATTTGCTCCTGTGCCCATAATGCCCTTACACTTAACCAGTTTCCTAACTCTCCAGTGCTGCTATCCCCTGTTTTAAAGAGCAGCAAGCTCACTTTCCTTCAGGCTTTATTTTGCTGTAAAAAAAAAGTGAGACAGTCCCCCAGGACTGTTTTTTCAGTACCATCAGTCTTTTTGCAACTCTCTCTTGAATACAGACAACTAAAATCTTTTATGATCCTCAAAATATTTTGCTACTGTCTTTGCAACAGCAATAACATTTCATCCATTTTATACTGTAAATACTCACCACAAAATGTCCTAGATTGCATTTTCTTTGAGTCTGTTTTGGTCATTGTCATTTTATATTAAGAAATCCAATTCCTTCTTTCCCTTGGGAATTTTGAAATTCTACTCTAATAAAAGTCTCAGTTGTCCCCTAAATCTGGTATCTTGATTTCTACTCTGTCACAGTTATTCCTGTGTCAATAGTTTCAATCACTTTTTGACACCGACACAATCCCCTCTTATGGGCAAATGCCCTCCCACTGGGTTTAATCATAGCTCTACCTATAGTCACAGAATCCTTAAGGCTGGAAAAGATCTCAAAGACCATCAGGTCCAAGCCTTACCCTAGCACTGCCATATTCTCCACTAAACCATGTCCCTAAATGCCACACCTATGAATTTTGAATTGAATGCTTTAAGGGATGATGATTCCAACACTTCTCTGGGCAGCCTGTTTTAATGCCTCACTACCCTTTCAGTGAAGAATTTTGTCCTAATATCCAATCTAAACTGGTGCAACTTGAGACCATTTTCTCTTCTATTGCTTGTTACCTGTGAGAAGAGACTAACCCCCACCTTGCTAGTACCTATTTTTCAGGTGGTTGTAGAGAGCAATAAGGTCCCATCACAACTCCTTTTCTCCAGGCTGAGCAACCCCAACTCCCTCAGCTGCTCCTCACAAGACCCATGCTCCAGACCCTTCCCCAGTTTTGCTGACCCTACTTCTACTACCATAAAATATGTATTTGTATATAATGAAAATATTAAACAAGATAATGAAAGAAAATATTTGATTTATCAATATAATGAGTTTCTTACCCATCCTATATAGTATTTTCTCACAAACCACTTAATCAAGTACTCTACTCAAGTCCAGCCCAATGAGTGCTCTTATATTTAATTTGTCTGAAAAGGTTCTCAAAATTCTATTGTTTTATCCTGGTATAAACCACAACACAATACATTTTACTGCCCTTAATCATATTTCTGTCTTTAGCTTCATTTTAATGGAGATATGTGTTGCTTCATATTCTTCCAGAATTATTTCCAGCACTTGTATTGTGTGTCTTGCTGGAAGCCTCTTTAAAGTAGGTGGCACCTTCAACTGCATATTCAAATAGGAACAAGTACAACCCTTCATCATTAATATGGTCCACTACTAGTCACAATTTTATCATCATTTTTCTGTTTGTTTACATGGAAAAATATACTGAGAGATTCAGGAGTAACAGCTTTAATTACAAACAGGATCTACATGGGAAATATTCCTGAACCTCAGACTTCTCTCAATTCTTCACCTCCAAATACCTTCCTCCTTACTGCCCTGGCATCTGCTCGTTTCATTTTCTCACTCCTGTCCTTCTGCCCACCAAGATTACTCTCTTCAAGCTCTTTCTCAAACCTCCCTTGCTATCCTACCAAGTCAGCCATTTCTTTTCTCCTTTATCCTTTTAATCTCACAGGTCTGGGCAAGTTCTCCATTTTCTTTCATCATATTACCATTGCTCCCCACTTTTAGCTTTAAAAGCTGACAAACATTTCGCTATATGGAGTGGCCAGAATCCATCACACTCCTTTACAAATCAGCCAGCTGTTCAAACAGCTAAACTAAATCCTGTTGCTAGGAGAACTGCACCAGGCAGTGAAGACTTGAACAAACATTGTATTTTGAAACAAACCTTAATTTATCCTCAACAGCAAGCAGATAAGAATCTGATAATCTAAATGAATGCCAATAGCAAAGACAAATTATGGGATCTGCAAACAACTCTGCAATAACTCAATTCTAATAAAACACAAAGGTGTTCTAAATTAAAATCAATTAACAGAATATAGACCATTGCTCCTATGAAAAGAATTTTGTTTAAAGTCAGAGAAAGCACTGCAACCTTGGGCTATTTTACTACTTGTAGAATCTACACAACAGGAGAAATTAACTGGCATGGAAACTACATTCCATCATGCTGAATCAAACACAGACAAGCTAAAATTTATAAGGTTAGTCAGACTTCACATTCCTCAATTCTAAAAAAAAGTTACTATGGAGTGGTGAGCCGTCCTAGGTCAGAAAACTAGCACCAGGATCAAACAGTGTAATACACTGTTTATCTATTCAAGTTTACTCTCAAGGAAACCTGGCCCCTAAGCTATAAATCAAGTAAAGGCTTTTTAAATTTAACAGAATTACACAAGTCTTCAGATATTTGCTTTACTGCAGAATCAATTCTCCAACTCGAACCCAAAACAATAATAAAGCCATTTCTGTACAAGTAATGAACATTTTTAGGATCAAAGACAAGCTGGTAAACTGGGACATCCAACTAGCCAACTCATTACAAAATCATAGCTCAATTCCATTTTAAATTAAAGCTATAATCAAATAACTCACCTCCCTAAGAAAACGTTACAGACCCTTTAGAATGTGAACAGGAACTCTTTGTTTGCAACTACTTTAACACATCAAATAGTGTTATCCATCCTAAAGGTCACTCAGCTTTGCAGCAGACTGCTTGATTTCATCTGACAAAACAGTTATTCACAGCATATCTCTTACTCCTAATCACTTTCCGGTGGAAAGAACTGAATATATCAAACAGCTTCATGCAAAGCATCCTCAAGAATTTCTTCGTTTTTCAATTAACTAGCAGCATAGTCCCCACTCTGGATATTCACCTCAGCTGCATAATCCAGCCATGGACCTGATGCCCTAAGTTTTAGCTTTTATATTTTCCAGTTTCTGTACTGCATTACTAAATGAACTTCACATACAGTGGTAGCAAGTTCTCTTCATAGTGTAGTTAAGAAAAAACAATCCTTTGCAGCCTGAGAACCAAGGACACTGTTCCAGCTTCAGGCACAAAAAGTATAAACAGTGAATTGAGGAGAGCAATCTGGGAGGATGGGACTTCATAACCTGAAGCTGTAATTGGACAATTAACCCCAGTAGGTAAATTGACCAAAACGTATAGAAGTGTGAAATCTCGTGACCAGTCATCCATCGTGGATGGATGCCCCAGCCAGGTGGAGCCCCAGCCAGGCTCTTGTACTGCCCAAGGTGTATCCTTTGAAGACCTTTTAATAAATACCTACTTTATTCCTTTAACACTCTCTAGCCTCTGGTTCAGGCAGCCTCTCAAAGCATCAGACCTCCCTGCAGCTCCTGCCTCACATCCACATTCTTTATAAAATCGTAACAATCAAATCAGAAAAATGACCTGACTATATAGATGGATTTTTAAGATCAAACCAAGTATGAAGTACAATTTTGCTTCAATATAAGTATGAGACTGGCAATGGATCAAAGACTGCAGCACCTAGGAGCAGAGATAGCTTCAATTTAACAGAGATTTTTCATCAGAAAGTGTACCATAATTCCTGAGATGCTATGAGATTGTAAGAGATTTTTCACCAGGTTATACTGTTTGTGCGAGACAGGAGAATTTAATTTGACACTATCTGCAATCTAAGACTGAAAAAGCTGTTGCAGTAACAGAAAAGGAGTAAGTTACAACTTCAGCATTTCTTGCAACATTAAAGGTCAGGTTTAGGACCAAGGCAACAGTTCTGCATCCCCTAGGCAGTTCCTGCCTCTGCAAAAATGATTCAGTAAAAAACAAAAGCCTGCCTAGAACTCAAACACATGGCCATCCATAAGAAAAGACAATTCTCAGTAAGAGCACACACTGGAATTTCCAGTGGGACAACACAGCTCATTTACTACTGCAAATGCTCTTGTATCAAGGGAATTCCCCTTGTGATACCCACTAATTCTTTTAATATCTTTTGAGTCTGCAGAAAGGAATTGCAGTGGCAAACCCTAACAAGGGTCTTAAGTAGTACATATGCTTTGTGTTTGCCTTGTGCACAATTCTCCCTCAAACTAGTTCTCCCAAATACTAACTAAACACCTAGAGTAGGTAAGATAAAACCTCATTACTTTTCTCTTTGAGCAGCTGTGAAATTTTAATCTCCAGATTAAAAAAATTTGTTTCCAAATACAGGCTTGTATTCACCTCTACTGTACAGATAGCTTTGAATAAGTTAGAACCCAGGCAGACTGCATGGTCTTTGCCCTCTGCAATATATACAGAGTGGTGAATCAAAATCCTGCTTTGGTTTGTAAAGCCAACCGTGCTTTAACCACTTCTAAGATATTTTCAAGTTTGTTCTTGAGGAGCCAGTGTCTACCAAGTAAAATTTGCTGTAACCTGTATAGAAAAAAAGGCACTTGAGAAGTTTGGATTTCAATGCTATATAGTATTTAAGGCTCTAATGCAGAGAGTGATCTGCTTTCTCCTTTCCTTAAGGGCACTCTTAAAAATTAAAATGAAACATTGAATGACCATTGAATGAAATGAAAATTAAAAGCTCTTGATACGTACTTTTAATTTCTAAAGACTGCAAATTAAGCTTAGTACCTGAAGGAACTTAACACAGAAAGCCTACCTGTCTGCTGCCATAACCAAAGGGACTACTTGATAAGTTGGTGGTAACACTGTGTAGGATGATTTGACCACTCAAAGACCCAGAAACAACATAGCCATCATTCCAATTATATGCAACACATGTGACTTCATCTTTATGCTCCTGTGAAAAAGGGAGGTTAGAGGGAGAGTGTTAAAGACATTCTTCCTAATTTATGCTTTTGCAAAAAAAACTTCAGCTTGATTTTTTTCTGACCATCTGTAACATTTTAAAAAATTTAAGAGTTTTTATGGAATACCACAGAAAACAGCAGCAAAACATACCAAAGATCAATCATAACCACTCTCTGATTGTTTCCATTAGGTGGTTTTAATAAATTAGTAAAGATGATCACATAATTATATACAATATTTTAATAAGATAACCACAGAAATATTTACCACAGTTATGAATATTATTTTAAAAGTAAAGTCTCCCAGAATATTATATCCCAGTGAATATACTTTCTGTTAATCTGATGTACTTACAACTTCCCCTTTTTTTAGCATTAACATATGCCACTTTTAGCCTTAACACATATATTTACCAACCAGCTTTTCAGTACAGTCGTTTGCAGTGATAATATTGTGTATAATGAACATATTATTTTTCCCATATCTTCCTATATAGGGGAAGACAATTGAGTACTTCTAACCCAAAAGTTAGCAATGGATATTTAAAGTATTGCATTGGCTACCTAGAGGTTTTGTTTCCAACTGTAACTCTGAAAGTCCAAGTAAAAAAGGATAAATCAAAGTTAAAGTTTCATAGCCTCTTAAAACAGTGGTGCCAAATAAGGGCAAACCATCTCCTGAAGGTATCTGGGAAAGACACTAAGTCATCCTATCATACTAAGTCATCGTGCACTGTAACAAAATTTTAGACAATTTATACTGGATCATTTAGAAGCCAACCATCTCCCAGTTTTGCACAACATTAGTTCTGCTAAAGTATTCCACAAATACAGAAGTGTTTTCTCATTCAACACATCAGAAACAGCAAATACCTGGAATGCAACGCCTGTAAAAAATCCCCATCAGACAACACCAATAAAAATTTGCAAAATAAGAAGTCTATTCTGAAAATTTAAACATATATTATTATAGAACTGTACTCTGAAAACACCAGGTCACATATGTTTGTTAACATTGCTATTTACAGCACATAAAGAACACAAACTTGAACAAGACCCAGATGTGTGCTAGCTCCTATATATGACCTTGATCCTACAGACACCAGACTTAGAGAAAGTATATTTTTTACAGTTGGCAGCAAAACCTGGGAGTGGAAAGCTACCTCACCCAAACTTACCTTTAGGCTGCGGTAAATCTTTCTGGATTTCAAATCCCAGATATTAACTGTGTTATCAAGGCCTCCACTGACGAGGTATGAAGAACTAGAATTCAAGCTCACACATGTCTGTTTTGCCTAATGGAGAAAGAAGAAAAAAAGTATGCTAAAGATAATTAAGGGATTTATGCAAATCTACTTCAAAGCATATTGATGTGTGTTTTCAATTTCATCAGCACAAACAGCCCCACTGACAGAGAGACCTATTCATACTCTACAGCCATTTTCTATCAAAAGGCATTTAAAATCAAGTCCAGCTGGACATACATTTAATCTACTTTAAAATGGAAGCGTATTAATTAATATAAATTAATAAACTTTCAAATACTGCATATTCTCATTTCAAATTTTTTGGCACCTTTTCCTCCAATACGCATTTTCCCTTTAAATTATAGCTCTGTAAAGTGCAATCATAGTACTTTATTCAGGTACTGAGGTTTTTTTTAAAAAACCCTAAGTTAAGGAAAAAAAAATCTCTTTAGAAGAAAATCAAGAAGTTGTCTAAGTTACATACTTCACATTCCCTAAACATTACAGGGAATAATATAGCAGGAAACCTCATAATTCAGTTAAGTGATTCTTTTTAAAATAATCACTGAAGTACCAGTTTTTAAAAAAAAAATGTCAATCTTAATGATAGGCCTACATTGAGGACAAATCATTATTCAGTTCCATCACGTTGAAAATTCACTTTTAAGTTCTCAAGATTTGACTGAAGAAAAAACAAGTCCATCTAATTATTGACATGATAAAATTGCAAGGGATTGCATTAGTTATAGATCAAATTTAGTGAAATCTTCAGGACAAACACTCCACCTTTGGAAGTGTTTGCTTCAGCCCCCTCAAAGCAAGGTTTGAACAACTTTTCAAAACATTTCCAGTCCAAATCAGCATTACAACAGCTATCCAAGAATAATTAGAATGGTTTAGAACTAATAAGCTATGTAAGAGACCATGTGAAGAGACTCTTCTAAAACTAAGTCCAGCTTTTGGAAGTGCCACACTTCCATTTAACAGGGGAAAACAAAAAACCTTGAACACAACACAAATTCTCATTTCTTGCAGTTCCAGAAGCTGGCACATGTATGCTCCAAGAACAACCTCTACATAAACTCTTATTTATGTTTTCTAGTGTACAATTCATAGGCATGCTCAATACTGACAGTTGGAAAATGAAGTTCACATTTGAGCTATCCCATCTCCTTTACATTAGATCACATCTGAACCACTGACTCAAGTTATCACATTTGCATAACTTCATCTATATTTTCTTACTGACAGAACTATTTTATAAGCACTGTTGTCCCCACTCTGTAACAATACAAGGAAATGTTTTTACATATGTGTCATAATTCTAACAATACTAAAATTAAATTGATCCCAATATGCAGAACAGAGGTGAGACACACAGGATACAAAGTGAACTGGGGAAAAAATTAGGGAAAAGCATTACTTATACTTACTCCTTCAGCTATTTCAAAGAGTGGAACAGGTTTGCTTTTAGAGCTTGAAACAACTATTTTATCACCAGCAGCAGAAGCAGTGGCCAGGTATCTATCTTTGTCACAAGTTAAGGAACATAATTGTAGGATACTGGTGATTAATAAAAGGAAGAAGTTTCCCTTATTGAACAGAAGACAGATTGGCTAACCAGTCTAAAGCACTGCACCTTGAAGAGACCCAGAAACAGAAACATAAGGCTATTTTCCAAGCTTTCATTAAGGAGCTCTTAAATTAACTGCAGCCCTTACTTGCCAATACAAGAGAGACAGCAATTTCTTTGATAGAAAAGATGAGAAATACCTGCCAGGTATTATTTAAGAGCTCTTTACCACTAAGGCAGCTTATCCAGTCTACAATTCTGTTTCCCCACACCCCCAAGTAAGAGCCCCATTTATCACTAGTTCAAAAGAATGTCTGTTGCTGTTAGCAGACTATGGATTTAAAGAATGGTCCTGGTCATGACAAATGTTAGACTACTTCACCATACAGTTTCTAGAGTACAAAGAGCAGTTGCCAATTTCTCCCACTCTGTAATGAGAAAAGAAAAACAAAAGCCCAAAAAGAATCTTTTATGAAACCAAGTACCCCAAAGTAATAAGAATACGTATAGAACTACAGAGCAAGGAAAGCATCTGCACCACCACACAACAAATTGAGTAATCATTCAGTCTTCAGCCCAATGACCACTGTGATTTTGTACTTGCTCATTTAAGAATAACACAGGTTAAGTGGCTGGATTTAACACAAGAAAACCAGCAGCCAGAGTAGTGCTTGCTATTGCTTTCATTATTTTAAGGCACTTTTGCATAATTTTATAGAACTACACAGAACCAGAACTAACACTTTATCTCTAACAAGCCTCTAAAGCAAGGTACTTCATTGTTTCAGTTCTGGGAGATGGAGAGGAGACCTGGAAGAAGAAAAATCATAAGACAGACTGTCTGCACATAAAGTTTACTAAACACATGCAAGTGTGTATGCATATACATGAAAACATATTATCTGTGCTTCAAATTCTCTGCAAGCTCCATAGCTAAAACATTTCATAGCGTTCCAACTGGTGTAACTTTTTTTGCCATACATTAGGAAAAAAAAAATCTTTGATGACAATTTTCCTCCCTATACTAAGTATAGAATTTTACTACACCAGTAATTGCTTTGCTCAAGCTTGTTAGTTAATTAAGCACTGTCTTGAAAGCGAGTATCATGATCAACTACTGAAGAAACAAATGAGTAAGCTTTACACTTGGCAGGCAATTCAGGCACATTACAGCCATTAGAAAAGCACTGGCTCCCAAGATGAGAAACTTCTTCAGAATTATTTACCAGCATTAACTGCTTCTGCAAATCCCTTCAGCACAGGGAATGGCAAAACTCTGGTCAAAATACATACCAATATTTTTAAACAAAACTTCAAAACGTATCAGGCCTGTGTTCTACAAACACTTCAGTAAGGAAAGGAAAAAAAACACTGGAATTTTGCAGAACACCCACAAAAATACGGCTGAAACTGTAAAGGATACTATTGCTGGCCCAGCAAAGTGAACTAACTGGATGTGAAGGTGTATGTGGGTTGAACTGCTCCACCACAGAGAAAGATGAGGAATCCCATACTTTAACGTCATCTCCTGATGATGCAAAACGTATACTTTCTTGCATGGCTGCACCTGTTTTGGCAGACATAAATTAATAAGTGAAAATACATAAAATAAAAAAATTAACCAGGCAACCTAACAATTCAAAAACGCAATTTGAAATGGTCCGGTTGAAGTTTTCTTGATAACCACAATATTTATTTGGAAATTTAAACAGTTAGTACCATGCAGGTGCATACACGAGTGAAAGCAGCAGACACTGCAAGCTTTTGCTTATTTGAATTCTCGCAGGAAATGCGCAGTTTCTTTTTCACAAACCCACCCCCTCTATGGCATCAAGAGACTAAAATGAAGCTTTTATCTCCACAGTTCACAGCTGCCGACCAGGAAGCCCTGAGTATCTGAAGGACCCATTTCCCACCAGTAGATGGGGAAATACAAACCAGAATCAAACTGTTGCAGGGGAAGGCTGGCAGTGGGGACCTAAAGGACTCACTTCAGCGTTCATCTCACCACTCCAACGGAGATATCGCAAAGTCCTTTAAACTAAACCTCTGACAGCAGAACACGACCGACAATGAGTCACCCATCATCGCACCTTACAAAACATTACAAAACAAAAAGGCCTAAACAATGTACCGCTACTTATTTTGAATGACACCTTTTAAGAGTTAAAGCCAGGTTAACTGGTTCCTGGTTTGAAACGCTGACACTCAGCTTTTTACTCTTGGTAATTTTAAACTATTAACGACAACTGTAAACGCGAGCCTTCCCTCCGGCTGAAAACACAACCACCACTTAGTCAAAGTCTGCGGGACGTTTCCACACCGCTTTAGGCCATTCATTCTTACTGCCGGGAGTGTCAGCACTCACAAAACCACACAAGAAATTCAGGGTCCACATACGCCTTCATTCGGCATCAGCCCGCGGAGCCGCTCCTTCCGCCTCACACGGAGCTCGTCTCCCGCCCCACAACTCAGCCCTGGAGGCCGCGGGAGGAGCCGCTCGGCGCACCCCGCCCCACGGCATTGGTATCGGCACCGCCCGGCCCCGGGCCCGGCCCCGCTCCCGCGCTCTCCCCACGGCGCTGCGCACCTGGCCGGGCGGGCACCGGGCCGAGCCCCCGCTGCTCGCCCCGCCGGCCCGGCCCAGAGCCGCCTCAGGGAGCGGTCTGGCCCCGGCTCCGCCTCAGGGACGGGACCGGCCCGTCCCGACTGGGCCCGGCCGCGCGACCCCGGCCCCGCGCGCGCGCTCGCGGCCCGACTTTCCGCGCCGCGCCCAAGTTCACACGCCCCGTCCCGGCAGCCCCCGCGCGCCGCTCCCGGCGCTACGGCGGCCCGGAGGGGCCCCGCGGCGGCTCCCGCGCCGGGCAGGGCCGGACCCGGGGCGGCCTGACCCCGCACGGCCATGGAGCCACTCCCCGGCAGTGCGGAAGGAAGGTGCCGCTGGCCACACAATAAACCCGCCGTGAGTGGCTTTGAGGCATCACATCTGCCGCGTTTTGAATTGGAAACGCAGATTTCAGCGCTGAGCAAAAGACAACCTGTTGTTCCAGTGCTGAGCGAAAGGCATCCAGCACAGCCGGCATCTGGAATGTCCGTACATCTGCGACACGGGGATAGCATGGCGACAGAGCGAAATAAGTGATAGCAGTTAATACATTACTCCTAGTAACACCAACTAATAGAGAATTGCTGCATCTGTTTCCTGACTTGCAATACAACTGTTATCCTGGTCGTGCTGATTTTTACAGAAGGAGGGACTTCTTTGTTATTTTCTTCTGGTAAAATAAAAGATAGCACTTCCTTTAAGGTAATACGTGTTTGCACTTCTGCTTTCTACCCCTAAACACAAAATTATATACTAAATTAAAAGGTATATTAGACGTGGAACCTGTAGCAAAGCTTTCTGTAGATATTTGCCTTTACCCTGTGTACCCTCAGAACCAGTCGAGCTGAAATGCCTGATTTAATTTCCTTTTCTGATTTTCCAAGTTCATTTAATATCTAGTCTGTATAAGTGAACTCAGAATCAGGAGAAAAGAAATCATGCCACTGTTACACAAAATGCCATTATTTCCCTACAGCAATGAGGATCATGTCTTTATTGCAAATATTAATCCTCATTACAATCATTAGTCATAATTTGTATCTTCAATTACCTGCCTTCTCAGCTGAGTGGTAAGGGATTCACAGCATTCCTGCAAGTATTCAATCCTCACTCTACTTTATAGTCCTAATTTTCTGCTAAACCTGTCTTGTTTCACTTCTGAGGACATTGCTTGTTTTTCATTCCTACTTGTTATGCTTTGATACAGAGAGAATCTAAAGCCTTTTCTTTACCACAACCATATCCTCTGGCTTATTTTCTTTATCTCCTCACTGTGGAGCATAACTCTTTTTACAGGCACAATGGTGAGCACCTGCCTGACAAGCCCTGAAGCCTTGAACAATTAACAATTTAGGGGATTTTAAGTAAACATGATCAGCATGTTATGCTTCATTCTGTAACAGAATTAAATCAATTAAATCAGTTTTTCCTACTAGTAGGACCTTTGCTGGTATTTTTTTGTGCCAGTTGCCTGTGCTGTGCTTGTACTTGGTATATGTCCATTGGGACACGTTGGTGTATCCTTTCTGTGGAAAGGACTACAGCTAGAAGCCCAACCCTTAAAGCCAAAGCAGTGTTGGTGCTGAAAGGCCTCTGTGCAAGACTGTAAAAGCAGTGGAAGTGTGAGCAATGCACAGGTGAAGAGAGGCAAAAATAGTTTATATGATAATTGTAACTATTATTACTACGATTATTAAAACTTTTAGCATATAGAAGTATTCTTTTCCCATAATAATTAGACCTGGATTAATATCAGTTCTTGGATTAGGCTAAGATTCCAGTTATGCTAATACATTTTTGCCTTTAAACATGCACAGATTTCCTCTTTGCCCATAAACAAGGTTTTCATTGTTGGGACAGTGACATTAGGTTCTGTAGGGTGAGCCACAGAGTTCCAGGGGAATACGACCAGTCAGGACACTAGGGGAAAAAAAAGGCCTGAATTTCTTTATGAATTTTTTTTTAGAGCGGTTTGAAAACCACTTCAAAGTTGGTATTATCCCATTTGGTAGTGGAATCATAAGACTGTACCAGAGCTAATTAATAGACTGCACATTGTAAGATGATAATGCATATACAGTAATTTTGTAGCATAGACAGAATCTTGACTTTCACTGCTAGCTCTGCTGTATAGTAGCTGTATGATGCCAGAATTCACAGGGAATGACGTGTCACTGGCAAGAAGCAAGGAGCTTTGCCTAGGGCATTGAAATATTTTGGTGGCTGCTCAAATACTCTTTTCAACTCTGAATGTCTGCTCAGGAGCTAAACCAGCCCTGTAGGAGTTCTGTGTTTTCACAGACTTTCACCCTCCACACAGGACTACAGGGCTGGCTCAGTCAGCTCATGGCTGTTCCTTAGGTAGCGTATTCTGGTTCTGCACTGAGAGTTTTGCTGCCATTTGCTTCAGTGCAGTCCTCCTTTTTTTCTTTGCACATTAAGTAGAATCCTAAATCATGCTGAGATTGTAGACAAATGAGAATAATTCTAATTATCTCTGGGGTTTCAAAGTGGAAAATTAAATTGCAGTGGTAAATATTTGACTTCAGCACTTGCCTCTGGACCCTTTCACCCACTCTGTTTTAAAGATTAACCTATGCTTCATATTTTCACTTCTCTCATTTAATGACGTTCTCAGTATCTTTAACTCAAAGAAAACCTTTGGCAAGCATAAATGGATCTCTCTGCTGGCTTAATTAGTTCAGGATATTAGCCAACAATTAATTCTAACTCCATCATTATTCTTTTAAAGAATCTTCCTCCTTGGATTTCACTGAAAATGGACTGGAAACAAATGACTGTTCCCTTTTCAGTGTGTCTCAATTGAATAATAATATAAATAGCCTTCCTCTTTCATTCCTGGATCTGAAAATATTTTCCAAATGTTGATGCAGAAAACTTAAAATCCCTCACTGATGGGGGGATTACTGTTATCTTCAGATAAAGAAACTGAGGCATAGTGAGGCTAATTACTAGGATTATTTTGTTAGATTGGTGTCATCCAGAAAATGGATATATACTTTGGACAACAAAAAATTACTGTGAATTGGAGCTGTAGTGGAATTTAAAAGCCAGTCACATACAGTTGGATAAATCTGTGTGAAATTACTGATTTCCACATCATAAAATTAATTTAACCAGAAATAATTTCAAGTTTTTATACATTTGTAGGCATGAGAAATCCTGTGAATGCCTTGAATATAGAACATCTTTCAAGGCACCAATATAACTTAAAACAATGTTGAAACAGTATTTGAAAACTGAAATATTCTAAAATCCATTCAGACCTTTCACTGTTAAGCTTCCTCTTCAAATTCAGTTTGATCTCTAGCATGTTGTTGATGATACAATTTTTAATTACAGGACCAGAAGCTGGTTTTGTTCTCAGCATTTTTGCTTCATTCAGTTCACATAGTGGAAAATACCGAAATAATTTAAAAACCCAAACACCACTTTCTACTGTTCTTTAGTGTTGCATAGGTCTTTCTTGTCCCTCACCCAGGGGGATGCACTGAAGATAAAATGTCATTCTTTTCAGAATGTTTCAATTTCTCCCCACAGTGCATTCTCCCTTCTGTCTCTCTCCTTCCCCCATCCCACGATTTATCAGATACAGAAGCGCTATCCATTCCTTCCACAGATGTAGAATGAAGAAGTATTTCAGTTAAAATTTGAACAGAACTGGTAAACATGCCAGGGGTTCAAAGCTGCCAATATGGTAAGTAACTCTTTGGCATTGTTGGGGCAGATCATAGAGAAGAACTTCCTATAGCAGGAAGGTCTTCCCTTACATAGCGAAATCCCCCTTCCTCCTCTTCCTTTTTAATTTTGGAGACAGTGACACAGACAAGTATTCTATGCAAATCTAATTCAGCATGGTGCTGACATAAATAAATTCTGGTTTATTGAAGGCTCCATTTACTGGTAAGGAAAAAAAAAAACCAAATGCCCAACTACTGCAGTACATAACCAAGAAACAATTTGCAATTACTTTTATACGTTTTTTTTTCTGTGTGATTACTGGAGACATTTAGATATGAACTTCCCTCCATACAAGCAGATTTTAACTAAAGAGTTTAATTATATTCTAAAAGAAAAATGTTTTCTCCAATGCTTCTTCTGAAACCTGTATTGAATACTTTATCCTGTGTTTATGAGAATAAATTCTGCTGCTATGGATACAGTGAGGTCAACGTTTTAATGTTATTATTTCACTGTGCTGTGTTAAAGGCTAATATTGTTCTTTCAAAAAAAAAAAAAATCTTAGAAAGTATGTATTGTAGGACAGTAAGTATAGTAATGTATTTTAAATGAATATGTAAAGTCTTTTATTTAATGTTTCTTTTTCAAGTATAGGAAATATAACAAGGTCCAGACAGGCAGCACTGACAAAACATTTTGTCTGTAATAGAACTTCCATTTTCACCTGATGCTATAGCATGTTTTACAAATATTAATTAAGCTCCATAAAAGTCCCATGATAATCCTCAAGGTGACCCCAAACAGAAAAATATAGGTTTTTAGTTTTTATAAAGCACAACAAAAGAAAGAATACCTTGTTTGGTTGGACTGGTTTTTTTTAAAAAAGAAACAAGAAAGCTGCAATTTCTTACTTACTCCTTGTAAAAGAAAAATGAGTAATGTCAATTTTTACCTTTCCTGCTTTTTGAACAACTGCAGAACAATAAATTCATTTAATGAAAGAATAATGCTAGGGAGTGTCTCCTCCAAACTGGCTGTTAGGCAGTCGAGTTAAATAATCATACTAACTCAGTTTTAAAACTGTCTTGTAAAAATAACTGCTTTATCAATTACTCAGTTTTTCATTCCTTTTCATCATAGTATCGTTATCCTTCTAATTTTCCTACTACCTACCGTCTTCCAGAAAAGTGTACACAAAATAAAAACCAGCACAACTTTTAAACAGCTACACATAATGCAAATACATCCAAACTTCTTTCTTTTATAGGAATGAAAAAAAAATAGAAGAAAACTTTATTCCCTTTCTTCCTGTACTGATCACATTTAAGATACTCATTATTCAGAATCTTGCCTCTCTCTCCCTCTTCCTCCCTAAAACAAACTCAACCAGGTAACATTTTTCTGAAAAGCACACGCCAGGATAAAGCTGCAATTCCCAAATAGCTCAAAAAAGTTTATTTTTTTAATCACTGGGCTACACTACAGGGAATGCCTGACTGAAGTGAAAGAGACTGGCATTTTTCACAGGAAATTAACCCAGGAATGGTAACCATTAATGCTGAATTTTCCTGGAAATACAAAACCATAACTAGTTATAGGACTAGTCTCACAGGATTCCTGCCAAAATGTACTGGGGTTTTTTGTTGTTTATTGCAAACAAATCAATATAAGTAGCAAAGGAGTGCCTGGCTTTGGGATGTGAGCAAAACCAAAGGGCTATGGCCCCTCTCTGGTCTGCTAACTCACTTGTTCATGTCAAATTCTCCATCTCAATCACTGGAGCATTGAGATGCTCTAATATGTTCAAGCATATTTCCTCAGGTGGCTGTTGTTAGGACTCATTTGTGTTTCTTGAGCAGTTTAATATTTACAGCAACATTCAGAAAGGTTCCCTTAGCTTTTTAGAATGAAATGATAAATGAAATATTCTGTATTGTACTATTTTATTCTTTGTACTGCCTTGTTGGGGGGGAGGAGTTGTTTATTTGTTGTGGGGGTTTTGTTTTTTTAAAAAGTGCTTTTGAAATTATGAAGACATCTGAATGATCACTTGCACCCTCAACAGCCTGAAATACTAGTTTCCAAACAGATGAACAAAAGAAAAAACTCAGTGATGATTTTAGACCCCCAAAAATTCTCAACTTCAGAAATAATACCAACTCTTGAGAACTGCAAAAGAAATTTAAAAATTGCTGATGAGAATACAACTTCAGGAGAAAAAGGAATATCTAGTAGCAAGAGCTAGAAGGCTACAAACCTTTTCAGCTTTTCTAAATAAGAAACTATTGAAAATCTAGAAAATCTTATGAAAAAACTACTTATAAAATCTTAAATTCCTAAAAATTATTTTAAAAACTATTAATGCTTAAATAATTAGAAATAAGATAAAAATGAAAATTATGAAACATAACAGGAGCCAAATCCTGGTGTGATTAATGAAGTTGTTTCATTAACAGCAGAACTTAAGTCTAGGTCTGTAGCATTCAGCTAATAACTGATTAAGTTATTGCAAAATCGCATTTAGTGAAGCAGAGAAATGAGCCAATCCAAAAGATTTGCTTCAGTTACTATACATCCATTGGCAAGATCAAACATATCTTCCAAATTTGTTATTGATTGCAAAGTAACATCAAATGGGATCTGAAAAAAAAAACCAAATGAGTAACTTTATTAAGCTTAGAGGTGCCTAAAACTAGATATATACCAACATACAGATATATATATATACACACATATATACCAATATATATACACATATATACCAATAGTTCCATATAAAGCCAGATTACTAAACTGCAATCAATAGGCAAGTTAGAAATATTTATGGCCTTGGTATAAATTTGTGGTTAATGACATCTCTGGTAGGAAACTAGTAAAACATGATTCAAGGGAGGAAACCTTTACGAACAGTCTTGCTCACAGAGTTTATCATGATCATCTGTAGGCAAAATGAAGAGCAGCAAGGAAGGCTCTTCCAAAGATGAGAAATTGAAGGAATTGAGGTAACAGTAAAAGGTGAAATAAAGGGCAATGGTAAACTGGTTTGAGCGTCCACTGAACACGGAAAACTATTTAACTGATTTAGGTATCAACAAAAAAATTTGAAGGAAGAGACGCTTGGAACAAGCTACCTAGGGAAGTTAATTTTTAATGCAATTATTTTATTTATAAATTTACTTCTAAGATTTAAGATTGGAGCTTCCAAACTACACTTTATCTCCCTCAAGGACATAGCTATTCATTAAATAGCATTAAAACATGCAGGCTAATCCTTTTTTATTCTTAAAACAAGAAGAGTCAAATAATTTTAAATGAATAATTCAATGAAAATGCACATTTTCCATTTATAAATATAGTTCAGGGCTGAATCAAAAACACTGTAAGACATACAGACAGAAAAAACAGTATCAAAGAAGAGAAAGTGGAAACATGATAGACGTGTGACAGCTCCTACAATGAGAAAACAGAGACCACAAATTAGAACTGACTTTGTCCAATTAATTCACCAGAAGATGAGCAACAGAAAAGTGTTTGGGTGGGGGGGGAATGGTGAAAAACTACATATAAGAAATGTATCTGCTGCCTTCTCCAGCACACTTGAAAATAAATTAATGTACTGTTGTTCTGTGGCGTACACAGTCCCTCCCTGAGCTTTCTGTCTCTGCCTGAGACAGGGTAATGCACACACATACAACTTATATGAAAGTTTGGAAATGTTACTTTGAAATATGTTATATATAATGAAGTGCTAAGCACCCTACAAGTTCTATTGGCTTCAGAGGAGAACGAAGATACTTAGCATCTTGAAGGAATAGGCTTCAGCTGCTCAACCAAAACTACCATATCTCAAAGCATCTTAGTTTGAAGTTTGTATTTGAAACTTCCTGATAAAAAGCTTTTTGATGTTCCACCCATTGAAACATTTTAGTTTGCTGTGGAATTTAGAGAGAATAAAACAGTGCAGTAAACATCAAATTCGTATTATGAGATGTTCTATGATGTTCTAATAGAACACCACTAAATCTGCTCCCTCACTTCCATCATAGATCCACAAATAGAAGCAGACAAGGTGAAAGGAATCCACGAGAATTTAAGCAGTTCCAGAAAGTTTCCATGATTCTTTGAAAAAGTTTGTCTGTATTTTTCCCTAGGAATCTATCAAATCTTGCTACCACAGAAGACACTTCAGTGGGACTCTGAAAAGTCCAGCTTTGCAGAAGGGATGTGGGTGTATTCTGATGCATTGCTAAAGCCACATGGAGTGACATGAAGGCCTGGGCATCATTTGAGAGAGAACTTCAGGATGGGTAACGAGGAGTGGCAAGAATGGTGCGATGTGTATCAAAGGGAAGTGCATACCGGACTGCAGGATGCACAGAACAGCACTACAGATTCTCTCTCCTGCTGGCACTAGCCCAACTGTTCTCAGATAAAACTCAGATTCTGTTCTGGTAGGAAGGGCTTTCTGACTGACAGGGAGAGTACAGTGGATGCCTTTTCCATTATCATTGCATTGTGAACAATACTGGCAAGAAATTTGAGGATTAGTTGAGGGAGTGATATGTTCCAGTGGATTTCATAATCTCCCTCGAGTCTCTTGAGTCTGGCAGCTGTGGTCCTTTCCTGATGTCCCCAAGTGGCTGAGAACACTGAACAGCACCCACCATGGGCCAGTCCTCACAGTCTTCTCTGGGATACTGAGTGCACTGGGTAACAGGATGAATAAGATGTTTTGTCCAACAGTATGGACAAAAAATGGTATGCTATCTCTCAAAACATGTCATGGGCAAGGCAGAGAAAGCTAAAGAAAATGGAATAATCAAGCCTGAATAACTGTAAAAAAGCAATAATGGAAAGAAATTGCATTTGGCAATTGCATCATGGAAATTCACTGGAGCCTATGTAAACAATAACCAGAGAGTGGGGGATAATCTGTATTAACCATTGTGAGCAAAAATCCCCTTTTAATACATTTTTATGGGTATGAAAAGTTGATTCTAATGAACAGTGAAGATATTCACAGTTTGTAATCATGCACATTTGTTTTTTATTTGTAAAGATAATAAAATAAAACTAAAACATAAAGTCCAACAATGAGAAAAAAAAATGGGAAGATGCTTAATAGTATAATCCATGTTTCAGTTTAATTGATTTAAATTGTTTTATTTTAGAAAGCAGATTTTTACTCTTAATAAGAACAACATACCTCAGTTAATGGAGAGGACTGGGCTGGAACATCAGACAGCAGTGCTTTGACTTCAGATAAACACCTTTTAACAATTTCCTAATGGTACAAAACAAGAAAAAACTTGTACTATCTGTGTAGTACAAACATATGTTGTACTATCAGTATCCTCTGATAAGCTAACAGATGGCTCAGCCTTAGAAAATTTTTCAGAATATTCAAGTGTTAGGTTATTCCAGTTGAATTTACAGCAAAATAAATCATAGCTGATGAATATATTTTTTCTGCAACACAAATAGTTGTGTTTCCTGTACAAACACAATGCCCAAATCTTGCAGTTTCTACTGAGGCAAAATTGCTCCTGGTTCAGGTTTTAAATCCAGTGACTGAGCATACTTTTGCTATGTGTTTACTGAAGATATGATAAACAAACATCCTGACAAGATGATATTTATACATGTATAATGCATGGCACGTTAATCTTATTAGTATTCTAAACATTGTTTTACCAATTACTGACATATATTAGTGAAAGTTTGAGCAAACACCTTCAGGTAATCAGAAACACCCACTAAAGGACAGCTCTATCTACCCTTGTGAAAACAGTGATTGGCTAAAATATCATTTGTTCTCCAAGCTGGTCAAAATACAGCCTCGTAATAATGGCACAGTGCACAACTGTCACTGTTTCACAGCATCCATCAGACAAAATGACAGCCTCTACATCATTAATCATTTCACATAATAGATATAAAGAGAATCCTGTCACATGATAAATGTCTCCCACTTTGAAAATAAACGTCTATTTTGCCTTGGCATTTATCAAGCTGCACTTATGCTGCGGCAACATTCTATTCCAATGACATTATCTCAAACAGAGCACATGGAATATTCTGAGATTACCTTTTGTGTGTGTGTGTATGTGGGGAGATTTACTTGGCTTGTGGACCATATTCAACCTAATATGCTAATAAAAAGAAAAGAGGAAGATGGCACAGAGAAAATGAAAATAAATTCAGTTCCAATTTTAGTCATCTCTCAATAACGTTATTAGAAGGTTCTTATTTGAGAAACCACCACTGCCCATTTTACATTGAAGATGTGTAACTGATGTTTAAAAAACACTTTTGGGTTGATCACCAAGCTGATTTAACACAGTGCCAAGGATTTTCAGATGTAGATTACTATAAATTAGGTATCAGTTTCCTAGTCTATGTACCTGAAGAGGTAGCCTGTATTTTCAAGTAGAAGGTTGAAAATGCATGGTTTTTTTTTCCTAAAGTGACAAGCAATATATTAGGAAAAGTTAAATATTAAATAGAGAGTGAAAGTATTTCAACTTTTCTTTAAAGAGGTGAGGGAAGCTTAATGTCTGCCTTCCAAGTTGCCTGTCATTTATTTCCCCAAAATAGACATCTTAAATCAAGTCAAACATATATAAAAGCCAAACTGTTCTCACTTACTTCCGTTTTTTCATCAAGATGCACTTGCACATCACTCACTCTGTGTCTATCTGAAAGACTTATTTTCCAAGTTTCACTTTGCGTAAGAAAACTTGTTGGTACTGAAGTTGAAAAGCTCTTAGAACCTTGCATCATTATTTCAACTTGCTCCTTCAGATCAGTCAGTTTCTCCCTTAAAGAAATAATTCTAAAAGAAAACAGGGTTTTTTCATTATTATTGGTATAAAACAACAATATTTGTTGTTTCCAGGTTATAATTAGGCTGATCTAGCTTTTATTACATATTGATTAGATTCTACATTTTCTTTAATTTCAAGACTGATCTCATAATTTTACAAAAATAAGCTTTCCATTTAATAAAGTGGAGATATAAAATGCATTAGCTTTTTACATGAAAAATTGGAAGAATTATTTTAGGAATGTGTCTCTAAGAAAAGGTTTTTTTCAGCCAACCAGCACAAGGGTGGCAGAGACTGCCCATTATTTCTTCTCATCCACCCACTAAGCAGTTCCAAAAATGTTAAGACAAGATGAATGATAAGGAAGAAATAATGAAAAACGCCATAGGATGTAAAATTCAGGTCAGTCTGGTGCTGCAGCTGAGAAAAATTCTTGCATTCTCAGGGTTGTCATATGGGATGGAGAAAGTAGGTGATCCACTGAGAGAATGGGAATAACTGCTGGGAGTGCTACTTACGGCTGCTACATTGCTATGCCAGTGTCATATAATTAGCATATGTTACTTGGTTCTTTAAGAATCAAAACTAAAATGCTAATGAATGCATTGAAAAAGCAACTGCTTGGATGGGTTTAACACTGTGTATGACATCTTACAGGTTTTACAGTCAAAAATCCTTGAAAAGAAAAAATGAATGCTTTTAAAGATTTACAGCTCTTTGATATTTTGCACTTTACTTTCTCTCATCCTAAATGGCTGATTGATGTTTAATACAGCATGAAATAACAGGACAGAGTCAGTGATTATTTACCTAGCCAATGGAATCCACAAGTGGCCTGAAAACACAGACGTTGGAGTAAAAACAGTCATTTCGCTAATCTTGATAGGGTTTATGTTATAAGCATAAAGCAACAAAACCTATAAAAGAGACAGAATGGGTAAACTGTAATGCAGTAGACCTGAGCTATTTCAGCGATACAAGATACAATAAATATCAAATATAATGTACTGATGAAGCCTTAGATAACTGGCCTTCAAAAAAGAGAGGAGTGTGACTTCATATGAATTTGTACTCCACTCAGTTTTTATAGGCTTTAAATCAATTTAATTAATTAAATTGAATATAATTACTATGGGTTTGAAAATTAGGTATACCCTGTGGTGCCACTTTGAAAATCCCAGCATTGTCCTGATTCCCATCAATCATATGCATGGCTGTCATCATGCTAGGTTTAAATCCATGAAGTGTGCATAACTCACCAATCTAATAAAGCCATATCATTATAAGAAAATTAAATAGAATATTCTCATCTTTCACTGCAATAATTTATTAGTGCAGTTGAAAATATGATTCCTAATAGTAGCTGAGAATTTTGACTGTATAGAAAATGTCAAGAATATGGCATTCATACATTATTTGATTTTAAGACTTGTGTCATGTCCTCTACTGATCTGTATGCTAATGCTAAAATAACCTGCAAAACCATATTAAAAGGTACATTATTTACATTAACTTCACAGAGCTTCTATCAGTTCCCTAATAAAGATAAATGGATCCAATAGAAATTTAGAAACAGATCTGCTATGCAAAAAAGTTTGAGATCATAGATTTTTTTGCTGTAGCAGAAATTTTACCTACATGTTGTTCCCTTGTGTGAAAATAAAACAAATTCCTTGTCATAGTCTCTGGCATTCCTGCAACCTTCCTATCTCTTTCATTTTTCATGTTCAGTCTGATCTTTTAGGAAAATGAGGCTTATAAAATCTTATTTTCCCTGCACATGTGTATCTTTGCTTTTCCAAGAGTCTCCCACCAAACTATTATTCAAATGTATCATGCAGGTCTACCCAAACTTAGAGTGGAGATCTTAAAGACTTCAGGGATTTACAACAGGGATGAATACAGTATGGCCTGGAAGCTCTATATGGGCGAAAAAAAGTGGAGTTTTGGCCTGCCAACAAAAAACTGTCAGGGCATTCTGCTTTGCTCTAGTTATACCTTAGTTTCTGTATGGTTTGATGGCTTTGCCACAGAAGGAATATACCACTGAATGTAAATTTCCTTATCCAAAGCATTTGTTGCTCTACTCTCTGTCCGCTTATCTTCTGTGGCGACAGAAACTGGAGAAGCTACTCTCACATGTGACACTAATGATGCAATTTCAGTAATATCAAGAGACACCTGAAACACAAAATAAAGGTTTAAATTATATTTTCTGTGGTGAGACAGGAAAAATCTGTTATAATCAAGTGTCTACGGGAATTGGTATGACTTTCATTCCAGCATAAATATATGTTTATTTAGGTAAATGGGTAGTTTTTAAAAGTGTCCTTTTTACCAAGTTAAGACTTTTCAACGCTCATGTGATGACACATTTCTAAAGGTAATACAAAGGGTCTGTAGTCTGACTTAGAGACACCCACAGTCACAATGATTGTTGCCTTTGACTTCAAATCATTATGGCATTGTGGGTTTGGCTCAAATCTGGTATTTGGCACACTGATGATACAAAATTTAGTGATAAAAAAGTAATTTGTCAAGCATACATATTGATAATTAAAACAGGATTCTGAATGTTAGACTAATGCTTTATTTATGTTTACCTATCTGTTTTCTCAGCTGTGCAACTAACAAAGGATGACACCTGCTGAAAATTAAATCACTTAATTTGTGAGGATTTGTTGTATTTTTATAAAATACATATGGAACATTAGCAGGGCATTCATCAAACAGCTACTGTTGGCTGTCATTCACCAGGGAATTAATGCAGGAATACTGTCAGTCAATATTCATTCATGAACCAAACCTTTTCTTAAAATTGTGAAATATTTGATTTAAAGGCTGAACAGTAACACACCATCTCTGTTTTTTAAATTATTACATAGATCTATCTGCAAAGAAGACTGGCCAGTCACATTTTCAGGTAATGTGGAAACTATTTGGAATGGTCCTAATATCTCCATCATTGATTCAAAAATCTGGACACTAAAAACAGCTCTCTGGGGAGTTAGTTCTTTTCAAATTTTGAATGTCCACGGCAGAAAAAATGGAGAATTTTATCTACCTTCTCTACAGAAATTTCAGCGTATGACAACTACAGGGAAGTAAATCCAAGTGAACAGAAGATGGACTTTTCACAATAACCTAATCTTATGCCATTAAGCCAGTTACCATCCCACATGAAACTTTAGTAGAAGTGAAAGTAACGATGAATCCAGGCATGTGGAAGTCATAAATTTGAATGCATGGATGTGCTTCAGTGGCCATAACCCACGGTAAGCCATGGGGTGTGCATGGAAGACCCACCTCCTACAGCCCTATTCTAATTCAGTTATGAATCACCCAACTATCCTGCTAGCATGGACTGCAAACAAAACTAGAAGAAAACACATATATGGACATGGGAAGAACCTAATTTATGATATGCCCCTGAACTAGAGCTCTTAAAATCCCATTTTATGCTATATATTTCTTTCTTAAATGTGTGTTATGGTTGTTTTTTTTTACTGAACTGCACCCTTTGGATTTCTATTCATATTGAATCTTTTTGAAGAAGGACATTACAATGGCTGTTGTCCAACTGGTGGGTTGCTGAATATCATACATAAAACATTTGTCTATTCAACTTTCTCAAAAATCTGAAAACAATCTGTCTTAGTTAAGTATTTCCAGTCCTACTTACTATCATGGAGCAGAACAAAAAACAAGCATGAAAAATGTAACAGGGCTCAGAATTTTAATTATAGACCTAATGTAATTTGGATTCTTTGGTCAGCAGACCTGAAAAAGCCTTCAAGAGCCAAAAATAGAATACAGAGATAGATGTAAGCAAAACAACTTCATAGATAAAAATCATTCTTTCAAAAGGTATGTCTATTTGTACTGTTAAAACTCACAGTAATAAATTACAGTTACATTTTTAAAATAACATCTATAACCTTCTGGATAGTTAAAGCTTCTAAAAATGTGATAAAAATCAATGAATCTTAGAATTAAAAAAAGTAAGAGTTTTATGCTTGTTAGCTGTCTACAACAGTGAAGTTAACACATGATTATGCAGCTTGTACCCGTCATGAACATGACAGTGAGCTCTGAAGCTTATTATTCTAGGACACTGTAATACTAATTATGTCAAAAAAAGAGCAGACAGTAAAATAATTTTTGATATATGATGGCTGTTATAAATGTCACACACTATATTTACAATTTATTCAGTGGCACAGTCAGCTCTTTGTTGGGAAATGAGTAATGATATGCTGTCCAACACTGTAGAAAGTTCACCAACTCTAGACAAGCTACTTTCACAGAAGTATTTTTATTCATTGTTATAACATACCAAGTTCTCCCTCCTCAAGGCTCCCGTCTCCATTTAATACTGAGTCAAATAACTAAAAAATAAGCCACAGCGATCTGTTGTCGCAGCAGACCGCATGTTAGAGATAGAAATGAGAGAAGAGACACACTTTTGTTCATGCAATGTGAAAAGATCCCTGTTCATTCTTCCTCACAACTCAGCCATCCTGACTCCAACTCCAGCAGACTCAGCCTACAGCAAGCTCCCACTGTAGGCTTCCCTTGCAGACTCTGACTGGCCTCACAGCAGCAATTCTCTCTCCCGTTTGGTCAGTCCTTCCTCTGGATCATACCTCATCTGGTCTGTCCTTCAGTTCCTCCCCTGACCGGCCAACCTACCCTTTTATCACACTCATGCTTATTGGATATAGCTGTGATTCATCGGGGTAAGGTTGCCTGTAATCCCTTCTGCTACAATTCCCTTTTTCTTTTAATTACCAAGACACATTTAAACAGACACATGCCCATGTTCCACTTGAGACTAACAGTTATACAGATGTTTAAATACATGTATTTAATAATTTAATCATTATATAATTATTATATTATATTATATTATATTATATTATATTATATTATATTTAATACAGTAAAACTACTCCATCTCCAGCACCTGGCCTGGTTCACCCCTTGCCAGTCAACCTGGTGTCTCACAGCCCCCTGCAGGTCACCATATTGATGATTCCACCTCTCGGAGCTCCGGCGGCCCTGAGGCGACCGGTCTGGGTCAGAGCCGTATGTGCTGCTCCCGCTCTGGTGCTAGGAGCAGGAACATGGAGAACCACACCGTGCACCCCAGCCACACTACCAAGGTTGTGTACCAAATCCCATCGGGGATGCCCCCAAACATGTCCCTGTGTCCCGGCATTCAGCCCAGAGCCGGTTACTGACCAGAGACACTCGAGCACTCTGTGTCCTGCAAGCTTTGCCCAGTAAGTTCTTGTGCAATCCCAAAACATCTGTACTGTGAACCCAAAAACTATCCAACAACCAATGCAGACTGCCCCAGCAGGCAACTGTGAGACCTCAGGCTGCAAGCTAGAGCAGTGAAAAACCTCCCCAGGCTGCAGGACCTGCAGAAAACCCTGAAACAGAAAGCACCTCTAAACAGAAAACCAAAGAGACCAAAAAGAAAAGAGACTAAAAAAAGGCAATGGTCTCTTGATGATTTTGAAAGTGGTCATCCTCCAGGGAAAGGAAAATTTGGGTAAGTGTACCTGGCACATGAAAAACAAAACAAATTTATTCTTGCACTGAAAGTGCTCTTTAAAACACAGCTTGAGGAAGCTGGTGCAGAACATCAACCACAAAGTGTTAGGCACCCTAACATTCTCAGATTATATGGCTACTTCCATGAAGTGACAAGAGTCCACCTGATCCTGGAGCATGCACTTTGTAGAGAAGTCTACAGGGAATTTCAGAGGCTCACCAAGTTCTGTCCCAGCAGACCTCATATTTTTGGTATGAAAGATGAAGATTTACAAGAGTAAATTTACAAAAGTAAATAAATAAAAGAGTAAAAGCCCTTACTGAGTAACAACCAACTTTATTAACCAATAAAAGCACCTTTTTAAATATAATTCTTTTTAATCTTCTAGGGTCTAAATACACTGGCTATGGGATGAAGATTATTTTTGCAGGACTGAATAACACATGGATATTTGCATTTGTTAACTACGTAATTCACTGCTTGCACAGGATTTTGGTTTTGTACTGATCTTCTGCATAAATAATTTCATTCTTCTATAGTTCTCCCAGAAATATCACCACTGGAATTATTGAGAACCTGAATGAAATACCAGTATAATATTTTTGAAACATTAGAAAGAACATAAGTACCTCTGAAGAATCACTGTGACTACTGAGTGACACTTCTACCTCACGTAGTTCTTCTGGAAAATTCTCAAGACAACACATTGAATATTCAAACAAATTCTTTTCAAGGAAGGAATGCATTTCTGCTATGCGCAGAACAATTCCTGTGTCAGAAATCAAACCAAGGTGTCCATCTCTTGCAGAAACTGACCCGGGTCCTGGGTTAGGGGAAGTTTTTAAAAGATATTTTTAAAATTACATCATTGTTTTCCATTAAATTGTCAAGTTACTACAGCTACTCTATGTTCATAAATTTTGGAAACATAATAAAATATGTAAATAGATTCAATATCAAATAAATGCATATCCAACAATTATACTGATTGTCCTTAAATATTACTAGCTTATGTTATTTGTAATTTTTCACCAGTGATCAGATAATGAAACAAATTCTCACTAGACATTATAAAGTAGCATCAAATGGGAAGTGTAATTTTGAGGTGTAGGTACTTAAATTCAGAGTCTAAGCACCAGTATGTTCACTAGATGCCTAAGCACACACTAGAATAAACACATTCAATATTATATTATTCAATATATATATATTATTCAATATAGTCAAAATAAGCTTTAAGAGCTCTTAAGACCCCAGTTTAGACAGCTAGGGGCTGATCAGCTGATTTTCTCCCTAGGCTCCCCAATAGGTAACTAAAGGTGAGATTTACATGCATGTTCCAATACCTACTTGACGATACCTTCCTGTCCTTACAGTTCTGTGGTGAGCCAGAATATTTTCATTTAGTGTTGCAAGGAGAAAACCCAGCCCTCTCTGGAACTGTTATTTCCAGAGTTGCTAGGTTTCTCTCTAAATAAGACCTGTATGTACAATGAAGTATTCTTCTCATCTACTGGGTCATCACTTGTATATCTAAAAGCTGGCCATCACATGTAGGTGCACAGTCTTAAGGCCTTGCAATTAATGGATTCTTACTCTGTTTGAAAGGCCCTATCTATTACCATGTTCTGTTTACAGTGAAAGAATCCATGCATGCAAATCACATCTGGGGTTTCAGTCAAAATGCATTCAATAATGCTCAGCCTTCCCATTTACCCTACACTCAGGTCTCCAAAATGGAACCTCAAACTGAACAGATTTATTTATGATGTGACTTAAGCTTGGTTTTTCTAGAACTTCCAATGTAGTAATAACAATTAAATTTTGAGGGAATCCTTCCTGTTTTTGTGGAGGCTTATGAATAATTATGAAGAAAGGTAATCTTCACTTGCATCATTTATAAACTGACATAAATCTGGATTTCCATGAAGATTTTTTTGCATTTATACAATTTAAAGGAATTCAAAATTAGGCTACTTCAGCTGACAGACTTTACACCTGACACTGTTGGTCCTCAAGAACAGTATCTCATCTTTAGCAGTGTTCTAGAAGGAAATAAAAATACATACCAGAAAGGTTTGTGTTATAAATTCTTTTTAAATGATTGTAGTAGCGAATTAGGTGAACCCATGTTATTTTATCTTTCTTCTGGCTGGCCTTGGTGAAAAGACTTTCTGTTCCTTCACTTTCACTCTGACAGTCTTCTGTGATTTGTTTGTTTTCAGTAGAAGATACTTGAGGAGTTTCAGAGACAACCTTGTATCCATCTGCAACTCCAATCAGAATTCAAGAACACACATTAAGTGGTTGGAATTTAAAGGCTATTTCTGTGTTGTATTGGAATTGACTAATCTGTAACTAGAAGTATAACTTGTGAAACTGCTTCTATTTTTCATACAAGAAAAATTATTTCTATTCTGCATTGAGTTGGAATAGTAAATAATCTTAAAATTAGTTGAAAATTGTTTCTCAGATCATGGGCAGGAACCTTACTAATCCTTGCAAGAAATTCAAAAAGAGTAGAGACCAAGGTGCATTCTCTCTCTCTGAATTTGAATATAAAACCATTAATTCTGCCTGTTGTTCAATAGGAGATATTTACTAAATGGAAACAACACAAGGAATCATCAATCATAACTGTGTCAGCTGAACCTCCCAGTTACATTGACCCAAACTCAGAAGAGTTAGGTACTCTGAACTATTCATTGTTCGTTTTAATCCTTCGTCCCCTTTGGATATTAAGCATATTTTCAATTAAATATACTCTAAACTGTGAAATAAAACAAAAGATAATATTTTCCTTTGTGCTGCCTAAAAGTTGTACTTATGCAGAAAGAGGAAAAATTTATCAGTATAGATATCACTACATCACTGCTTTTATTCAGTACTGGTTTTTACTGTATTAGTACACAGCTCTTTCAAAAGCACAGTTATTGAGCTCTGTTTTTCACTCCAGATTGAACAAACGTTATGTTATCGTGATTCCTAACAGTAAGCTTTCAGAAAATAATGAGTGCTTCTACAAAATCTGAATATCTCTATTATTCCTGACATTTCACTGTCAATGACAAGAGTTTCAATGGCCATACTGTCTTATAGATGAAAACTTAAACATGCGTTTCATTAAAAGTTTTATAGAAAATATTTAGTGTGCTATGCTGATAATTTCCAGTTTTGTATTTTGGCCTACTATTGCTTTTCTGCATTTTCTATTCTTCTTTGTATTGGCTAACAGAACTATCAGGAGAAACACCTGCTGCATTTGCTAAAAGAAACAATGATCTGTAATTATAAGCAAATGGAGCCAGTACAAAACAATCAGATGGAAAGTCTTAGCATACAACACTTGTTTTCATAAACCAATCAAAACACATATGTTTAAACACTGTACAGTATGCAGACATGGCTCAGCTTTGCCAGCACCTATCAAAAAGAGCAATTCAATCTTTCTCAGTCACTTGTGATAATTGAAATTAAGTCACTGAACCAAAATTTTATCACTAAATTAATGGTTCCTAGTTTAAAAATAAACATTATGATTTTGCCTTAGTGTTTATATAACATCTAGCAGTCATTATCTCAGAATTCCTAGTTTCACTGTTGGATTTCAGTATGGATTTCACTGGGGATTTTTTTTTAGATCAAAAACTTCCATTTCATCAATTCTTTTAGCTAAAAAATAAATGCAGAATTTAGTTACAAACCAGGCAAAGTTCTACCAAGCTAGTGGAAGCATATCTAAATAATAATCCATTGGATTGGAAAGACTTTGTAAGAGTTTGAGCTTGTTAGTTTTGGTGGGGTTTTGGTAGTTTTGTTTTTATTGTGTTGGTTGGATTTTTGGGGGATGATGCAGGGAGAGAAGTTATTCAACACTAACATCTCTTTGCAAAATCAAGAGGAAAACAAATTCTCCAAGAGAAAGCTAATATACCTAGGGAAAAAAATCAGTTATAAGTCAAGGTTTGGGGAAAAAAAGAAAAAGAAAAAAAAGCAAAGAAAGCAGTGATGATTGATAGGGAGGCCAATATCTACTTTATGTGACTGTGGATGTCCTGTAACAAAGGACCATCTGCTTTTCCAAAATTATGGCAGTATGTGCACTCTGTCTTTCTGAAACACAGTATGCAAACAATTAATTTTTCTTAACATATTGAACAACTGCACAGGCTGATATTTAAAGGCCCATGAAGTCTCTAAATATTTTGTATTGCTATGCACGATGAGACTTTTGCTTTTACTTTCCAAAACTGATATATAATCTTTCATAAATTAAAGTTAGATATTAAATTTTCTAATATTACTAGATATAAAGGAATACCAGATATGAAATCTCTGTATGAAGAAAAAAGATCCATAGAAGCAAATTCTGGGATTTTTTTTTTCACGTCATCCTTCATGTGCTTTTCTTTAATTCTCTTCATTCCAATTAACTGCTGAGAAGCAAGCACAGCTTCACTGACCTAAAAATAACATTTATTTTATTTGGGATTCGTTCTCAGAGTAGCAAGATGAGGACAAAAAATTATTTATTAAACATACTATATTTTTAAAAGTTAGGACAATATTAAATTTCTTTCTCACATAAGGTACACATTCTATCTAAATAAATCGTTACTGCTGACAGCTTAATTACTACATAGTGATTTCAAACCAGATATCCTCATCTGGATGTTACTGATGTTTGCCCACATGTCAAATACACATGCACACATATCAGGCCATGTGCCATTTTATTTGCACTGAATCCAAGTTAAGGTAAACAGAGTCAGATCTGTCCAAGAGAGATTAAATGCATTATTCAGTGTCCATTTTATTAAATTTGTAATTAAATTGTAAATTTTATTAAACAAGACCCATGCCAGAAATTTCAAGAAATCTTCACTCTTGTTTATATTGCCTTATTAGTATTAGTAGAATAAGATGAAATGTAAGAATAGAAGAATCTCTTCAGGATATTGCACCAACCTGTGCAGCTGCTCTTACTGCAATCCAGGCTTGTACTCTGTAGACTTCTGTTTGCATAGCCTCCTCAGAAGACCGATCTTCAGAAGTGGTCTAAAATTATATACCAGTTCATAATCAGGATTCTAAATATATTATGGTAAATTATATTCCAAACATAGAAAAAAAGTCCTCCTACTTACAATATTACAAACATTATTACAAAAAATTACAAAGTAATTGTTTTATTTGAAAGTTGTAAAAATTGGCACTGACTGTAAATCCATGGATTAACTGCTAAAAATGAAAAAAAATTTCCAGAGCATACTAATTGGCTGCTCCTGGAAAAAGTTTCCTCAGAACAGCTTATACTGTGGTCACTACTGTATACAGTGTTGCTATCATATTCCATTTTTTTGAATCTTCATTACCTCTTTTCTCCAATGTTACACATTTTGCTTTCTATCTGTGGCTTGTAGAAACCTGTATTTCTCATGCTGTCATTCATGTTTGTATAGAAAAATTGGAATCTGATAAAGTTAGCATTTAAAAATATGTTTGAATGTTTGAATATGTTTGAATGTTAACTATATTTTGCAAGGTAAAAATTAATTAATATATAATCAAAAATGAAAACACTTGGGTCTGTGTCTTCCTATTTCGTACAGAAAAATATTTTAAATACTATCATTCAATGCAATAAAAGGAAGAGATAAAATCAAACAAGATCAAATTCTATTATTTGATTTCTTTGTGTGATTTTTCTAGGAGGACTTTCAGTATCAGTATGATGTAAAAGTCTCTGCAATTAATAGTATGGCAAGGTGCACAATATACATTTCCTGTTTGGAAGAGGCCACTGCCCAAGAGATAGAAAACACACACTTGATTTGGAACGCACCAAATCTGTCTGTGATTCGTCCTCATTAATTTCAGCAAAATTCAAATATGATAGTGCTATTTCAAGGTATGACCGTCTTATTAACCTGTAAGAAACAACATATAGAATAATCAGCTTTACTATCAACGTAAGCATTACAGTGATACAATCTGACTCCTGCATAAGGCTAGCTAGACACCTCACCAAATAAACCATTCATCCAGCCCCTGTCATCTACTTTAAGTGTAGCTTCTTTCAGAAATCCATGGGATCCTGTTTTAAAAGTCATGTGAGTCTAAAACGTCCCTATGGTGTGCTTAACAAGTAACAGCTTGATTTAACAGTACATCAAATATAATTTGCATTATTTGAAACAAATATTCCATAAATAAATTGTAAATGTTTAGTAAGAAAACCCTACTTTCACAAGGGAAGTGATATTCCTGTAGTGTTTGCCTTCCTTGCTCAATTTAAGGCATTTATACATTGCCCTGGTTTCCCTGAAACATATCTAGCTAAATTTGGATTCAATCAAATTGGATCCTCAGTCAAACTCCCAAGAATCAGCTAAAATACCCACAGTGACCAAAACTTTTGTTTCCTAACTGGGCTCAGATGAGGAACCTTCTTAGTTTTGAGTTCTGTACCAGAATGTTTCACATCTTCAGACAGTGATCACCTATTCCCACTCTCCTCCTATGTTTCCTTCTCTTTTCAGTGATTTTTACAGTAGTATTGTAAACTAAACAAAAGTCATGGAATCATAGAATGGTTTGGGTTGGAAGGGAGCCTTTAAAGGTCATCTAGTCCCACTCCCCTGCAAGGAGCAGGGACATCTTCAATCACATCAGGTTGCTCAGAGCCCCTTTCAAGCTTACCTTGAATGTTTTGAGGTACAGGGCATTTACTAACTCTCTGGGCAACCTATTCCAATGAATCACCATTGTAAAAAATTTCTTCCTTATTGTATCTAGTCTGAATCTACCCTCTTTTGGTTTAAAACCATTACCCATTGTCCTATCACTACAAGCATTACTAAAAACTCTATCTCCATCCTCTAAGCCCCCTTAAAGTATTGAAAGGCTACCAGAACATCTCCCTGGAACCTTCTCTTTTCCAGCCTGAAAATCCAATTCTCTCAACCTTATCTCACAGGAGAGGTGTTCCAGCCTCTCATAATTTTTGCGTCACTCCTCTGGACCTGCTCCAACAGGATCACGTCTTTCCTGTACTGAGAACTCCAGAGCTAGGTGCAGCACCACAGGAGGGATTTCACCATATCAGAGCAGAGGGGCAGAATTATTCCCCTTGACCTGGAGAATTTCTCCAATGTTTCTATTCCCTATAGATTTATAACAATCTTTTTATGCAGATTCTTGCTGGCTCTGCAGGTTTCTTCAGATCTCATTTATGACTTCCTCAAGCATAGCAACAAACTCCTGCTCACATAGTTGCTATTCTGGACAGATTAATATTGCACAGAGTTGGTTGTTTATATAGTACAATAAATTCCAGCTTTAGTACAACTGTGTAAAGCAAAATACAAAAGTCAGAGTATCGTACAGTTAAAGACTTAGCAAATTAACTGAGAAGATGGCAAATTCTACACTTGGTTGGCAACAATTTAGTTAAATTTCTAGTCTTGCTAACAAAAAAGGATGTGAGACAAAGAAACAACTTTAATTAAACAATCCCACAGATATCACAGGCCTTGTATAAATGAGAGCAGGATGTTAAGCTCTCTAAAACAAGAAAGCCATGGTCCATTGATGTCTCTGTACATTCTTTTAGAAAGATGGTAGCAAATTAAACAAGAGTGTAGCAAATTAAACTTGCAAAACTTCACAGTCCATTTCTGCACCATCTTTCATCATGCTGGCTGCTTGTTGAGGTTTATTACTATGCTACTACTTCTACATTCAGAGTTCTGGTTCATTAACTTAAGTAACAGAATACCCAAACAAGCAAGGTAAATTGCTGCCTTTACACTGTCTCTAACTAGACATGGCACATTATTCATTTAGACTGGTCAAGAAACAAAAAAACTGAAGTCCAATGTATCAGAGCTGCTTGACAGAATTTATTGGCTGTCTTGGCTCAGCTCTTCAGGCATCTTCTAGGCTGATAACTAATGCCAAAGTCACTGTCCTGATATCTGTTACAAACACATTTCCTACGCTCCTTCTGCCTCTGCTCTTCTGACTATTTCTGGCTGGTAACCTTTTCAAGCTGGATTTCTGTTATCTGGAAGGGGGCAGACCACAGCTCATCTTCTGAAATATGAATAAACCTCCTGTTTAATTGATAGCTCTGTTCCCAGTGTTGACAGATAGGGTACAAATTTGGAAATAGAACAGAAAGCTGCAATTTTAGTGTAGCACTAAAAAGTGCTTTTAAATGTTCTTATTTGTTTTAAGTAAGAGAATAAACATCCACTAGCTCTTCTCGATTGAAATAAAACTCTCTAAAACATAAAAGATACTCTGTAATAGAAATCCCAGACCAAGTCTCAAAAAACTGTTTAAAAATTATATTCATGTATTATTTAAATTCTTTTCAAAGTTATATAGCTATATTCTTACTCATATTTTTGATCGTGTTGCTGGCTGATCTTAATAGCTTCCAACAGGGTTTCAATAGTTTTAGATGATTTGTTATTGCCTGCTTCAGTTAGCTGGCGTTCTATCTTACCTTAGAAAGAAATACAGAAAGTAAATTTTCAAGATGTTAACAATTTTTCTTCTGTAGGACCCACCCAATCTGTTTTTCCCTCCAGAAAAGTTGAACACAGTACATTATCTATTCTCCTGATAAGCAAGATCTTTTCCAGTTTGTTTAAAAGGTAATGCACAATGCCTGTGTAACAACTCTCTTCATTGAGTAGATAAAATAACCAAACTTGGGAATCATAACATTTCCTAGCACTTCCTGATCCCAACTAGCAGAGCACCGTATATAAGGAGTTGATGAGCAGACAGAGGCCTGTTCTGTGCTGCTGTGCACACGCAGTGTGGCCCTCAGGCCACAAAATGTCTCCATTTTTAGAGCTACCATGCATAACATTGCCTAGGGAGGCACTCAGGATGTACAAACAGGGGGTTATTTACCTATCTGAAAAAGAAGTTGAGCTTTCATATTAAATTTTTTTGTTGCAGATGATCTGCAAAGATTCAATGCTGATTTTAAATGCCTGAGAGCATATAGCCATTGCAAGCGATCTGTTGCAGCTGTAGAAGTCACTTTTTCAGCTAATGTGTGTCCTAAAGCAAAAAACCAAAACAGTTCTTTGAACATTATTTAGTAGACAACCAATTAATGTGAAAATAAGCTAATTCTTTAGAAGAGATGCTGCTAGACATTTACAGTTAAAATTCAATTTCCAAAAATTCATGTGATCGATGGATATAAATACAAAATTATAATATTGTTTGTATGAGTGAAAGTTAAGTAAAACTTAAAAATAATCATGAGTTGTGTTTTTCTTACCAATTTTCATTTTGACTTGGGCTAGCAAGTTAATATATGGCAGGTAGATATTCTTCGTGGGTAAGACCAGACAAGTCAATGTACTGTCTTTTTGCCATTCAATGGGTTCACCGTAATCAAAAATCTATGAAAAGAGTATGCTCATTAAAATCAAGCTGCAGACAGCAAATTAAATAGCAGTTTGAAGAAGTAAGTTAGGTATTGCAAAACTGAAGTGTCTTGAAAAGAGCACTAGAAAAGGATTCAATATTCTTGAATTCCTTTACTTTAGTGTGTACTTGTCTTGCAGAAGAGTCTTGTGATGCAAACAAACAATTTTAATGAACTCTTGATTAAATTTAGTAACTTTAGGCTTTGGCTCTTAAAACTCCCTAAAATTAGTATCTAAGAAGTAGATCTCAAGAGTAACCAAAGCCCTGGAAAGAAGCTGTCATTTCTACAAAGAAATCTGACACCCAGCAAAGGCTGGAAAAGAAAAAGAAATTAGCATGCAGGGGCCAGTCAAACCTTTCATTCATGGAGATAAGACAATGGGGTGACACTGTAAAGTGTCAAGTCACTTGAAGGCTAGCAAATCTCACAGTTGGAAGTTTGAGACTGAAGTGATCTATATGATTCTTTATTACTAAAGGAAATAAATATTTCAATGGATTAAACTTCTGTTTTAGAAAATATGAGGAGAGAGTTTGATCTAGAAACATTTCTCTATAACCTGTACCAAATTCAGATAAAAATGCCTATCTATTTTTGGATCCCAAACAGGTAAAGGTTTAGTACTCTCATGGAAGTGCATGTCTTTAGATTTATTTTTTTAATTACATATTTAAATTTTTACATGAAAATTATTTCTTCATACCAATTGTAACAATCCATCCACCTAAAGTATTCACCTACTTTAAACAGATTGTCCTGATTCAAATTATTCTAAGAAGCAAAGCTAAATTCTTGGATGCTTCAGAGTTAGGAATTTAATGAGATTTACATTCTCCCTGAGGTGTTCAGTATGAACATGTCCCTCATTGAAAATGGAAAAAGAGAGTGCTCTTCATCTCTTTAAAAGTCAAATTACCTGTATCTTTTCCTACATCTGGATGTGTATTTTGCAACTATTCAGTATTTTTAAATTCCGTGAAAATACCAGATTATACATGTGAGCGTGCATGATGAGTATGGATAAAGAGTTTGGTAAGATGAACTACTTCTTTACACTATTCTAATGTAGTTAAAACTGAAGTGATCAGTTACTAGGAATAGCCCTTTTTAATAACTGATAAAATAGTTTCCAGGATAAATAATTAAGGCCCTTGAAAGGATCTGGAAATGCACCAACATGTACTCACTGCTTTAATGGTAAGCTTATGTGCCAAAGCAAGCAAGTTTAATGGTTCCACTGCAGAAGAGCAATGTTCTGAATCCTCTGTTTGCAGTGACAGTATTTCTGCCAGCAGAAGCATACTTTTCACAAGAGTCAAAGAAGCTGGCAGAGAAATCAATGTATCTTCTTGGAGTAAACTGATGATATTCTGTTTGGACATAGAGAACATAAACCAAAGTAGTTACTATCTTCCTGTCTGTTTATGAGGACAAATCACGCAAAATGAAAAAAAAAAATCTATTTTAGAGGCACTATTTCAAACTTATTTAATGCTGTCATCAGCTGTTCTGACTACACAAAAAATGCATCAAAGAAAAGTGAAATTTTTCCTTTGTGTTAAAACCTGCAAAAGAAGTTTAACTTCTGCCACAGGACGTTTTTCTTGCAGGTCAAGAATAGCAGCTTGCACCATTATTTCAGCCTGAGTCTCAATATCACCAAAGGCTTCTGCCTCTAATATTACTTCTTTAATCACACTTCGGCGCTCAGCCACATCATTTCCTAAAAGAAGAGAATATATGAATAGTAAAAATAGAATAGAAAATACTTTACTGTGTGCTCCACCATTCTTAAGTATTACTACACTAAAAAGTTACAGAAAAGATGACATTATAAATTCCACACTGCACTTGTACAATTTCATTAATTTTGTGCCAAATTCACTTTTAAAAGAAAAATCACTTTGTTTCTAAACTGCACTAGGTGAAAGTTCATCCAAATACTTGCTTGTTATGCAAGCCACCAACATAAATATTACGGTATTTTAGATCTGTTCCACTTGTTCAAAAATCTGATTTTAGTTAAAAGAGTAACAGCCTTCAGAGAAATTATCCACCACTGATTAAGTAAGAGTTTGGCAATGGACTTAGACTGATTTTGATACTTAAGTGAGCATCAGAGTTGTTCACAGAACCAGGGAACAAAAAACATTTTATTCATAACCGAACTTCAAAAAATGTATTTTGCAATATCTCTCTTAAATCTTAAAAAAAATAATCAGAAAAATTTTTAGGAGCTATGTAGGGATATTTCATTTATTTGAGATATAGAAAGTGAAAATTATTTTGAGACTTTGAAAACCAGAAGTACTCAGCAACAGCACTTTTTAAAACAACCATACTTTATTAATGTGTTCTTAACACTAGAACATTTGAAAATTTTAGACACAATTATCAAAAGATAATGAACATTAAATGAAAATTAATATAATACTTTCTGTTTTCATCTTCTAGGTGATAATGTGCTCATAGATTTATTTTCCTTATTGGATTGATGAATTTAGTACAAATAATTTATTCAGTGGTAATACAGCCCCAGAATTAAGGTTAGTATTTTTTTTAACTATGAGTAAGAATTGTGTCTGTATAGGCTCATTTGCCCAGTATCATCCCAAAATCTAAAGCAAGAAAGTATAGTACCTTTCAAATCAACAACACCATGTATCTGTGTCACTAGTGCGGTCACTAGCATCGCTCGACACCTCAGCCACAAGTGTACATTCACGTGCCTCTCTGCTGTTACATGGGAAGGGAGCTGAACATCTTCAGTGGTGGAATCCTAGTAAGTCCCAAAAGCAAGAAAAATGTTACTTTCTGAGTAACATACTTGACTACAAACAAGGCAACTGGGCAGCATCTGTCTTGATTCAATTAATACAGATATATTACAAATGATAGTAACATTCTAAACAGAAGTTTATTTGAAGGGTAGATAAGTATTTTTAATAACAGGAGGCCATTTATTATTTAAATTTTAATACATATAAAAATAATTTTAAGCATTGAATATTAAACCACTTTTTAAGTGAGACTCCTTAAATATATCTATATATTATATTTGTTATGAAGAATAATTCTAAGAGTTTGGATTTTATTCCACTCCAAAAGGAATATTAGAAAAAAATCTAAGGCACACAGAAGTCTAATTGTAGAGCAGGATCAGTATCAATTTCTGGTACCTCATTAATGACTAGAAAGAAAATTTAAGTTATTGATTTCTAGAGTTTTGTGTTTCTAGTGTTTAGAAACAAATATTTGCGTAATGTAGTACTACAGATGTTTGTGAGAATTCTCAGCTCAACTCCTTGTGCTATCTTTATATATTCTAAAAGTCTTTCTATTACTGAAATTCTATAGTCCATGTTCTACTATTTGTTTCAACAAGCTGGAACACTGGACAATGCACCACATGCATTTTACTTATACAAAAAAATATCATGACTGACTTGCATTAATGCAAATGAGAAAAAAAATACCCATAGCTCAGTTACTGGCTACAGGACCATCCTAAGAAAAGAGAGGAGCAAGTGCAGAGAGACAGAAGCCCCTGCTATGCAACACAGACAGAAAATAATTAATTGTGTGCAATAAAGTCCAGTCTCAATAGATGTTGCAAAATCTCACTGCTCAATTGCTCTGTCCATGTGAGTCAGTTTGACTCACTGTGCACTCAAGAGTGACTGTGGTGTGTGACCAACAGGCATTCCAAAGCAGAGGTCAGAATCCCTATGCATTGGACAACAGAAGTCAGCTGAAATCTTGCTCCATGTGGAACACAGCTATGATGTGAAAGGGTCCATCTGGCTCTTTCAAAGAGAATTCCATTTTCAGTCAGAAAATCTAAAGTACCTTAACTGAATAATAAAAGATTTTCAACTGATAGCTACTTTTTCACTTCTTTTTTGTTTGGGGGGTTTTAAACAAAAGAAGATTTTCAGTGCTGCCATTTGAGAGTAATAGAAATAAAAACTGTAATTCCTAACCTCATACAAATTATAATGATGACAACAGACACATTGAGCACACTTTAAGCAAGCAGGTATCCAAAGCATGACAAAGATCATTTTTTCCCCAGGGTAATGGCAACCACATAATACAAATGACTGCTGTGTTCTAACATTATGGAAATCACTCAAAAATTAATTCAAGAAATATTCATATACAAAGAAAGATAAGTCTAAAACAAATATCCACACATACCAAACACTCCCTTTCATCCTTTTCTTCTTGAAAATGTTCCCCGTCAATGCTAAAAACTTTTGCATCTTGGAGAAGTCGAATTGCAGAGAAAGCCAAAGCAACACTGTGGTATTGCAATAGAGAAATATTATTATATATGTTATGTTATGTTATGTTATGTTATGTTATGTTATGTTATGTTATGTTATGTTATGTTACGTTAATTATATTATTATATTATTATATTATTGCAAAAGAGCACTATTATTTAAAAATACTAATTATATTTGCCACTTTATGATTTTATTAAAATAGATACTTTATTTTTTACTATGCCAGAGATGTAAATCAGCAGTTACCAATTTTGCATCAGTAAAACAAGGTTGCACTCAGACTATTTTCTGAATTCGTAGGCACTGCATCATAAAAGTGACAAAACAGCAGTAAGAGGAAAAAGCTGTGCCATAAGACAACCTGATAACATTTCACTTTTAGGGTGGTCAGACATTGGAATAAGTTGTCCAGGGAGGTGGTGGGGTCACCATGCCTGGAGGAGCTTAACAGGCATCTGCATCTGGGTGATACAATTTAGTGATTTAAGGGTCACAGTGGCAATGCTGGGTTGATGGTTAGACTTGATGAGCTCAAGGTCTCTTCCAATCATGAGGTTATATTATTCTATCAATAGCATATAAGCTAAAATATATCATATTCTGTTGAAGAAATCAAAACAGAACTCCATTATAATTTCCAGTCACACACAGAATTATAGAATCATTTTTACTGACAAAGACCTCTAAGATTGTCAAGCCCAGCTTTTAGATCTAGTCAAATCACTAGATCAACACCAACCATGGGATTTCTGTCTTCAGGAATAAGTTCTTAGAAATTAGAAGATGCAAAAATACTGAAAATTACAAGATACATTAAGAGAGTTCTATATCATCCACAACTAAGATTAATACCTTTATTTTTAAAACTTTTCTAGGCTATGCATTAATCCTGTTAAATCCACATGGTCAAATGCTCACAGGATCTTAGTAAACACCATCAAGGTAATGAGGTACCCCATCAGTAAGAAATCACATGACATTGCATCTACTGTACTCCCTCCCCCATACCCTAAATTCTTTTCTGGAGTTCACTCTGAACAGCACCTTTGAAAGATACAGACACCATTAGGACTGGTGCAACATTCAAGCCTATGTGTCAAAAAATGATGGGCTTAGATCTCAAAATATTGTCAGGTTTCTTAAAATATTAACTACTGGGTTTTTTCTTTTTTTGCTGTCTTCATAAGCACTCAGATAAACTCAGATAATGTTCCACTTTCATTACATATACAAAATGTGTGTCTACAGCAGCAGACTTCGTACATACAATTGTTTTATTAGATGAAGACATCTGCAAAGCCATCATAGACAGAACACCTTTTTCGTAACAGGAATTGTTGTCCAGAGGACACACTACTCAAAATATTCTGAGAATTGCAAAAATCAATGTCTCTGTATTGGTTTCTCCCAATTGCACATTTTCCTCTATGTCTGTAAATCTTTACTTTCCTACATCTTCTCTAAAACATTTTTGAGTTTGGTTTTGGGGACTGTCTGTCTGGGTTTGTTTTTTTTTTTACTATTCTACATGTTCTCTGCCCACAGAAACATTTTCCTAATAATTCTAAGCTACCAGAGAGTATGCCTAGCTCTCTACTTAAAAGATTTTTTTCAGCAGGTTAATTGTTAAAAATGTATAACCAAAGTTCTTATCTATGCTGGTTTTTTATATAGACTCTCTTTACTTTGAGACTGGCTGTTATGAAGCATATGAAAAAAAAAAAATAGAAAAGAATTATTAACACCTTTAAGTCTTTTTATGCTGCTAGAACAATGCAAAGAGTTCTTAATGCAAGAGAGATTCATGGTCTGTGTGAATTTACTGCTTTTGAGATGTTCTAGACTAATGGTTCCAAAGGCAAAGATCTTGCACAAAGAATGCTGAACAAGAGCTGAACTACTTCTGAATTACACACATTATTCTGTCAACTTATGTATAACCACAGAATGGATAACCTCCTGTTAAGATAAGAGAGCAGTTTAAGTCTTCCTGTCATTTCTGATTCTACCCTCCTTGCTGTTTTTGTGATGCAGACCTGGATGGATTACACCAATTCAGCACAAATAGACCCCAAAGTAACAATGAGAGCCAAAGCCATTAATATTTTGGCTTTTACCTTTCAGAATTCAATCCTCACGAATCTCTTTCATCATCCCTTTACCTCAGTTTTATTCAACAAAATGAAAACAGAATAAATCAATGTTGAATTTGATGATAAGTTTCTCTCTAACAACAGAAAAAGCGAAACAGAATTTGCTTATAAAAGAAAACAGAAAATAAGGATAATGCAATGATGTACCCCAACTACTTTTCTTTTCTTAAGAGTTCTCCCCTGAAACCAGACATCGAAGTTAAAATTACTGAAAAATCTGTTTTTTCTTGTAATATTGCTTGAGATGCTATGGTTCACATCTCAAATACCTTGGAGAAGGTACAGCACCTAAGAGTATATACAGGCTATTAACAAATATTAACCTGAATTCCTCAGCACCACTGCCTCAAGTTAACTGCTCTTGTCAACATTTAGCAATATTGAAAATGAGGCTATTTTTACCTATATGGTTACACATAGATTCCTTAAGTAAAATATAGACCACAAGCCCAAAGATTCATATATGCCTTGTTTTAAGTCACAATTTATTCATGTAAGCAGACAAGCACACATTTGGGTAATTAAAAAGCTCACATTTATAGGACAGACGCTCCTCTCCTTGAGATCAGTCGGATTAGTCCTATACATAAACTTAATTCTGAAACACATTTTTTTGCAAGACAGAAGCTTGCAATACAGAAGCTTCGCTTGATGAAATTTTTGTGACCCTCTTCTGCTGTCAACAAGAATGATGTGTCTATATATTTCCCTTGACAAAATACACATCCTTTTATCAGCTGAATCAGAAAGTGACAAGATGATCAAAATAGGAAAGTACAGCTGACTGTAACAATTTCACCACTAGGTCATTTCACTAAAGGAAAAAAAAAAAAAAGATGAATTTCTGTAATATCATGCAAAGTTTGATTTCTAGGCTGGCAGGCAGGAAACATTCAGCTGTCTGAAGAAATGTTTCATTTCTATCTGAGGCAGATATATCAGCAGTTTCCATGGCAGTGCAATAAAACTGCAAAATAGGTTAAAAAAACCCAAACTCTTACTTTGTTTTTTATTTTTTTTCCCTGCTACTGACCACTATCAAGATATAAGACCCACTAAACAAACCCCGTCAAAAATTTGAGAGTCACAGAAAGTGATCTATAAAATGCTTGACATCCATTGAAATCCTCAATATTCTAAAAAAGTTTCTTCAATCTGAGACAAGTTATAAACCAACAGAGAAACTAGTCTCTAGGATATAAACTGCATACAAAATGAAGGCTTCTTCATTGAAATCTCTTGCATATACTGGATATAATCAAATTCAGCAGGGTAAGAATGTCTGAGACAGAACTCTACTAATACAGGTTTTACCAAGCCTAGTATCAAGCTAAGATTACACACACGGTATTTCATAAGTGTGCATACTTGGTTACTAGTATAGTGCCTTTAAAAAATTCAGGACAGTCAAAAGTTTGATGAGGTGACTGTCAGTGACTAGTGGATTTCTCCTTGACAATCTAAAGTAAATTGATCTACTTCAAAACCCACTGAAATAGATTTATATTTCATGATGAGAAATGTCCACAATTAACCTACAAATTCTTGCTTTGCATCTTCACTAATGACATTACTGCTAAATGATTACAGTCCTAATATCTGAATCTTAGGGAAAATAACATAATAATTTTAAAATAACATACACAAAACCTGGGGGAAAGACCACCCTGCAGACTGTTACTGTTTTCAGTTCAGTAGTCTATACAGCACAGTGAAGTACCTGTCCTTGTTAATTATTGTTATTGCTGTACCATAACAATGCAAAAGAAATTGTGCTATTTAAAGGTATCGATTTGGAGAGTTTTTATTCAGCAAAGAGAGCTGAGAGAAGGAAGGTGGCTTGTTTTGTCATAGAATAAACCATTTTTTTAATTGAGTAAGAAATTCCACTGAGAGTGATTTATCTATTGGCCTGATGAGCCATCTACCATTTCATCAGCAATATTCACCACTATTTCAACAATAAAAAAAGGGTTAATTTTTTTCCCTTTTCTTGATGCTTACTGTGATATAAGATTTACTGCAGCAATTCTGGTGTGTTTAGTTAGATTAGACCTAACAAACATCACAAATACTGATTACATTGTACCAAGTCTCAATCTAGTCTGGCAGGTGATGGTGCTGCACCTGAGTACGCTCCATCTGTAGTTAGCAATTGAAAGATTTTCCCCTCTAATAAAATATTAGACAAAAAGAGCTTCTCACTGATAAAATGATGCATTAAACTAACATTCTTCTTATACAAATTAATGTAAAATTACAGGTATGCTAAACAGACGAATCCTCCTAGGTAAAAGACCAAAACAATGCTTGGAATTTAACACCTACAAAGTGTTAATGTATTTCTGTAAGTCCAGTATATTCCAAGAATATTAAATTCTGCAAAAGAAATCAGAATCTCAAAAAAAAAAAAAATCACAGAATTTGGGAATGTTAATTTGGAGAAAATATCAGGGAGATATATACAGATACATAGAGAATTCAGCTGCAGAGATAATACAACAGTATTTTAGATACAATCACTAACAGTATAATTAATGCTGCTAAAATCTATTCTAATATGTTAATGTGTACTTCAATGCTTTTTAACCACTGTAATTTAAAAAATAAAATCTTGACATTTTAATTTGAAACCAGTAAGTACATCAAGAAGAAATGTTCCTTTAGGACAGAAACACAGGACACTCTAGAACAAAGTAGAATTCAGTAGTTCAGAGATAACATTAGTTTTCTGTTGTACACTTTAATATTGTAAGAACATACATGATCTAACATATCCAGACTTTAACCAAAATCATGAAGATTGCAACTTTTTCTTTCTTCTTATACAACACTTTATCACAAAAACATCTCATGGGGAAATTGTAACTGATTCTCTGGGCCAACTGAATCTCTGACCCTATAACTGATCATCTTTTTAAAAGTAAAATAAAACAATAATAAAAAAATTTAAATGCTTCTGTATCTTACATTTGTAAATATACTAAAGGAATTGTTACAGATAAGTGCTCAGATTTACAATATTGATGTAGTAATAAAGAAATTATTTTTTAATCACTGGTGGTCAAGGCTGTGCAAGATTAGGTTGCTCATAGTATTAATCACCTGAGAGCTGCTTGATGCCTTTGGTGAGAAATAGAAGCAAGTTCAAGTTTGGCCTCAATAAGAGCCTCTAAATCTTCCACAGAATACCGAGATATGTCCCCATCATATTTGTCCTGTATGTCCTGTACAAAATAGCTAAGACTTTCTTCAGCTTCTGTCAATAAAATCCCCTAGAGAAGAGCACAGAGTTGTATGATTTCAAAAAGTAAAGAAATAAACATTTTCTTTTGAGATATTTTTTCTGCACAGCCTGCTATCACTGCATCTTAAAATAAATCAATTTAAGTGAAATATGCCTTTTCTATAAATGGGGGTGGGGTGGGTAATTCTGCTTTTCTTATGTTTTCAGAATTATTGTGTTTAAATCAGCTACATCTTAACTGTGCCAGTACTATTGCCATGAATGCTTAACTACATATTTTAAGGCTTAGAAATGTTACTCACTAATTTCCCATTCTTTATCTAATAGCTATACTTGATAATTTTATACTATACTTCTCATTAGGTTTAGGAGTTTTAAGCAAATACAATATTAGAAACAATATTAAAGGTGTCAAAAGAAGTATTACACTCTTTATTAGCTATATTTTTACATCCTTGTGTGCAGTATGTATCCTGAAAGTTCAACTATAATTTACAGTCTTTCTGATCAAAAAATCCGTAGGAAGCTGTGAAAAACACATCTAAGAAGAAATTAATTTTAAATTAAATCTCAATTGTGAAGCTTTCAGCAGAACTAAAAATAAGCTTCACTAAAAATTAATTTATGTTTGTATGATCAATACATTACTTTGATCAAAATTCAGAGCTCTGCTTTAAGAAAATCACAAAAAAACCCCAAACCATAAAAACCCCTCCAAAAGAATAGAATAGTTAAACAAAAATCAAGAGTAAGAAATATATTATGCCTCTTAAATGAGCCCTATCAATTCAAATGAACATTTCTATTTTAGTTATTTTCAAGTTGCTATTTTCAATTTATTCTAAAACTTCTAACTTTCTAGCGTATAACCTACACCAGTTGCTATACAAAATTATCCTCCCTTCTCCAGATGTACTTTGTGCATTACTTTGCTTGTAACAATGGCCAAAAGTAGATACTTCCAAAGTGCAAGACCCCTCTGAATGAAGAATATGTCAGCCCTTAATTTTGGTATTTTTGTGATGTGAAACTGCCAAGCATAAAGTTTACAATTAAGCAAAACAAAATCCAACTAAACAAACCCCCTTCAAACAAGGAAGTTCTAAGCTTCTTTAATAAATAGTATGTTTTCTAATAACAATACTTTTCTAATAAAAAGTATGTTTTCTTCAAAATAAAGTACCAGAAAGAGCAACATGAAAAATTTTAAATATTTCATATATGACAATGGTAGAGAATGTTTTTTTATTTGTATAGCATATTGCCCCATCAAAGAGTCTCTGACATATTCTACAGATGGTACCCTCTGAAAGAAGATGATTTTATCTTGAAATACCATTCAGTCTTTACCCTTTATGCTGAAATAGTCATACTGAGATCTGATTGTGGAAATACTTGAAAAATGATGTACAAAAAATGAAAAATGATTGCACCAAATGGTGAACACTTCATGCACAGCTAGTAAGACTACATCAAATTAGGAACATAAACTTTTAGTCTCCTTTTTCATACCATCCTCTCATCATAATTTCTGTTACATTGAAGGTATTAGCAATGTTTTTGGATCAATCTGCATTTTCTTAATCCTTTCTCCTAAAAATCAAAATTACCTTCAGCATGGCTATACTTAATTCATCTTTACGATCAACAAGATGCACCACTCTGTCTCTTTGTTCCTGTTGTCTTGAATTCTGATCAGCATCAACTGTAAAATACATTGCCGATAAAATTTCAGATAACAGATGCAGAACCAAAGCATTCTCAGTAATTGAAGAACACAGACCTTTTGTCTCTACTTAAAAGTAGGACTTTCAACATCAAAGTAAGTAATAATGGAACTTATTATTATTATTGTTGTTTTTGTTGTCATTATCATTATTATCATTATCAGAATCTCTAATAATAGAAGAATAATAGAAGAATAATAGAATAGAAGAACTTTAACAAGTCTTAATGTTTATTTCAATAATGACCAATTTTTTTCAGCAACATTTAAAATGAGTATTTTCATAACATGGCATATTAATTCATATGCAGTTAAAAGTGAAAAACATGATTGAAAGAATATAAATAAACTTTTACACCATCCTTATAATTACCTTTTACATTTGATGCTGTAGTTTTGTTTGGCTCTGGCAAGCTGCTGTTGTCAACACAATATAATTTTTTTTCAACTTTTTCAGGTATATTATTTATTGTAGCAGAAAGACAAATTATGAGATGCATTTTGGCTAAGGTTAATTTATTCATAGTTTGTTGGTTGCACAGTGGCACCACTGTTAAAGATAGAATCGAATTAAATGTATCTTCCAGTACCTACAAGAAGGTTAATAATTGGGATTATTTGAAATGACACATTTTACCTTTCTCTTGTTCAAGACATATTCTGCTTCTATTAATAATGACAGAAATCAACAATTAACATGAATAATATTAGTAATATTCTCCTTTATTATGAATGAGTTGTTTTTTTGTTTTTGCAAACTTCACCCATTAGTAACACTTGCTACAGCCTCAAGAGATTGGTTTTACAGTAGAAGGTGTATCTATGAAGTTATAGCTATTACCACTGCAACTTCTACTTTTCTGCATTGTAGGTGAATCTGTAGTTCAAAAAGCTCAACTCAAAGAAAAGTCTGCTGTTAAGGTAAAAAAATTCTTGTATCGCATCATTCTAGCACATTTCATAGACTCTTTTTGTTATTCATTATAGCATCCTTGTTTTATCATGAGTTTAATAGTCTCATTTTAGATTAATACATTTAGAAGTTGAAAGTCTACACAGACTTGCAAGATTATGAGACCAGTAACAGCGCCACATATACTGTGAAGCATTCAAATCAAAAGCTCAAGATAATGCACAACTTGAAAAGAAATCAGAAACTAGTGAGATCAAAAGTTGTCAAGATACACTTCTCATTTCCATCCTGTAATACCAATTGTTGTATGGGACACATAAATTTACTGTAAACAACAGAGACAAGTGGAGGGAAAAATGGTAGAGGTTTTATTTTACCAATTTGTTTTAATGGTACAATTTTTTCACATTCTGCTAACATTTACCCCTAACAGCTCAATGGATCTGAGAGAAGGTTAATAAAAGGAAATTATTGAAACTGAAAAACACAAAAGAAGTTATTGATAAACAGGTGATTTTAAATAAAATGAGAAAATTACTGTTTAGACACTGCTTTATAGAGTCACCATTTTAATTTTTTTTTACCTCCAGAAACAGACTTCAACCCCCATCTGAATTAGGACAAATCTATGAAGACAACTCTGATTGACAGAAATTATAACATTAAAACTGACACTCTCAGTATTTTAACAGGATAAACACCTAAGCTTCCATATCACAACAAAGACTGAATAATTCCATTAGTGTGTTTTGCACAGAAAAGCCACAGATTTGTACATATTAGATCTCCCATCTGAAAAATGGTGAAAATGGTAGCTGCCCTTCCCTTGAGAGGTCAGCCATAAAATTTAAAATTTAGGAAATAATATTCCATTGAGAAGAATATGTCTTCAATTTACTGGATTCTTTTAATAATAACATTTTATTTCTGAACTGGAAAATTCCTACCTTAAGACAGAGAAATAAGTATTTATTATAGCATAAAACATTTACCTCTTTCAGGCTTTTTTTACCTGCAAATTTGTAGTACTCATGAGAGATTTTGAGGAATCAAATTTTTTTAAGGCCTGTAAAATGGACAAAACCAAAAGAAATTATTATGTTACAATATGAGTATAAAACCAACGAGTTAACAGAGGTGGGAGGAGGGATATTTCCCTTCAAATCTGCTCATTAAACTCAACTTGCTCTGCTTCACTGTCTGCAAGACAGGGTAAAGAAAGCAAACATGAAGTTTGTCCAATGCTTGACAACGCTTTTGGTGATGAATTTTTCCTAGTGTTCATGCTGAATGCTGGTGCTCTGTCCAGAAGTCTTTTGTCATGTCACCTACCCAAAAGCACCACTCAGATAAGTGATACCTTGATTGCATTCATGCAGGATTAAATCATTAGTCCATTTTGGTATGTGCTTGGGAAGCAAGGAAAGGATGGTTATGGGGGAGGCTTACCCAATAACCTGATCTGCCTGCACAGGTATGCTCACAGGTAAGACAAAAGCCCAGGTCAATTGTTAACAGCTTCCAACCTCTGTAGCACATTAGTGACCAGACAGAGGGAAAATCAAACTGAGCTGGGGTGATGTGAGTGTCAAGGCACTGTGAGCAGCAATAGCTCTTATGGCCCAGCATCTCCTGAGGCTGCCCCTGCCCTCCCCAGGACCCAAGACCCCATGTCAGCTTTATCTGTACTTTTCATTCCTGCATATGAAATCACACGTTGTTTTTTCTACAGTAGTATCTGCAGTACTCAGTGTATAAAACACTTGTTTCAAAACTGATTTTTGTTCCTGCTATTTAGTGAGAGATTTTAATGTCATTCAAAGCTTATTTGATTCATCAATTGAAAGAAATTCAGGAATTTCTTAGGAACAAGTAACAACTTGCAGATATAGAGTATGTGCAGTTTCATGAAGAACAGTCTATTGACTGTTAAAGTTCAATGTCATACTTTTCTGGTGTTTACCTGGATTTGTTCAGTATATCTGTATCCTGCTGGTATTTTACATGGAATTCTCTCTCCCGAAATAAGCAAAGACAGTTCATGAAAGGCCTCCGTAAAAAATCTTATATCTGTAAGTACTTTAATCTATGAAAAAATAACAAAGCCTTTGATTTGAATGTTATTTATTCTTCTTTTTGCTCAAAATAAAATGTATTCAAAGGTAATTTTCAATAGATTTGACAACTAGAATAGTACATTGATGGAGAATGATCTTCAATGGAAAGAAATCCTTTACATATTACAGTGAATAATTGCAAAGATGGGTCTTTCTCTTTGAAAAACAAATTCTTTAAAAACTTGCTCCTGAGAAAGGGAAAGAACTTGCTTCATCTGGTAAGAATTTTGACTACCCAAGAACAAAACCTATTCCACGGATTTTACCCATAGTCTCATAGTACTCAGCTACTCTACCTAATCCATATCAGCATTTCCTGAAAATATCTGAAGTCAATTTCACTTTGACTCTTTAATACTCTTAATATCTCTTAACAGTTAGATGCCTTAAAAAAAACAAACGCAAAACTCAGAAATTATTTAAACAACAACAACACAAGGTGAACATTAGTGAAAAGACAAATATCTATTCCTAGATTTCATGGAACTCTGTTCTACCATGATAGTAAGAACAAATCCAGAAATGAACATTTGGGGAAAAAATAGTCATTCATGTTTTGCACTTAAGAAAACATTTAAAAGAGAAGTGAAACAAGACAAAAAAACGCCAAATGAGAAGTTTGGACCAAAGAAGGAAAACCTCCTCTTCATTAAATAGAGAGTAAAAAGAATTTATGGAATCACCCAACAGCCTATGTAGGAAATTAACAGTAAAACTGTGTAAATAACTCTGCATGCTCCTAAAACTGAGAATATAAATAATAATTGCATTTAGAAAGTACCCCCACCATCTGCTGTGCTAAGAAACACTAAGCAGCAGCTGAACTTCAAAGCATTACTTTTCATAGTAGAAATATACAAATACTGAATTAATTACATTTAACAAAGAATTGAAAAGCTTACTTGAAGCACAATGTGTTTTGAGAAAGTTTATTTGATTACCTTGAGGATTCTTCCTTCAATACATTTAGCTGGGTCCTTACAAATCTCAGACACAATATATTGGTATAATGTGAACAGAGGTAAAAGCTGTAGCAAAATAGTAGATCATGCAGCTATAAACATCATACAGGGTACAATTATGGAAGTAACACATTGCAATTACATATCAAAAGTATATAGATAAGATTACTGCTTTGACCTTCACACACCATCACTACTTCTCTTACGCTTTCTGAAAGATTAATGTGTTAAAAAGTTAATCTGCTTGCTAAAGCTAAGCTCTGATACTACCTTAAATGTGATACACAATGTAGGAAATTAAGTTTGTCCAAATTATTCTCTGTATTTAAGGTCTTTTACTACAGCATTACTGACTAAACCTACTGGAAATAGGTTGGATTTCTAAAACTGTCTGCATTTTGATGCCTTATTTTTTTTCAGTATAGCTAACATAAGAATAGAATTCTGTAAGCTTTTTAAAATAAACGCAATGAAGTTCTGCAACTGTCTCAGAGAAATTATACCAGTTGTAACATAAAGTAGATGGTGATGAGACTTAGTGACAAATTAATTTACATTTTAAATTGAAATTTTTTTGTAGGGACAACTAACAAAAAACCATTTTAAAACTGAGCTCTTTTAAGTATAGATACACTGTATATTCTTCCAGTATCTGAAGGGGCCCTACAAGGAAGCTGGAGAGAGACTCTTCATCAGGTATTGTAGTGAAAGGACAAGGAATAATGGGTACAAAGTGAAAGAGGGGAAATTTAGGTTAGATATTAGGAGGAAGTTCTTTACTGTGAGGGTGCTGAGACACTGGAGCAGGCTACATAGTGAACTTGCAGATGTCCCAGCCATGCAAGTGTTCAAGGCCAGGCTGGATGGGGTGTTGAGCAACCTGGTCTAGTGGGAGGCATCCCTGCCCTTGGCATGGGAGGTTGGGACTACATGATCTAGATATCCCTTCCAACCCTAAACACTCTGTGATTCTATGATCTATTGTTAAACAATATTTCAGAAAAAGTAGATTCTTTCCTAACAGATTTATGTGTTTATTGAAAATGAAAGAACTTCTGAAATTTAATTACTGTTCAGCTTTTACATTTTTCTTCACTTTAAAATGTCCCCAAGCTTAGAAAATGCTAACAGCATTGTTAGATTTTTGTCAAATTCACTTTAAGTTTTCATAATGTAGCTTACTATTTCTGAATTTGGATTACAAATGCTTGAGGCAAATGTTTTAAATGTATCCATACAGTTTCCTACTGATATTTGAAGTAGTTCAACAAAATTAGTCTTTGAAGTTTTAGTTTTAATAAAACTTGAATCTTGATGTATTTTGATTTAAGTGTCAAATCAACTTAGCACCTACCATCCAAAACATTCCCACACAATAAGCATTCAGGGGAAATGAAGCCCTCATTCGGCTAAAACTGCAATTTCTTTGACCATGATCCAAGACCTGGATCTATATTCTGCTGGCAAAAGTGCAGAAAGAATCAAAAATGTGCATGGCCATGTGAAGCAAACAGACAATTAAGTGCTTCTGCCTCTAGGTAATTGTCTGCTCCTTGATTTCCCTGGATCTCCCATAGCAAGGAAGTAACACAAAGCTAAATAACGAAGTGAACTCCAGTAACATAGGAGGGGAAGAAGCAACAACAGGAGTTAGTCTGAAGTTCCAAAAGAAATCAATTCAACAAATGGCTTGCTGGCAAAAAAGGTGTAACATCTTTCTGCCTCCTCCTGCCTAACTCCTCTTCCATCTCTACCTCCTAACCTTTGTTACTCTCTGCTGCCAACCCTCCGATCTTTCCCCATCCCTGGTACTGGCTCTGCCACTTGCAGGACCTTGCCATAACTGGATTTAACTCATCAAAGCAGGAAAAAATCTATCTGCTTTTTCAGATGGAGAGTTTTCTGTCATGCTTGATTTACAGTGAAATAATCACCTGACAGGAAATTCTGTGCACACAGGACCAAACTAGAAAAGAGAGAGTATTGCACCTTTTGCAGTACTAGTAGTCAATTCTAATGTATAGCACTGCTGTACCCTTGAAGGTACCTGCTGTATCTGCTTACCTTTGAAGGAAGCTGGATTGAAGTGGAAATTGTCAGATATTAAATGGAGGAAATAGGCATGTGAGCAGCATAGGAGGAAAGTTACAAAAACACTTCATACAGAAGAATAAAAGAACATGAAAAAGAGAAAGGCAAAAGGGACTTTTATCTACTGGAAGTTAAAGTATTGAAAGCATTCAGGATATATTGCATTTAAAGTATTTTTCTGTACTATGTATTTTAAGTAGTATATAATAGAAAATTTCCTCTAAAATGTCTAAGCTAAATGAACCATGTGTTGTCATCTTCCAGAATAAAAATTTTTCCTGTGTTTTCTAAAACTTGTATGCAGCAAGCTGTACCTTGTTTCAAGTGCCACAGAATCTAGCCATAGGGGTATTTTGCTAGAGGTTCTGAGGTATCTCATAAATACACCCACACAAAAAAGTTAGACTAGGTGTCTTAAAAATCATTTCCAGATGATAAAAATAATACTTACTATTAAATTTTGTTTTGCACAGTGTAGTTCAAACATAATGAAATTCAGACTTGCAACTACAGTAGAGATATCAGCTCTGTAGCGATCAGAGAACAGGTCAATACCAGGAATAAGAATACTTATTTCATATTGTACAAAGTCATAGTCAAATGTTGGATGTTGAAGAGAAGCTCTAAACAGGGTCTAAAAGTAATAACAATGAATTATTTGTGGAAAAGTGTACAGGTATTAGTGAGACACTATAACATAAATGACTTCATAAACACAATTCCATCAATGCCTTAATTATTCAGCTGTTTCCAGCCACAATATTGAAAAATATTTTTAGAGAAAATGTTTTATGTGTGAAGCTGATGGAGAAATAAACAAGATGTAAATAGTCTAAGGACAGCATGTCTCCCATGGTTTCTGGAAGAGTTGCTGACTTTAAGGCCAGTTAAAAGCTATTTCCACCCTAGTTCCACCTTTAACTAGGTCAGGTAGTGCAGCTTATCAGCTAGTGCAGCTTAAATCATGTAACAAAAGAACTAATATGAAATTTAATAATTTCTGGGAATGTTGCTGACTTTAAAGCCAGTTAAAAGCTTGTTTCACTCTAGTTCCACCTTTAACTAGGTCAGCTAGCACAGCTTAAATCATATAACTAAAAACTAATATGAAAATCAAGGAAACCATTTAAATGTTCTCTCCTTAAAAGGGAAGAGTGCTAACATTGTATCTGATGTTGGATATTCCTTCCCAATTGTGTTTATCTTGGTGTAATTAGCAATGATATGCTAGAGAAATTTGCATTTACACTCAGATTTGAAATATTAACAAGCCTAAAGCCTACACCAGAGGTGGAATTTAAACAAGGTTATAAAAGCTTTCCAATTCAAGGAACAAATTATGGCTTGAACTTCTTGCAGTACAGTGACAGTAATTGATTATATTTTTCAAGACAATCACCCTGCAAGCTGCTTCTATCCCAATTAACATCAGACCCACTTCAGTCAAGTCACAATTATTTCTACTGTTACACAACTGGAACAAATGTTTGCTACCATTTCTGTTGAAAGGAGGAATAGCCATTGTTCAGCTTTGTAATTGTTCAGCAAGTACAGTGCTAGAAGCAAGTCAAAATTCTCCTTTACCTTTGTTTCTTCAACTTGTTCTCCCTTTGGTGAGCTGTAGCCTAGGGCAAGTCTCACAGTCACAATCATGACACAAGATATCAGACCATGTCATTGCTTGGTTTTGGAAGAAGCCAGAAAACTTCCTGAAACTGCACTGAGATGAGTAATCATTGATCCCAGTGGAGTATAACTGGCAGAATACTTGCAGTCCTTTTTCCTGTACTGCTTTTCCTACTGGCATCTTAACTTCCATTTAAAAGTAAACTGAAATGTTGTGGGTTTTTTTCTCTATAGGTCTTTTTTCTGAAAGTCCGCAAACTTAATTTTAATGATATTATTTTCTTTGTGAGTGAAACTGAATCATTTTTAATATCCTCTGGTTTTAGAGCAAACTTATTATAGAGCTGAGATTTTAGTGTTACAAACTAATATTTTTCCATGCTAAAAAAGATTCAAAAATTTCTTTTTTTCCAAAGAATCTGTGCTCTTGATTGAAAATTTAAAACAATCTGTGAAAACTCTACAGATCTAAAAGAGAGCACTCTGCTCTTGTTGATGCCATCCAGCTCTTCCTGAGCAGAATACTTCAAGTGAAGAAAAATATATTTGACTATCAAATGTTTTAGTCATCTTCCCTTTTCAGTATTTTTTCTCTGAGACACTCTAGCCTCCTATTGAAATGATAATTTTTAGGCTATAATACAGAAATAATGTTAAAAAACAAAGAATAAAAACATTGTATCTAATATGCATAAATTGTATACTACCTCTGATCTCCATTTTTCCTTTACAAGCAAAACAAAAAGAGAATTATTTTAACAGAGGGTCATTTCAGAAGCAATTTGTTAACTTCATGAATTTGAATTGCAATTGCATTCTTACCTTAAAAAGTATCGCAGAAAAATAACAGTATTTTGTTCTTAATCTCATCTGTGATGTTGCTATATACCTAAAGTGCAACAAATAATAAAAATACAAATGTACCCATCGACATAAATTATTGAAATCCTTGGGTTTTTAGTCTAATGTGATAATAATACTAATACAATCTAGATGTTTTTCCTACTGGAAAACAACTGCCTGTTTTTAAATAGATGCTCAGCCACACCATGCAAAGAAGCCTTTGACCGAAGATGTAACTAGAGAAAGGGAGTTGACTAGATTATCTTCAAACTTAAAGGAGAGACACAGGCAATCTAAGGGCAAACTCCATCTCATACAAAACTAAAAAGATAAAGCAGATTAAGAAACTCACACTTTAAAGAGTATTTCTTTCCATAAAGGAAGCCTAAAATAACTAGCACAGGTAGCTTAACATGTTAGGTGTCTAGCTAAATTTAATGATTCCCACACAGTACCTCATCAGAGCCTTAAACTATCCTGGCAGTGATCAACAATCCTAGAAATCTTTACTTCTATCTTAGAATATTAGAATCCTTTAATCTGCATTTTACAGCCTGTGACTAAGTTGCTGTAGGAAGAGCAACTCAAGAGAAAGATGTTTAACAGTCCAAGTGAGGTCTAAATACAAAAAAACCACCTGAGGGAGAAACCAGGAGGACAGTTCCCTCCAAATCCAGACATGATTTGGCATGGATGTATTAGCAGTAAAGGGATAGTGTCCAGTGCAGCAAATAGGTGCCACAAACACCTGTAAAAGCAGCTAGGGATTTGGCCATGCCTAATGGGACCTGACACTGAACCACAGTTCAGAATTAACAGGGCTGCCATTTATAATCAAGTTAAACTCAGTCCCTGGGAGTTGACTCCTTGAGTCAAGATTTTTGGGTGCTAATTCTAAGTATGGAAATGCCACTTCATTCTGAAATACCCATGCTAGCACTTGCAAAGCTACCTTGGCTTATAGCTATTTTACAGTGCTATCAATATGGCCTGCTTCACAGGTAAGGTAATTTACTTGGATGAAGCTCTGCCCTTTCATTGTGTTTCTAAGGTCATTTAATATTGTCTTGGGTACTTCTAGATTTATATTTTGCACAATACATTGAGGAACAACTCAGAATTACATTCACAGAGTTTTTCCAGCAGTCAGAGAGTACTAGATGGAAATATTTATTGATGGTAGATTTTTATACAGCAATTTAAATTTTATTTAGTTCTAATTCACCAGAAAACTAGTACTTTAGGCAGTAAATCTGACCTCAAGATACATTAATATTTAATATGTGCAATAACTTTGGAAATGTGATATTTTGATTGAAAATCAGTATGACTGTAAAATCCTTGCACTTATGACTTTGTATCATTTTGTTTTCTTGTAATGATCTCTCCATATAACATACAGCTGCATTTATGATCAGATGATAAATCTTTGATAAAACTCAATAAAAGGGAAAAAACAATATTCTCCAAAGAAGAAAATTTCTCCCTGAAAGGAAAAAATCCCCTGCTTTTGATGAATCCTTTTTATAACATCTCATTATTGGTTTTTAATTAAATAGAAGTTGCCTCATATCTGGGATGAGCAATTTGCTTAAAATACGCTAGAAATACATATATGGATAAGATACTTACTGAGCTATCTTAGCCACTAGGACTGCTGCATGTAAACATCCCCAAGGTCCTGCCTGAGAAAGAAATTTCTGACTCATATCAGTTGATCTTCCAACTGCAAAGCAGTCTGTAGCATCTTTCTGAAAACTTAACTCTTGCCAGGTGTTAAGAGCATCAGCAATATTGAGCGTTTCATCAAGGGCTTGACACCAATATTTAAAAGCAGCTCTGTAACATAGAAAATACCATCACATTGCTGACATTTTCCAAAGTGGAAGATAAGACCTGGCTCATTTTTCCTTTACTGACTGAGATTTAATTAATTCTGATTGGGTTAAAAATTGAAATACAGTTTCTACAACACCAAAATAGTATACCATTTCTGGTCAAGAGACTTATTTGGACTCAAATTAAATCATCAAACCATCAACATTAGTTCTTAAAAACACAAAAATGCATCATTAATTTGCTTAATGACAACTAGATAGCTAAGAAAAATAAACAATGTCTAGGAAAAAGCCCTCTCAAAATATAGCTAATAGTAAGTAGATGAAAAATATTCCATGGATTAGCAGACAGCACAAGAACTTAGATGACAGTAGAGGTGTATAGGGCTGACAAAAAAATTGAAACTTTTACCTTTTTAAATCCAGTAAATATGTACCTTTTATTTCCAGCATAAAAGTGAAGATTTCCAAGTTCATGTAGAGCCTGCACCTTGAGGTCTCTCTGGTTACTCGTTTCAAGGATTCCTGTAATTTATTTTCAATCAATTTAAAAAAAGCCACTGTCATATCATTAAACCGGTTACTGAAACTTGAACAAATTTGGCATGAGTGGACATGAATTCACATGTAATTCAATGCACAATTTTTTTTTTTAATTTATTGATCTTGTATATTTTACCTTCAAATGTACCATTTCTTATTTCATCTACCTTTGAGAGCAAAAATAAGATATATGGGCCTGTTTACCTAATCTTTTATAATTTTGTTTTTTCAGACCTCTAAAATTTCTTCCTTTTCACAAGATAAACTGGAAAACAGATCACTGGCCCTGCTAAACAACTCTGCCTGCATACAGCCCAGCAGTACTCTCACAGACTCATCTTTGGAATCCATGCTGCAAATAAAACTACCTACAGCATCTGTTGACCTAGTGCATTTGACATGTTTAGCCACACAGCAAATACAGGTAGTCACAAGGAGCTGTGACTGTATTGAGTAAAGCCATACCAGAATGTAAGATGGAAGCCAAGTCATATATTCAAATGCACAGAATCTGAAAAGTCTATTTGCTAGGAAAAAAAACAAAACCTGTCATGGAATTAAAATGAATCTGCTAAGCATTACATCAGATTCTCAAATGGGGATTAATCAGCATAACATCACTGAAGTAATGCTTTTTCATAAAATGAAGCAACTGTAAAAATTATGAACCAACTACTGGCTTGTTTAGGACCTAAAGCAGATTTCCTCAGTCATGAGGAAGAAGGTTGTATGTTCCTGGAAACCAGCCTTCAGACAGTTTCAGCTGTCTAACAGAGGGAAATAACAATGGAATAAATATATATAAACACAGATAGGCAGAATGTTACTTCTTAGCTGTAAGCAGAAATTTATGAAAAAAATTACCTATTGTTTGTTCATAGGAAGAGATAATTACTGAAAGCTGTGACTTTGGTATTGGTCTACTCTCAACCGTACTGGAGAAATTATATTTTTCTTGAGAAAGGTCACATGGTGTTGGTAGAAATATCACTTCATCTGCCATGTTAAATTTCAGCTTTCTGCTTGAGGAGATATGACTGCTGATTGCTCTTCCAGCATTTTCTAGATTAGAAAAGTGATTTATATGATCAGTTTAGCAAAGTATTATGCTATTTCTAGCACCCAAAACATTTTCCAAACATTGACCATGTTAGTCAAACAAATTTACAATTCCTGTGTGCCTATCTCTATTTGGTTTCCTATGCTATAATTCTGTATGTCTCCTAATAAAACTCATTGGACATAATTCACTGGTCAGTGCAACCAAAGGATATGTGCTCTGTTAGTGAAAATAAACTTGGGAAGATCTGCCAGTCAGGACATGGGTATGGCTGCAGACAGACAGGTGACACATCTGGATGAACAAAAATTTATCATCCAACTATTAGACAAATGATAAGAAATAAGGTTTAGAGCTTGTGCTCATAGAACTTCAAATTTAACTTCATATTCTATACTTTTTTCCTAAATGAACTAAAATTTAAATTTAGAAAAATTTGTTCCTTTCACTCTTTACTATTTCAAAGGCATATGACTTTATTAAGGGAGCAACACTTCAATGAATCACTCACCTTGTGTGTGTGCAAGAAACAATGAAAGTAGTTTTCTGCTGTGTCTCAGTGCTCTGCTTTGATATTTAGATTTTTCTAGAGTTTCTCTAAAACATTTCAGTGTATCATTCACATCAAGAGGCACACAAACTAAAAGGTCTTTTGCTTGATTGTAATCTAAAAGGAATTAATAATTATGGAGAAAGATTTTGTAATATCTAAATAAATATTTTTAGTAAATCACCCTGTGAAACATATTTGAATATTTTCACAACTTCAAACTATAGTATAATAAAATTTTCTCTTTTTTTTCCTGTTGTTTTGTGAATTAAAGCAAATTATTAACCACTAGAAACATTAATTCTGTCAATAACAGTGCTGATTCACACTAACTTCTGGGTATATTGTGGGATATCCAAAAATTGCAACAGAAAACTGGCCCAAGACCACCAAGCTGCCTCACAGGTTGTAGGTCATCTGGCACCTGCTTTCTTTCAGACATAGTCTGAATATATTGAATATTGAATTGATTATCTTGAACACATTGCAGTCCATCCAAAATATCAAGAACAGTAATTTGAAGACAAAGCTCAATTTGAAATAAAAGACGCAATGTAGGAGAAGTGGAAGAACTATGATAAGGAGGAGAAACAGAATTAAAAGAAAAAAATCCAGCATGAAACAAAGAAAAAACTTTGGAAGAAAAGAGAACACAAAATACTGAATTTTGCTCTTACCTGTAGAATCGTGATTTGTCTCAGGATTGGAAAAACTTCCAGGAAAAAACCCTCCACTTGCAGAACAAGCAACTGGCAGCTGTAATTTGTACCCTAAGTAGTTTCTGCAACTCATCTAAAAAGCAGGAATTGTTTCATGATAACTGAACAATGTTAAGAAAATTCAATGTTTGGTTCTTACAGCTAAATATCTATATATTCTGTCATATGACAAAATAAAAAGAGGACAAATTAAGAAAGACACCAATGGTCCGTAACAACTCTTGTCAGTAAGAGGTGAAACATTCACACCTAAATATTGGATGTAAGTGCTTCAAAGTGACTGCACTAAACTTGTCTCTTATTTGGTATTTGCCATGATCATGAGAAACACCTTGAAATTCTGCAAATATTGCACCTTATTTTCTCCAGATGAATGCATGCTTGCACAGAACCTGTCACCGTAAGCATGCCTAAAGGACATGTTGCCTGGGAAACACAACGGAAAGCTACATCGGGAGATACAAAATAGCTCTAAGCAAGTAAAAACAGATCTGTCTCTGGCAGAGAAGCAAACTTCCAGACTCCAATAAAGGACCAATCCACAGACTTTTTATTTTGCTAATGTAGTTACACCACCTCAGAAGCACAAGGACCAACAGAAGTAGTTCTAGACTCTCTGAATGGCACTGACTGAGGAAATGCAGGAAATTTCTTACCTGAAATCCTTACTACTAGTAGCTAGCACTAGTCTTCAATATGTAAGCTATCTTTCAAAACTATGATTACTCTTTGACAGCTCAGTTACCAGCATTATGAAGTGGTTTGCTATGGTGCCCTTTTATAGATAAAGGACCATGTTCTGAACAGCTGGGCCAGAAAGAGTCAGCAGGAAACAGAGAATACAGAGCACCCCAGCTGCCCTTGTGAGCCACCAGTGCCTTCAGAGTCCCCGCAAACCCTGAGCACCAGTGTGCTGTCTCTAGGCAAGGCAGTGGCTCCTCAACCTCATGTTCATGCTCATGTTCAGAACAAACCTGCTTGGTACTCCAAACCCCATTTCTCTCCCCTCTCCAAGTCCTCTCTTTACATTAGTAATAGAAACAACCTAAAAATAGCTACAGTGAGACTGACTTCAGCAAAACTTCTTAGCAAGAAACCTTACATTAAAAAAAATAAAAATAAAAAAAAAAGGAAAATTTGATTTTCTAATAGCTAATTCAATGAAAATTTTCCAAGTGGCACTGTTAAGTAAATATACAGAGCCATGGCTTTTAACAAGAGGAACTTTCTGTGCTGCTTAGGGATTTTTTGGTGCTGATCAAGTTTTTTAGAGTTTATTGGCATTGTCAGTGTTTCATTTAACTCCATTTTATTAATTTTTGGAGCGGTGTTCGAATACAGAAACAAAGCAATATCCAAATAAATGTTTTAAGATTAAAAGAGTCAAGAAAAAACATGAAATTATATTTAGGCTTATAATATGGAATGGGTTTGTTGTGCATGGAAGAAATGCCTTCTGGGTCACCTGCTGCTCTTGGAATCATGTCATACAAGCCTTTTCATGCACTTAGATCAATTATGTTCATTAGTTTGTTATAACTGACTATTTGGGAACACTGTGAGAAAGCATATTAATCTAATCAGTGAAATTGCTACTCCACATTTAGTTCACATTAAGAGTCAGTGCCCCAAAAATAAATCTGTGTTTCACCTTCTGTGCATCATCAGACAGATATTTTGTGACATGAGATTCATGGCTGTCTGGGCCATTGAACTGCTGTATCCTTTCTATCAGCTGCCTCTGAGCATACACCAGCACTGGACTCACTTGTTCTGTGAACCTCTCACTGGAAGAAAAAATAAAGTGTTGTAATTAAGCAATATAAATTTAAGTATATTAAATGATATGTTAACTTTTTAGTTTTTATTAGAGTTGGTATAACTTACTGTGTAAATATGTTAAATTGTACAGCTATGTGTACCAGTGCTTCCCACTTCTTCATTTGATATAACAATTCTATTGTTTTAAGAATCAGATTACATATCCATCTCAGATCAACCACATTCACATCATCCAGGGGAGGCTGGGGATGAAGATTAGAACCACCATTCTCATCCACAATACCTCCTAAACAACTGGGAATGCAAAAGTCTCCTTCGGGATCCACAATCTACAGTGAAGAAACATTATTATACCTGTTATTTTCATATGTGTTTTAAGAAGAAATCAATTACAGAGATTAGAAAGTACTGTAATCATCTAAAAAACTTGCTACGGAGAATAACATGCAGACTATACTGCAAGAAAGAGAAAACTCTAGGGAAAATGTGATAATAAAGAATTGTCTTAATAAAAGTAATTTTTACCTTAAGAGAACTGCTTGCCTGTAAGTCAACTATCATATCAATGATCATGTCAGATGCAAAAAAAAATGGCAACCAAATGGTGTTCTGAAGAAAATCCCAGGTGATGGGAAATGCATCCGTATGGGAATGTGACTGGTTAGCAATCAATTGAAATTCTTGAGTGTAGTTCCAAAGTTCTCGACAAGCATTTTGAAGCAATGTCCAGTGGCCACCACGGTGAGCAAGAACCTGTGTATACCATTCAAAATATTATTATACTTTCAAAGTGCAAAAATTAAAAGCTTCAGTCTTTTGTTGAAAAATTTAGGCATAAGTAATCTTTCAGAATTACAGTCTAGGCATTATTGAACCTTCATTTTTACCTTTTCATAGAAGCACTAATTTATAATTTATATTAATTGTAGGTTTTAGTGTGAGAATAAGAAATTAAAATTTAATTCACACCACATATATGTGTGTTTTTACTTGGGTTTAGAAGTTTTTATGGGAAGAGTAGTTAGGTTGCATTTCCCTTCAATCCCTGGCTCTCCTGTTTCTAGTGTGACATTCACCAAGACCTGTAAAGGGTAAGCCTGCAAGTATTTTCAGAAGAAATTAAAAAACATGAGAAGGAAAGTTACAAAGGTGGAATGAAAACTAGAACAATTATATAAATTATTGTAAGTTTGATAGAAATATATATTATGACAGGTGATGTCTGACATTTCACACATTGTATTTGGATATTTTTCAGAAGGTAAGAAAACATTACTTTCAACCAGTGGAATTTTTTTTAATTTTCTGAAGTGTGAGGTCTTCTCATGTAAGAAGTAGTAAGTATTGTAACACAATGCTTAGTAATATATAGTTTAATAAGAAACCAACCACATCTTACCACTGCTCTTTTCAAATGCAAGAAGATGCTTGTAAAATGCTTCAGTAAAAGGGTATCCGATGGAAACTGGCCCTGTTCTTTGGGGCTCTTTGTTGCTCGACTTCGACCCCGTTTATTTCTGTTCTTAGAAGATTTATCTGTAACTGAAAACAAAAAGTTCACTTGTTAAAATTGAGTTGAAGTTCTTAAAAAAAGAAAAAACCAGTCAGCTAGGATTTTCCTGTGGCAGCTAAACACTTAAATGTTAGGAAATGCCAATGTTAAGGTTATCATGTTTGTAAGGTTATGATATTTAAAATATAAGATGCTTTTACTTAGGAATTGGGAGAAGCAGGGATGAAAAAAGTTTGAGCAAAATCATAATGGGTACCAAACAGTCTTCAGCAACAAAGCCAAAACACAATCCTCATTTAAGTTCTAGGAAGAAATCATCATGGCAAGAAAACTCTTGGCAAGCTTGCAAGAATCTTTCTTAAACAGAAACCTCTTAAAGGAGAAGTTAGGAAGAAATGAAGATTTCTGAAAACTTCTGTGGTATGTGTAGGATTCCTTCATTATTTTATTCACTATCAAATATCCCCCATGGGGAAAAGCAAACGTTCATGGTAGTGGGGTTTGGTAATATCTGAGCTATAGGTTTCAGGCAGAAGCTAATTCTAAGCTATACAGTATTTGAAATCTATGGCAAATTACACATTTTATGTAATCCTTTTAATCAGAATTGTCGCAAAGGCTAAGAGATAGTAAGCAGGACTTTTATCAGGTTCCAGCCAATTTCAGTGGTTCTCAGTGACTGGTAAGCATCAAGGCAAAGGTGTTTATGCAAAAGCAGGTTATTGCAAAGTGAATTCAAGTGCTAGTTTTTGTCACACCTCCTTGGAGAAGGCAAAGGGGACAGCTGATTTTATCTAAGGAAGTCCTATGTGAAAAGGCAGGAGAATTTTGACCTTTACTGCTGTGGCAAGAATGTGTCCCTGAAGAGCTATTGAAAAGATACAGATACATTGGCTTGTACACTATCACTAATATCTGAGGAAATCAAAGTCCTGCATTTCACAATTACCCAGAGAAGGAGCTTTTGGCTCCTGTTGGAACCTCCTCATAGGACTAAAAATAGCTATAATAATAATAATAAATTTCAAATGTGAAAGACAGAGAAATGAAATAAAATTTCTAGAAAATAAATTGGTCCTGAGGTAGCTTCTGACACAGGGAAACACTGGGGAAAAAGCAGAGAAGGAAAATTAAATTCTACTGAAAACTTGAAAGATAATAATAAACTTACCCTATAAAACTACTTTAAAAACTACTTACAGAATGACTCAGGAAAATTTTGACCTGCTAGGAAATGTAAAGGAAACTACCCACCAATTACAAATCTCAGAAACTGAAAGAAATTATCAATGCATTCAGTATAATTAAGAATATTATCAATTTAATATATGTAGGTAGTGTGGTATCTGCAAACCTAAAGCTAGCATCATTAATGTTTTTTAAACTTACAAACTTGTTAATAAAGTATAGGATAAAGAATAACTAATTTATAAACTGTAACATATTTATTAATAGATTAAACAATGCTCAGAATTATTAGATATGGCACATCCCTTGCTATGACTTCTGTTATACAAGGTATGCCACACAAAAACATAGAGGACAATTTAAACCTAGAAATGCCTTCTATTAACTTGGCATGACTGACTGTTTTTCCAAAGGTGATGTGGACAACTAATGATGGAGGTCAAGACAGACAGAAATCATGAGAAACAAAAAGTTGAAACTGATTTCAGTTGTGCACCAATAAAAATTCTTACAGGTTTGGGTTTCAGTCCCTTCTGACTTTTCAAAGAGAGAAGTAGTTGATTTTCCTAGGTTATCCTCTACAACGTCTTTCGCCAGTACAGTGCCGGAATTGTTTAATGAGAATATCTCAGGATCCAAAATATTGTAACTGCAGAATGGGAGAAAGAGAAGAAAACACAAAAAAAAACCCACATACAATATCAAAAAGTATTTTAAAATACATACACAGAATTCAGGCTCTCAGAAGTGATTACTTTCCAGCAGCTTTAGGAATAAGAAATAATGAATGATAGCCAAATGTTATAAGGAACCAAAAAGTAACTTAATATAGTACATTTCAAAACTTTCATCTCACCAATGAAGCTGGCAATCAAAACTGTGCCTGATGTCCACAGGATGGAAAGCAAAACAATTTAAATATTAACAACTCATTTTTATTTGAAAGCTGAACTGTTCTTATGAATATGTTGTAATTCAGATCTGTCTGCACAATTATCTACATTAATAGCAATCACTGATAGTGCAGTAAGATGTACCTGTCCAAATGCTGTGAACCAGTAATTCCAATATTATATTGCTCTTCGAGGTTCTTTTTAAATAAGTGGTAGTGTGCAACTGCCAGATAGATATTCATCTGAGACTTCCAGGGCATCTCTTCAAGACACATTTGACAAAACTGACTTCGGGTTACGTATTTACTCAGCAGCATCACTAAGGTTTGATGAGCTAACTTCTTCAATTTATCATTGCCTTTCCTAAACCAAAACATATGAAGTAGCAAAAAGTGAAACTCTGTTTTCTTGAAACCCTAGAAAAGAAAGTCCTGGTAAAGACACATGGAAGTATCCTATTGCATATCCCCAGATTTATATTCATAAGCACATAAGCATATGACATATTTCTAACCAAAAGACTTTTGCTTTAATTGAGAAAAGCAACTGTTCTTTCCCTCTTTAAGTGCACTTAATCTTTAACACACAATAAATCCTATTTTATATTTTACCAACTTCTATACAATATGTCATAATACTTTAAAAAGCTTAGCTCAGTTTAAAGTTATTTGTACCTGAATTGTACAAACATTATTATAGCAAATACAATGTACTTCAAAGTCAATTTAGGAGGGTCTTCTATTATACTATGAATCTGGATAATTTTTTTATTGCTTTTCTTTGGTAGTTCACCACCTTCATTATGAAGAGAACATAGTATTTCAAATCTGGATGCCTACCTTTAATTTCCAGCCAAAGTTTTCTAGTTTCCCTGACAGATTAAAAAATTCTGTATTACTTCACAAACATACCATGTTATATTCAAACCGAATCTCATTTTTTCTTTTTTTATTAATTAACTGTAAACTGATCCCTTTAAATTAAAATCTAAATTATTTTTGTGCCTGTTTTCCACCTTTAAAGTGTGGGCAGAAAAGTATACCACATACAATTTTGATTATATTATGCAGCATTACTATTATGCATGACACAAAAGAGTAGCTGATAAAAACCCAAGATAAGCTTAACATCCTCCCTTCTGGTGAAAGCCATGGAAATAATTTTAAGTAACGTAGGGTTTCTTCTGTCAAGGAGGAATAGTAACGTTTTAGATGGTTTAGGTGAATATTTAGAAGATTATATGGAAATTTTTTAGGTTGTTTAAAACAAATATCTGCCAGAAGAAGAGGTGAATGAATATCTTTCCTTTTTAGTTTTTTTTAATCAAAAAATAGGTTTTCTGGAAGCTACAGAACAGATAGTCCAAGACTAGTACAAGGACCACAAAAAGTTTTCTGAAACTACCTGAAAAACAGGAAATAATAAATACTTTTTATTAGCTTTGTAACAGGTAAATTCCCCAACACAGTTTGAAAAGCATTATAATACACAGATTAACAGAGCTTTTCCACCTTGATGAATCAAAATGTTTAAGTTAACACAACTGAAACACAACATTTGATTATTAATACAAAGACTTGAAATCTTTAACAGCTATTTTCTTAAACAGAAATGCAATAGATTTTGTTTCCTTGAATGGAAACCAATTTTATACTAAACTAAATCAGAAAATTGATAGGACTGTGCAGAAATTAGTCTCTTCAATATAAAACAAAAATTAAAATACACACTTAATTTTAAACTAAATTTCAGTCAAAATATTTTTTTCTGTATGTAAGTCTGACAAATGTGTTCATTTACTTTTGTGCTTCTGGAGAACTCATTGCATCTGGATTTTTCATTAAATACTCTCTAAGAGGTCCTTTCTTAGGCATGGCTTTTTTTGTTGGTTTCTTCGAAGGTGATGCCTTTTGTTTCCTTGAAGGTGAGGTGTCCTTTCTCTTTAAAAAAAAAATCTTGCATCAAAATATTAAATATACATCAAATAATTATTTATACCTACATTATCAATTATTTGAGGCATAGAGCAGTTTGGCTTATGTAGGAACAGAACATAAAAAAAAATCTTGTAAATGGTTGTCAAACTAAGGCAGCACAAGAAATATTTCATAATTTTTCTGGAAATTACATCAAATGCCTGACACAAAGAACCCAGTCAGGTCCCTAAACATTTTCTTTCATCTACTAGTGTTTTCACCACAGAAACAATGACAGTTCTTTTCCTAACATTCAAAGTAAAACTTTGAAATGCAAAAGGTGAGACAGGAAAACTCTTTTACTAATCTATCTGAGATTCTACCAGTATTACAACATTACTAGAAAATTATGTGGGAGAAAACACTTCCTCCAAAATAATGCAAATCCATTAACATTATTTGTATCTTCCAGTAAAAGCAAAAATTTATTTAAAATTAATTCTGAATAAAAAGCCTTTATTGTGCAATTAGAATATCTGCAGGAGTTAACCACAATGAACAATTATTCACAAAAAAAGTGCAAGTACATATTATACAAAAAGGCCTGATTTCCTTTTCTGAATATGATGGGATCCAAGACATTTCCTATTATCACCATGTTATTATAAAGGCAGTAAGGAAAGGCAAGTTTCTTCTGATTTTGGAATGCCTTATTCTGATTCATCTCAAATTCTCAAAATTGTTGGTCTTTCAGATGAATCCCATGCCAACCTTTCTTCCTTGTCTTAGGAGTGCAGAGGTCAGCTGTGCTCAGTCAGAGAACTAGAGTTTCCATCCTAAATTTTAGCAACTATGGATGTCTCTAGATGAGGCTTTTATGAGACAATTTTTAAAAATTTATTTTGTTCTTATGGTATTGCTACCCAATAAAAACACACAACTCCTTAAAAAAAAACTTACCTTCTGAACTCCTGAAGCACGTGTGCTTTCTCCCAGAGAAATCTTGAGAGATTTTGCTTGTGCTGAAATTCCATCAGTACCAAGGAAGTTCTCATTCCTCCTGAAAAAAAATATTTTTGAAATCATCATCATATTCATCATGTTAAACTCCTTTCATAGTAAAAGACTATCTTTGGGAACATATAGAGCACAATATGCAATTTCTATTTCATTTGCAGTTTTAAATTCAGAAGGTTTTCTTTTCTTCATCCCCTTCAGAAAATGGGAAGTGTTAATTTTCAAGGTTTTTTATAGAAATCTGAATTTGTGAGTAACAGCTATATCGCCTTCCTAATGCCTAGCAAAACAAAACTGTTTTCCTCATTACCAAAATTATACAACAGAATTATGCACAAAATTTCTTCATATCCTATTGTTTTGGTCTCTTGTAACCACAATTCCTGTTCCCTAAAATATATATCTAATTTTCACTGATTTCCTTTCCTATATTTTAGAAATACTGATGTGCTTTTTTAAAAACAAGATCTTTTCAGGTAAGTGTCTACAATTTGGCTCCATTTATCTTTTCCCCATAGAATTTTTTTGACACTATAGTAAGCCCTGATCAGTTTGCTTTTGATCTAACCCATCATACCTTCCCAAGCTATGCCACCACCCCATAATAATAAGGCAAATCACCACAATATTACATCTCCATGTACGGTCAGGTCACAATACAGTATTTACTGTAGCTGTATAATCCTCTGTGTTCATGGAATTTCTGCAGACTAGGAGTCAGGGAAATTATTCCTGATGGGTCTTCTGATAGGTAAAATTTACAGTTTCTTTTGTAACTGTGACTCTCATGAGCCTAAGTAGTAGTTTTTCACTACTACTGGAACAGAGATCTACCTTTTCAAGTAATCTTCCATACTGTCTTCCCACTCCAGAACACATTGAAACTTCTCTTCATTCAGGACTTTGTGCAAAAGTTGAACAAAGAACTCAAGGAAACGTTTTTGCCCTTTGAATTTAAGCACTGCAATAAAGTAACAAATAACACAGGTGTTTATGGTGTAACAGGAGTCTGAATTCAGCTAGAATTACAGCTATGTATGACTCAAAGCACTTACTTATGTCATGGTGTATACTCATAGTGACATTAATATCAGGGATAGACAATGGCAGTTTTTAAATGTTTCTTGTGACTGGGCATCCAGAATCACAAGCTCACTCTATTTAATACACTCCTAGAATCACAAACATTATAGAAGCAGAGATTTCTGTGAATTCTTCGTTCAGTAAAATAATTTAATGTGGAAATGGGGTATCTCAATTTTAAAAGAACATCCCATACAAAGAGAATCTTTGAAAGCTTGGCACAATTTTTTTTTTAAATTTACTTGTTTCTAAGGTTATTATAACACAAACATGATTCAATTTAAAATATTAGTATTTTATATACGTAGCATCAACACCCCAAATAATTGGGGTTGCATTCACTTCTCAGTGTGTTTATACTCAGAACTTTTTAAAAGCTATGTTTCACTTGCTTTTGTATATTTGAGAATCAAATGAAGATAACATTCCCAAGAGCTTATTCCAAGCAAGAATGAGATTGCTTTACTGGCAACTTTCTGAAGTAAAGGAGCCTTCAAAATTTATATAAACACCAGCTATCCCTACCTTCTCGATAAGCACGGTCTGATGTCCAACATGAAATTACAGGGTAGAGGAACAAAGGATATTCCTTTCCTGTAAGCTGTGTTCCAGGACCTGCAACAATAACCAAATGAAATCTATTATGAAAAGCAGTGAGAACATACAATAGAAACTCCACCTATAACTGACAATTTAAAAAATCCTTCTCTAGCACAGAGTTTGCTTTTAAATCTCTCACTGTCATCCAGAGAGAAATTCAAATGCTCGCTCTTTTCTTCTAATGTAAGTAGCTGTACAACTCAAATAAGAGCTGATGTGAGTGATGAACTTACAGGTACTAGACTAATACAGAGGATGTCTGGAGTTCATCAGAAGTCTAACAAAGAGACATGAAAATCATATGTGAAGAATAATGTGCAGAAAGGACATGTTAAAATATGTATTTAAGGCTATACAGCAAGAACTGATCACATGATACTGCTATTGACTAATGCTTGCATTCATGATCTGTATATGGGTAATGTAAATAGGTAGAAGATTCTTTTTTCTTAAGCTAAATATTTACATAAAATGGCAGTTAAACACAACTGCATGACCCACTGATGAGCACCAAAACAATGTTACATGTACTACTTGTTATTTTTCCTTAATAAAGAAACACAACCTACAAATTTTGTGCTTAGAGAAGTCCTGTGGTTGAAAAACATCAATGCAGCAAATCCCTGAAAAAAGTAAGATTAAAAATGCACTCTGGAACCAGTTGTAATTGTGTATCAATAGCTACAACCTCCAGTAAGAGCCGTCAGTTTAGGTCTGTTGAATGTAAATAATGTCCAATTAAGTAGGAACAGGAAAAGCAGACTTTTTAGGAAACCCTTTTAAAGTACTCTCTCCCATGTGACAAGTTCAAAATATGTTCCAATATGCTCCAAATAAGCATTTTCACAAAGAAAAATATGCCCCAAAATTTTTTAATGGGGAAAATTTGAAATTTCAGAATTTGAATTGTACTGTGTATGAAATATTTTGGTTTTCTCTTCTTTTGAAAGAAGCAGGTTCAGCTCTTTTCCATTTTTCTTGTAGACTATCATCTTTGGAATGCTAAGTGCTGATCCAATTATAAAGATTTCCTATGACAAGGCTTTTTCCAAAATATTTTTAGCAGCAAGCCCTACAGGTGTGCACATTGCCCTAAACCATTCATACATAATCGTTAGGACAGGTGTCAGTTATGCATACCTACACCAAAAGGCTTCTTCTCAATTTGTATCCTGAAACTATTGACAAATAGGCTATTTCAACAACAGAACAGACTTTGGTCATCAATTATTTGCTAGCTACTGAAAATGTGGGGTTTTTTCCTAATTGATCAATCCATTAATTTAATTACTATTAAGTAACCAACAAGATTTTCAATTAACTTACAGAATTCTTTCCTTATGTGACTTGTTCTGCAGGAATGTAGGCATCAACGTGAGCAAAAATGAAGTAAAAATTATTACACAGATTAATGGAATTTGTCCATCAGCCCTTGTCCTATTTTTCACGAGAATGCTTCCTCTTCGGAACAAATGTATATACAGAGATGATGGACGACAATGAGAACATGAGGGGTGTGGTCTTGCAGCAAAGGCCAATTGCATACTGGGCTATACTAGAAACAGCAAGGCCAGCAGGTCAGGGGATGTGACTATTCCCCTCTATTCAGCACTTGTGAGACCACATCTGGGTTACTGTGCCTGGGTTTGGGCACTGCAGTAAAGACACCGACACAGCGGAGTTAAGTCCAGTGAAGAATAGCCAAGATGACAAGGAGCTATAGTGCATGACTAAACAAGAAGAAGCTGAGGGAACTGAGTTTGTTCAGTCCTAGGATAAGAAAGCTAAGAGGAATCCACAGCTTCCTAATAGGGGGAATACAGAATGTAGAGACTGTCCTCACTGATAGCACAACAGGCAATTGAAAGAAGCCAGAAATCAGAAAATTACAAACACATATAAAGAAAACCTCTCTAACCATAAGAGTGGTTAACTATTGAAACAGGTTGCCCATAAGGGTTGTGACATCTCTTTCTCCAGAAAGATTCAAAACTTAACTGGACGAGCCTCAGAGCAACCTGAACTAATTGAACCTGTTTTGAGAAGGGGGTTGGAATAAATACCTTCCAGAAATGCCTTCCAACCTACATTATTTTACAGTTCTATACTGTATCTATCTTGTACTCCAAGGAGTACAAGATGCCATGTAAATATAATGGGAAAAAATCAGTAGTGTCTCTGAGTTTAAGTTTCTTTATAATTCTTACTTGTTAATTTATCTAACTTTGGCAGGATTATAAGCCAGAAAATTCTTGTGCTTGATCCAGACTCTAAGATATTTTAAAATTTGTATAGTCATTCCTGAGTTAAAAGGTAGTTAAATACTAGTATGCATGCAATTGCCACACAAGAAGGATAATTTATGTTAACTTCCTTCAGGGAGAGTTTTCTCCACTAAAATTTCCTGCAGTGTTCATTACTATGAGCATTGGAAGAGTATTAAGACAAGCTACAAATGGGCTTTGACATTGCATTTTCCGATTTAAGGAGATAAAGCAAGGCTAAATAACATGGAATCCAATTTAAACATATTGGAAGAACATAAATATTTGCAGAACTGTTCACAAATGAATATTCCTTTGAAAGAAGAAATGAGTGTTCCAGTGGAAATTACAAAAAATACAAATACACACATCACGCACTACCAGGTGATAATTACCAAGATCATTATTGCTTTGGTTGATTCATCATGAAAGATATAAAAGCACTTCTTCAGTAAATGTTTTTTTTACAAACAAACTATAGGAAACTCCATAGACAAAGGTAAGAAGTATTTCAACAGTACACCCACCTGGTTCTGTCAGTTTGAGGAGACTTGATTCAAGACTGCTCAGATTTTCTGCTGCTTTCTTCATTGCTGCTAAATGGGATGCCCTTGAGGAATGGTTCTGAAATATTGAATACTTTGTTATGAAAGCTTAGCTTTAGCTAAAATCAGCTTGTCAATAGTAGAATTTAGCTTAAATCCCAAGTCTTCTAAATCCATATTTTATAATTTCATCAATATTGTCTTATTTTTTTTTCTGGTGGAATAAAAATTATGTTCATGATTTTTTTAGCACAGCAGATTTTGGCAAGCATGGGGACTCCTGGAGGTGTTCAAGACCAGGCTGAATGGAGCACTGAGCAACCCGGTCTAGCAGAAGGTGTCCCTGTCCAAGGCTGGGGGTTGGAGCTAGATGATCTTTAAGATCCCTTCCAACCCAAACAATTCTATGATTCTAGAACAAAAATATTAATAAATCTAGTCTTCAAAATAATAGAATACAGAATTTAGAGAAATAAAAAGTAAAAACCAGAGAAACTACTTTTACCTCTTTGCCAATGTGTGCTCTTTCAGTTTTCACATTTCCTGATAGGCCAGGTGAAACTGCTGGTGAGATCAACAATTTTTTCCCATAGTTAATGATAATTACTGCAAGTTCATATTCTTTCCATGAATGTAGTACCTATAAAAGAATCATCTGTTATACATTTTTTGGTTTACATAATATGTAATATTTCATTACTGTCTACTTATAATTGTCAAAATGCAGGAATACTATAAATAGAAATTAATTACTCAATATGCAAGTTTATTTTAATAAAAAAAACCCAGGACTGTAGATATGTAAGATAATTGGAATTGCAGATCTGTTATCTATGCATTCTACTTCTGCTTAGCCTACCCCTCAGAGAATAGAAAGGTTTACCCAGAAGTATCTACTGCTGTGATTGACACTCCCCCTGTTCTCAGGTAGTACTGCTATCAAAGAACATAAAGGGTAACTAAATGATCCTCATTTACCTCTCTGGTATCAAGTGCACATTTTAAAATCCCAACTGTATTAGTGAAAGGACTGGTGAAATGTATTTTTAAATTACGAAATATATAAATTAACAGTGTAGCAAATGTTTTTAGATGGCTTTATCTTCTTCAGATAGAGTTCTAAAGGCCCAAGTGCTTCTACTATGTGCAAGCTAACTTCACATAAAGATCTTCTTTTTTTTGATCCTACGTGTATAGATTACCTTAGGATAAACACAGTACATGACCTGACTGTAAGTCAAAAGAAAAACATATACCATGCTTTAATGAGAAACCTTTGCAATTCACTGATTCTCTTTGCTATTCTGTATGCTATCCTGTTGAAATTCTATTTCTAAGGAAAAAAACATCAGCAATATAAGTGGTAGACACTAAGCTGAGGGATCCAACAACAAACAAACACTTAATCAAGGTTTCAAGGCATCTAATATGCTTTATTGGCCCTGATAGCACCTGGGGCTCACGCCTATGGGGCCAGGAGCTCCCTCTCAGCTCAAGTCTAAGCCTACAGTCCTTGCTGGCTCCTATATGGCAGGAATGTTGGCCTCCAGATTGGTCCAAGTCATGCCTGGGTGCAGCAATGGATCCACTAGACTGGGCACCTGGCCCACGGACCAACTTCTGAGTTGACATCAGACTGTTCCCATCATGACAGACCAGCCTGCTAGGCTCTGTCTGACCTGGCCATCTCACCAGGCCTTATCATGATCTGTGGACTCACTTCCCAGCTTCAAATCTGATGTGCCTCATCACCAAAAATTTAGTTGATAATCTGGATGCCTGGCTGAACCTCAATACCAGGTGCTGCTCTGCCAGCCATGGCATTGCCCTTGGCTCCTGGCCTCACAGCCATGCTGGCCTTTTTAGGGTTATTTGATACTGATCTGGTCTTGTGAGGTAAGCACAGAGATGCAGCTCCTATGAAGACCAAGCTGAGGAATCACCAGCACAGGGGAATACTTCAGATCATTAGCCACAGCTCAGCTTCAGTATGAGGTCTTAGCTGAGGTGTACCCAAAGCTAGAGGAAAGCTGGCTTTTTCAGTATCACACATTTCTGATAGCGAGTAATGAACTGCAGCACGTTTCTAAACACGAGGGAAAAAAATCCAGTAATGTGCTTCTCCTTATCTCACTGAATAGATTATCTAAATCATAAATGTCATCTACAGATATGTATTATGGTTGAAAGTCAAGGTGTTGTTATTTCTGCCAGCATGCAAGACTAAACAGTATAAAGTCTCTTGTATCTAATTAGCAACTAAAACAGATATGTTAATCTGATTAAACTACAAATATGGTTTATTTGCAATAAATAAACATTTAAACTTACATATTACATGTACATTACATTACTGAAAACAGTACTACCTTGAATGTAAAAATATACATATAAAAATGTAGATCTGATGAAATGGACTAATAGTTATAGACTATTTTCAAAATAAATAGTAAAAAGTCAAAATGCATTGTTATAAAAATGCACTGATTCAAAGATACTAAGAAATATTTGTATGCTTTTATTATTAAAGATTGCTGGTTCTCTAAGATATCATTCTGAAGGCCAGCTTACTAAATTTCTTTTTTTTTTTCTCTAAATGACAAGAGCTAAATCTCAAATTAAGCTCTAAGCACAAAAATATGAACCATACCTTTGCTGTATGATATGAAGTGCAAGCTATCATATGCTGAATACTCTCGTAACATCCTTCCTGTCTCCTCTGCAAAGTAGCACTTGGAATTTCTTGGAGAACAGCCAAGCATTTAATCAGGATCTGTAAATACAAGGGTTAAAAAGAAAGTTTGGAGTCTGAAGCATACCTAGAAGCTTGTATCTCTGTACAGCCATTTGTATTTCATGGTGAACCTTGAAAATACTTTGAAACCTAATGAATAGGATAAAACATTAGCTGAACAAATGCCAATAATATAATTTCCATATAACTGAGCAGTGTCAGGATTTCAACCACAGCCATTTGGAATAAATGACATGTTCACATGAAATCCCAGATATTAGTATATAGATACATGATGGATATTTTAGCTGATTTAACCAACATGGACTCCAAGAATGTTTAATTCAGTGAGACTACATAATCCTGTTGGAGGACTGTTTAAAAATATATTGAGATGGTAAGAATTTCAAATGAAAAAAAAGAAATATTCCCAGTATACTGTAAATATAAAATGCTTTTTTCCCCAATTTTGTCCATAAGAAATTAAAAGAACATGTGGGTAAATTTTTTTTCACTTTAATTAAGAAATCTGAAACAGGAGACATTTCCAGTGGCTGTACCAGCACCTTTAGCTGGAGACCACAGCCAACCATGTCTTAAGCAAGAAGCTATCCCTGTATTCAAATTTCTAATTTTTTTTTTTTTTCTAAGGACTCCTGAAAACTTCCCAGGGCCCTAAGTGCCCCAGTAGTCCCCCCGTGAGGACGACTTGAGATCTCCCCTCACACCCTCTGCCCAGGGCCCAAGAGTGCCAATCAAGCTCAGGCACAAGCCTCCAGAACTGCTGTGCTGGTCTTCAGTTCTTTCTCCTGGATGGACCTTGGAGCTGTGTTGTAGCCTTGTCTCCAGCCTCTGGCTTCAATTCCTGCATCTCCTGACTTTTTGTCCTGGATGGACACTGGGCCAGCCCTCTAACCTCACGTTCTCTGGACTGTCAGTGGATCCTCTTACCACCACCCTGCTCTGTCTGCCATACTCAGATGCTGCTGGTCTGTGCCTCACCTGCAGTGCAGTCACCTCATCCTTTCTCATAGAGCCAATATACTCATTGCTGCTACCTAAAAAGGCTACCTAATTACAGGAAAAAGATTTGTGTGTTTCCACTGTATGCTTGCTCAATCTAAAAACCACATCTGCTGCTTCATAAATGGCATGGGAGGATTTAGGTACTCTATTTTTGAAGAAAAGGTGTTTGCTTCTGGAAAGAAGCACAAGCCTGAAAACTAAAGACTGCATTATCAAAACACTGAATAGCTTTCTTTTCTTTAAGAAGAAAACAAAACTGTATATGAAGCAAACATTCCAAATTTAAAAATTAAAAAATAAAAAAAGAACCACAGGCAAATGCTGCTTTTGTTTCCTCAAAATTGCCATCTGCAAATAACATTCAAGTAGAAATTACATTGTAGATTCTGCTACAGTTTAAAATACCAACAATCATGCTGAAGAAACAATCAATACTCTGCAGTTACTTCACCATATCTGAGAGCAGAATGTGTGCAGCTTATACCTAACTTATATGCATTGGGGACATATAAAACTCTAAAAGGCTTTTCTTTCATCAGCTCTTAAGAAGGCAAAACATAGATATTTATCTCTTCAACTGTACTGCCTATTAAAAGTTTAATTTGAATCACTATAACTGCAAAACCTGACAGCTGCTATGCCTTAAAATGCTCTCACCTGAACTACTGGCACTAAAAAAATCTTGTGATAAATAAGTGGGGCAAGGAGGCCATAACATTGGACAACAGACTGCAGGGTGTAACTTGCATCATTCAACCAGTTGCTAAGTTCAATTGCCACAGTCATTCTTTCACATTCTGCTAATCTAGCAAGCTGTAAAAGAAAAACACATTTTGATTTAAATATGCATTCTGTAGTTTAAATCATTTGAGAGTGGAAGAAGAGAGATGCCATTTTTATTGCCATTTAAAAAGCAGGATAAAGCAGCAAATAAGATGAAAGTTTAAAAGTGAATTTACATTGACACCTGTTAGAAGTATATTAAAAACAAATTATTCCTGATACTAAAGGAAACAATTGCTCTTGATCTAATTGTGCCCTCTGAGTTTGCCCATATAGTTTATAAATTGAGGCTGATTAATAACCTCACACTATGTGGAGCAGAAATTTCACATGCTAGTCTCTCAGAGGAGGTAGGGGAAGGATAATTCCTTTCTTTGCCATCAAGTTATCTGTTGCAGTCCTTGCAAGTGAGAGTTGATCTTGTAAAGTCACTGTGTAATGAACTGCCCACATATTTTACAAGTACTTCAGCAAAGAAAGGAACAGAATAGGAATGCAATAAAACAGAAGGCAAAGCTTGACTATCCAAATAAAAAAGAAAGGGTGTTTTTTGTCATTAACATGCCATTATACTATAAAAAACTCTGAAATAAAATATTAGTATATTAAAACCATGAAACCCTGTTAGAAGTTACATCTTGATTAAGATACATGTATTAAATAGCATAAATGCTTAAGATTAAAAATTCAAGGTAGATCTTAATAGGACAAAAAATAACTATTCTTATACTTCTTCCTTATATTATAGTCTACCACCACTGAAGTAAAGAAAAATCCTTCAGTAGGAATCAGTGGGCTTTGGATTAGGCAATAAGTGATTCAGAAACCATCATTTCAGCAGGATCTGAATAGCCAACAGCTTCTGAAATACTTCAGAAAGAAAGAAAGAAAGGCCATGTAACCCACAGAAGATGGAGTATTCTGTAAACAGGATTAGTTGATTGCCACATCTATCTTGCAATATCTTGCAATGATGAAAAAGTAAAATCAAATCCAGTATATTGTTTTAAACCACACATACTTGCTCCTTATAAAATATCTCATTGGAACATATGGAATCACAGAAGAGTGCTCCTTCCATGACACTGATGTCAGAAACAGCAAATATATTCCTCAAAAAGAGGTGCAAGGTAATAGGAGAAGCCTGAGATACAGCTTTAAAACATAACCTACAAAATACAAAAGCAAAAGAATGGTAAAAGCATGTTAATTATGATTGAAATCTCACATGCCTGACACTGCATTATAATAAAATGAAGTTTTTAGTTTTAAAATTATGGACAAAAAAAAGGATTAGTATAACTTTTTCTGGAAATAAGAGTTACATATAAAACTGAAAAATTGCTTGAAATTTCTAAATTAAAAATGAAATAAATAAAAATATGACTTCTTTTGAAATTGCTATCCACTTTCTACTAATCTATGACTTTTCCTTATTCACATCATCTAATACAGTGAAAGCAATTTTGAACTGTCTTTGAAAACTTCAGATGCTACAGCTCATTTATTTTCAGTCTCCTTTTACACATTGTTCTTCTGCATTCTGATAATGATACAAGCAGTTGTGAAGTCCATTACTAAGTATTACTAACAGACTCCTTTTCAACACTTTCGTCTTGTATTACAAGTCTCAAAAGAATCTATTTTCCTTTGCTTGCTTTTCTGTCAAGATATTTTTTGGTTGGGTTTTTTCCTTCCCTGGGCACAGAGAGGCATTTGTACTTGCTGTATTTTTTTAGTATTTTTGTTACAGGAAAAATCCTATGGTTTTGAAGTATAAGAATTCCTTCCTCTCCTCGATTGTGTTTCCTGAAAAAGACTGAAACTCGAGAAGGAAGATCAAATAGACGCATTCGCATACTTGACATTACCAAGATACCACCAGCAGGGCTTCTGACTGGAAACACAGGTTTCCTTTCTTTAGGCTCCCTCTGCTGTCCCTTTAGCAAGTCAAATTTCTTACCTGCTGCTCAGTAAAACTGAAACTGCTCGATACCGCAGCTGTGAGAATCTTCCATGTTAATTGGAAAAAAATAAAAATAAAAAATAAAAAAGAGGCTTGGCCATAACTATCAGAAAAGCAAAATCCCTGGAATTGGTTTGCACAGCTGCTTAAAAATTTCTGTCTTTATCTGATTTATTTGAAAATAGACTCATTACAATGTTATCTCTAGAAATGGATATGTTAAAAAAAACTGCTTATGAAAAAAATATAATGACAAAACAAATGCAGAAAACAGCACAATGACTATTCCTGTTTTGTTGCCCAGGCCAGGGATAGATTAAAAAACCCCACACAATTATTAAATAGGATGTGTAGTGATTATCTGCCAGCATCTATGCAGTCCACAGGCTGGGTGCAAATTCCAAGTGCTGCTATGGCATGTAACATCAAGACCCTTGGTGCATCTCTTTGTCAGCTATCAGACACGTGGTGGCACTTAAAGGGCAGATGGTGAAGTTGATTATTTGTATTCAGTTATATTGGATATTAATTCATTAACAAATCATAAATACCTGACTTACATATAAAACTATTTTTTAATAATATTTCATGTCTATTATTTCCTAAAAAATTCTTTTATCTGGGATTAAATTCAGTTTTGATGTTTTTCCAAACCTGGATCTACTGAATTTCAGTAAATGCAACCACAAAATTTTTAGCTGGGCTATGAAAAACTTACATAATTATGGTTGAGCATTTGAAATTTTTTCATAAAAGAATTAAATATCTCTAAAGCCCTTTAGCATATGCAAAGATTATTGGCACATTATATAGCTACCCCAAAATAAAATTAGCAAACATTTACCTATTTTGGTTGGCATTCTTGACAAAATGTTCACAGTTTCTGAGATCTATTGCTCCCTTAATTGGAAAGTCAGGAACCCAGTGCATATGATACATTTTGCTCATGAAAATGCATCACATAAAATTAGTACCCACTTTAGAAATGTTTCACAATTATCTTAAGAAAACAGCCATTCTAAAGAATTAGGTGTGCAAATGTTAGCAGTTCCATAAATAATAAAAATCCTCAGCTAATTATAAAGGTTTTTTTCAGAACGTTTTTCATATCACAAGCTGGAACAAAATTCCACAACTTGAAACTCTTCTAAATAAAATATGCACATCTATAAGGAGAAAATAATTATAGATAATGAATTAACTATTATTTTAATTTTGTTTCACCAATTACCTTTTTTCAGATATAGTCAAATTACTACTTGCAGAAATAACAGCTGCATTGGGAGGCAGTGGAGAAGAATCCAAAACAAAGTAATCCCACATTGGTGAAAATGCTGCTCTGGCTAATCTAAAGTTGCCTGTCTGATAGGCTACCTACAAAACAAACAAACAATGAGCTGACATGTTCATGAAATTACCAAGCCAAATAAAATTATAGGATAAATAATGTTTCAAAACTCCCCAAATGTAAATTTACAATTTCTCTAAGAATATTCTGGCATAGTTGAAGAAAATACATGTAGCAACAATTGGATCTTATTAATATTACAGCAGTTCAGATTCAGTATCAGAGAAAGCAAAGGAGTTCCTTAATTGCTGACCAATGCTCTAACAGCCCTGTGTGGAAAACCTTACAGGCATTGTGCTGAAGTTTTTGAAGGCATATAAATTAATCTAGATTCATTTTTCTTTTGCTAATACTGAAGGCAGAATGCCCTTCAGTTCTGAATAACAGCATGTAAACTAAGCCAAATAAGTAGGCATAAATTCACGTGGATATATCTTACACTGGACTATTTTAGGAAAGCTTCTAACTGTTCCAAATGATCTCTCTATAGGGCAAGACAATTTCACTTTCCTCTGTGTCACAATCTGTTTTAAATATCCTTTAGTAAGAACACAGAAAATTATAGTGATCTGACAACCATTGTGGTCTCTCACAAGATACTACAAAACTAATTTCAATATGAAAATGGTTGCCCTTGACACTTGCTAAGTTCAATAATATCTTTTATTCCATAATGACTAACAAGACGATTTCTAGTACTTGGTCTCAACCACAAAAATGAAAAAAAAAAACAAATTAAAAAAAAGAAAAAAAGAGAAGAAATAAGTAAAATGCAGACTGTAAAACAGAGATGGGTAAGAAAACTGAGCCCTCTCCATTTAACCTGACATTTCTGATAATTTTGAATTAAGAATCAACTTAGATATACGATTTTTATGTTAAAATTGTGATTTGTGCTTATCAAGGCAAGAAGGTCTCAAGTTGTTACCAGATGCAGTCTTAGACCAACCACTGAAAACAAGTAACTACAACTAAATGGAAGTAGGGGTCCATTATCATATTCTAACCCTACCTGAGTTAAATACGCTCGAACAGTAGTAGCAGAAAGGGGTGGGTAGGCAAGGATTGGCTTAGTCATTTGGCCAATGGCATCCCCAATAAGTTTTCCATCTGAAGAATAGGCTGCAACGGCAAATATGTATTTCTCATTGGCATCTAACCCTTGTACTTCAAAAAGAATTTTCCCATTCGCTGGTACCTACCAATAAAAATATTTTTCTAGTTACACTCAATGTACATATCAAAAACAAGTCACAAATTCTAAACTTTTATTATTAAACAAACTATTTAATGGTCTTGGATACAATCAAAGTACAATCCAGATTAATAGCATGTCATATACTAGATTCTTGTATTAAATTCTTGGAAACAATGAGAAGCTATAAGAAAACAGTGAAATGATAGGAGAAGCATCAATTTTCTCTAGAATGCCAATGCATATGCAGAGCAGATAACCTATGAGAACAGTTAAGTAAAAGGACCTGATGTTTTTCTATGATTCTTCTGTCCATTTGAACATTCACACAGTGATTGTCCATGCTTATAGTCACTGAGCTGAAACATTCTGTCCCTGAGCTCCGCTTCCAGACAAAGACCATACCGCTCTCCTTCATACATGCCACCTTCTTGCATCAGGTATAGGCAGAGATATCTCTGCTCCTTTCAGCACCAGTAAAAGCACTTTGAAGTTTGCAAAGCAAACAACATACTTTCAAGATGTTCATTTTTCTTTCAAGTAATTATTGTACCTGCACTTTAATATCATGGCTCACTCCTAACAAGATTTTCCACCTTCCTCTCTGTGACCAAGGTGACTTACACAAGGAAGATCTGAGGACTTCAAGGGTCTTGAAACCAGAAACAAGTGCCAGTGATGGAAGGATAACATGAGAATCAGCATCAAGAGAATGGTCTTATTCAAACAGTCTGTCCTTCACAAGGAGACCTCTGAACAACTGAAATCCCTTCAGATGCTGGGGCTGAATCCTGAACCAGCAGACCAGAAATATCTGTACAACAGTCTGAAACATCTCTTTATGCTTAGTTGATAGATCATTTGATCCCCAAGAACTCTAAACATTTTTCTTGGAGTCAGCAGATAGAGATTTTGTCTGCAGATCAGCATTTTGCAAAAGCCTATCCTAAAGCAAACAGAAGTTCCAATGCAGAGGCGTATGGTTAACCTCAGGTCTGTGTGCATCCAGCGCCTGTCAGAGCTAAGATGGTCAGTGGCTTAGATGGACTACAGCAAATTCACGGAAAAAACAGCTGGCAGTGGGCTGAAAGTCAAACAGTCAAACTTGTCAAACACTTAATTCACCTGATACAGAATGGAGTATTGAAACTAACTTGCGAAATACTACATGAAGCTTGGTTTTGTGGATTTGATGATCAGAGTATTAGGAATTACATCAAAGCCTCTACTGCCAGTACCTACACACACCTTCTCTTTCCATACACTTTCTTTTAAGGAGAGGCACCAGGGGAATATGCAAAGGGGAAGATTCCCTCTCCATCACCAAACACTATCAGTGTTCATATCAGTGTCTATCAGTGCACATATAGAGTTATTGCTTGCAGAGCCAGGAAAGCCTGAAACATCAGGCAAGAGAAGTTGAGATCATTCTTCTGTCAGAAAGCACAAGAGACCTGCCCTGCAAAGAACAGAACTTTTCATAAAGATTTGCAGACATAAAAATGATCACTGAGGTGATCGATGAGGTGTTAGACTACAAAAAATCTGCTGAAGAGGATATTCTGAAGCTTTCTTGCTCCTTTCCTAAATCATAAAATGCACAGTATTTGTATGGTTCATTGTTGTCATATTGGAGGACAATGCAATAGCAGGCATGAGTGAATGAAAAACAGAACTTTCTCAGTCTGCAGAAATACCAGAATATGATACAAAGGGGGAAAAAACCTACCTAAAAAATGCAAAACCAAACCAACAAAGCAGAAAAAAAAAAATCCAAGAAGTTTAAATTGTAATAAACAAGTAACGTAAGAGTACTAACACAGTCAACATGATCAGTCATAAGTAATTAAAGATGTAAGGGATGATTCACCATACCACATGTTCACAGAACGAAAGGGAAAGAGCATGAACCTAGAAATAAACTGTGTCTGAATGTGAAGGTTATTGAAAAAGTTGTATTATCATGCTGCCAGAATTAAGTAAGGCAATGTCTTGTTTAGAAGAAATAGCTGATAGGTGTTACACAAGAAGAATAATAAATTTTTATCTGTTTAGAATGTATCTTTTTTTTTTAATTCCTGGAAAGAGTAGTGTCTGTAATACACTCTAGAAATATTTCATATACTTTATTTTACTTTTGCATTTCTTAGATATCACTCAAAAACCCGTAGTTATAACAAGGTAGAGATTTGTTTAACTTGAAGCTTTTGAGTAATTTAATTTCTTATTCAAAAAAGATTCCTGGAAGTTTGTAAAGATACAAGAGTTTGTCAAAGGCTTAGCCAGTTACATTTTAAAAAATGTATCAGATAGAAAGATTCAGAGTTGGGGTATTTTTTTCAGAGGAAGAGAGAATTACCTAAGCAAGTTTTACCTCTGTCTTACCTGTTCGCCTGAATTTTGAAGTTTATTGCTATTTAACCTTACTTTTGTATGACTTCCTCCTGCTACACAGCCCAAAATACAGTACCATGAAACCTTTAAAGAAAATGAGAACAAAATTAGTTGATGCACAGTATTATTTCCATTTTTTGCCTAATGTAGAATGCACAAATTTTGTGAAAACAATCTCTACAAAAAACCTCAGCTTAGTTATAAAAAAGTATAGTCTAACTGCACTAAAAACATCAATTTTATTTAGCTGCAAAACTAGATATACTACTAGTGGAAATAAAAGCAGATGATTCTCCATTATGCTAACCCCACCTTGAGTTACCCTATTCCTCAAAGCTATCTCAAAGCACAAACTCTACAGGTCATAGATTTTAAAATCACCTAGATCCATTATTTGATCCATGCAATGGTACTCTTCTAAAGCTGGGATTGAGTTCCAATTTAGCAAACTACTTGAGGACAGGTCCTTAAAATCAGGCAAAAGAAGTGCAGTTATGACATCCTTTCCTTCTGTTGCATCAGCTGCAGAGCTCAGATTCCTGTCATCAAAGCTGCTGAGGCTGCACTCCATCTCACTGTCATCACTGAAGGTACTGAAGAGCATCAGTCCCAAAAGTGAGCTCTAAGGGACCCCACTCATCACCATCCACTACCTGGAATTAGAGCCCTCTCTGGCTGTGTCCATCCAGCCAATTCCTTATCCATTGAATGGCTAGTCATCCATCAAATCTGTGTCTCTTCAATCTGGAGATCAGCATGTCATGTGGGACCATATCAAAGGACTTATAGAAGTCTAAATGTGACATTTGTTGGTGTTCCCCTGTTGACTGTTTTTCACAACATGTTATTGAAATTGAGAAGATTATTTTCAGCAAATGAGCCTAAAGATCTGAAAATTTCACAGGTATTTTGACTCCTAGTACAAGATATGTATTTGTCTAATTAAGTCCTAGGCACACATTTATCCTAAGAATAAATACTAAAATCCTAAGTATTCAGTTAATAACTTCTACACTAGAAAACTAGCTTTCCTGTCTGCTCAACAGCTATGTGCTAACTTCAGAAAAAAAAATTTGTTTTAGACCGAGTTCAAATTATAAGAACAATAATCACACTTCGCCATCTAGTGGCCCAAGATTCTGCATTCACTCTCCTGTATCAAACAAAATGAAGTTTGAACATATACTAAAATAAATGAACTACTAAATTTTAAAGGGTTGGGGTTTTTTTCCCATTTTAGATTCAGTAAGGATAAAAATTATAAACTTTTCCCTAACTAAAATATTTTAAATTTACTAATAAAACTGCATGTTATGAAACAACTGTTCACAGAAACATTCTTGCCACTATTAATAAGATTTGAGTTTCTACTGGGTCTATACACATGATTATTTTGAAGAAGCTTGCAAAATCACTATGATTTCTCTCAAAAATAACCTGCATAGTGTGTTTTTCATACTTCAGCCTGTTTGAATCCTTTCTGGACAAGGGAAGGAAAATAAGGTGATTTAGAAAAGTCAGAAGGTATTTACCAAGGGCAAATTAGGGCTGACCCCCATGACTGGCCTCTGTGACAAAATTACTTGATTAGCAGAAGGAGGAGGAGGAGTAGATGCCATTTACTTTTCACAGTAGTGCATGGTAGGAGAAGGTAAAACAAGATCTAAATTGAAGCAAGGGAGACTCCAACTGTACATGAGAAAAAAAGTTTTCTTTCATGTTGCCCTGTTAGAACACACTTTCCAGAGAAGCTCTCTCCATTCTTGGAAGTTTTCAGAACTGACTGCATAAAGCTCTGAGCAAACTCAGTCTCACAGGCAACTCTACTTCGAGCAGGTTGGACAAGAGACTTCTCCTAATGCCCCCTATGTCCTGTGACTCTACATGCTCAACAGAAAGTGGATTATTTCCACCTGAACTATGCCACTTCAACATTTCATTAACAGAGACTTCAGTGTGGAACTTTTTTTGCATCACATGATGCAACAGTCTTACCTCTCTTCAGAGGGTAACTAGGAATATAGTTGCAACCCCCAAGCAAGAAAATTAGCTTTTAATAAGTGGAATAAGTAAGTATTAGACAACAGAAGCGCCAAGGGACATGATGTATGAGATTAAGAAAGTCTCATGCAAATGTGAAGATCAAAACAGTGAGTCACAAAGGAAAACTGACTCACAGAGGACAAAAAAAGGGATACTTAATTAAGTCAGAATAATCCTCTCAGGAACAAAGAAAAATGTTTTGGTATAGCACTGTAAAACAACTTTTTCTCTTGTGTATAGTTTAGTTATTTCTTATGCAGTCATCATGAAAAACATTACCTGAATATCTGAATCAAATGGGGCTGGTTTAAATGTCATGGAGCAATGTGATCTGGAAAGCAACAGAGGAGGAGGAGGAGTCCTGTTGTTTTTCTTGCTGCTCATAGCTTCTTTGAGACTGCTATACAATGCACTTTGTTCAGCTTCAACCTGCTCAATTAAACTTAGTGCTTCCTATGATTGAAATTAAAAAAAGAGAAAACTATTAAAATATAACAATCAGATTTAAATTTTATACATTATTTTCAAATTCTCATAGAAAATTTCACTGCTACATACGAAACTTTCAGTAGCTTTTCATATTACCCTACATCCTAAATGAGGATGAACGGTACTTTGTGTAAACTCATATATGCAGATTAATTTCAGAATTGGAGAATGCAGGGTTACCTATGAAAGAAGCATATTCAATTTTGGAAGAACCCAAAGGAAAAAAGAGAGTGATCACATATAATGCTGATAAGCAATTAGTGCCAGCCAGGGGTTATCTCCAAGAAACAAAAAAGATATCAACTCCTATTTAGGAGAGAGCTAGAAACCTAACCTGTGGAATTCCTAGAGGAGCTGTAGAAGCAGTTAGACTGAATTTTTTTGTACTTCAGAAACAGAGGGGGAAAAAATTAAGTCTACAAATAAATAAAAAGGAGGAGAATTTGGGTCCAGAAAAGGTAGGGCTTAGCCATTTTCCCCCTGGTTATCTGTAGACAGCTGAAAGCTGACAGTCAGCTGTCAAAGAGGTGGGAGAACCTTGCATACAATGATTATGTGGCGATTTGGTTGGAGGCTGCACTTTTTTCTTACTTGACTGAATAGCAACTTGGTAGGTTTCTTCACCTTGATTTCACTGCCAGTTCAAGAGAAACTTGACATGGAAATCTAATATTCAGAACTTAGTACTTCTATATCTTTACTTGCGGCAGCTGTTCAGCCCATAATAAAGCCAAAAAGGCCAACTCACAGATGAACAAGGATTACATTTTGTGTAGAGACAAGAAATGATGTATTCCTACAATTAGAAACTTTATTATTTGAAGAATTTTAGTACACTAGACCAAGGATTTAGGCTGAGCTGCGTCTGAAAGATAAAATGAAAAAAAAATTCCAAGTTATTGGTAATTCAGTGACAATCCTTTAATCTTACACCTTAACAGGTCTTTGTTGCTGTCCTCATATGTTTAGAAGACTACACAATAGTGGGTCAGATCACAGACTGAGTAAGCCTGGAATCTCATATCCAAAAATTATGAAAAGATTACAGGTTTATGGTGAAATGAGTGAAACAGGGAGCTAAGATTTAATAGAACCTCTTGCATAGCTAATCACTTTCACAGCCCTACCACTCCACCCTGTTCCCTCTCCCTTTAGCACCCTTTAGCATCCACTGTAATGGGACATATTACAGGAAGGATACAAGATAAAGAACAAGATATGGAGTGACTCCGTGATTCAACCATTCAACTTTTGCAAGCAGTAGTTTGAAGCTTCATTGCTTCCTTAAAAACTATACTTCTCCATGGCAAGCAGTCCTATGATACAATTTTTCACTGAAAGTATCACGGACTCATACTTGTCTGAGGACATATTTCTGGTAAACACAAGGGTGGCAATGCTCCCAGGTTGAATAAAGATGGCGTTGTGACTGAGAGTGGTGTCACTGTGTGACCTGTACTTCAGCAATTGTAGAACTTGGAAGATAATAAACGTGGCAGTGTTGCAAGATGAGCAAGACTAATCTTGCAGTTGAAGAAGCCAAATGTCACCATGAAAACCCCAAATGCTTGAACTGTGATAAAACACAATTTATCCCTGCCTCTGTCACAGACTTGCACCATGGTATTAACTTAATCACATCATTTCAATTTTACAACTGGCCCATAACAACTACCAGTGTATCCAATTCTGTAAAAACTTGGATAACCAACTAGACATATAGGACAGGAAGAAAGAATTAAACAACTGTGAAAGAAATAATAAAAATGCACAGCAGTTAAGCAGTTTGATGTAATTGAGTAAACACATATGACTCAGAAGCTTCCATATTCCACTCAGTTGTTTACTGCATGAGAAATGGTTATTTGTATGCTTCTCAAAATAAAATAAACTGCTTCCTATTTTGCTAAATAATAAAAACAGATTTGTAGGATATTGTGCTGATTACAGGAGAAAAGACCAGAAGATGCAAGTAGTTCAATATAAAACTCTACAATAAAAAAAGCAAAAGCATGAAAATAAAAGTACGGATTTGCTGTTTATTAAGTGAGTACCATCCACCTCAAGCAGTAAAATTAATTGAGCTTATAATTAAATATTTCATCATACAATAAATGTCAAAGAGATCATGGTAAGTTTGTCCAGACAAAATTAATTCTGGTATTTTCTGGAAACTGCCTACAGATACATTTTTTTATTTACATCTTTCTTGGTGAAAAGTGCACAGAAGCAAAATGTAGTGAAGGTCATTTTTGGCAGGTAAATGTTTGCTTGGGATAACCAGATATTTCTTGGGAATTGCTTGTAAGTCTTCACTGGTGACTACAGTTACAGCTTTCATACTGTATCACAGCATCTGCTATGATATTCATAAATAACATATATTTTACAAATATATGAGATATTTTTAATGTATGTATTTTCTGATCCAGTTTTTGCATTCTTCTGATGTAATAAATATATGTATTACTTATCATGCTTCCAAATTCGTGGCACTTAAAAGAAAAAAAAATTCTAGTAACTTCTTGTTTAAAATACTCTTTTATATATTATATATTGAAAATTGCAGATTCTGTTATCTGATATACAGGCTATAAAGAAACTTAAAGCCCTGTTGATGAGCTTTTTCATGGCACTTTTCATGGGCAGATGATGGCACAAAAGTCAATGGAAATACTGTCATTGACTTCAAAAGACTGAAACAAATCCAGGAAGACTCTGCTTTTAGCTCCAATAGATTCCAAAACCCCAATATATAAACTGGTTTTTTAGAATGAATAAAATAAAGTCCATGTCATCATCACCAGCTAAAGCATTCTAAGACTTGAAGATTTTGGAAAAAGAACAATGTCGAAGATTACAGTAAGGAAACCTGAATGACATTTTGGCAACGTATAGGTTCATAACTGCAAAGTGCAGGAGATAAAATAGGAAGGAAGGAAAGATCTTATCTTCTCTCAGGTTTCCTGAAATTTGCATGTATGCACAAAATTCAGGGATGTGCCCTTTCTTCTAAAGTAAGGTCACTTTACTTTTTGAAACTTCTCCGGAAAAAATTGACAATATAAGTTAAAAACACACGATGACCCTCAAGTTCCTTCCATTTTTGTTTTTATAAAAAGTAGTATTACGTGTCTTAATTACACAGAACATGAAAAACTGTGCTAATGGTAAAGCATTTCTATCATAAGGTTCTTGTTATTACCTCCAGTAGCTGCCTTTGGGAAGTAGTAGTTAACTCTTCAGGGAACTTCTGTGCAGCTTTTTGCATCAAAAAGATTGCTCTGGATAGCTTATTCCTTTTAATTTTTTTCATTATAAGTTCCTCTAAAAAACAGATATTTTATGATATTTATGAAACAGTGGCAATTATTTATTATACTTCTAAAGTCTTAAGTAATAAGTCTTACCTGATAAATACTGGAAATCTTCAATATTCTTTTCACGAGACTTAGAAGACTTAAGACGTCTGTCAACAACTTGAGTACCTGTGTAGGATGGAAATATTGAGTTATTTTGATAGTGCTATTGCAAAAAAATTGAGTGAGAGGTTAATACATAGTTTTATAGTAAAGCTCTGCTCTGTTTCACATTCTTTTCTTTGGTTCAAGTAGAACTTCTTGTACAGATCATGCCACTAAAAATACTCCATCCTCCTGCCTACATTTTTAGTAGTTATATTAACACTGCAGAAAAAGAGAGGTTTGATCATAGGGAGCAGGGCACAGTGTAGCTCTGCAGTGTCAAATTAATACTAGGTTTTAATTTTAAAAAACCAAAACAACACTAAGAATGAGAGAAAAAGCTGAGTTTTTTTCAGAAGCCATTTAGCAAAAGTGGAGTATCCGCTGACTGGAAAGATACAGAGACAACTTCACAGGAGTAGAAGTTCAAATTACCAAAAGCACTGAATAAAATATTTAAGTCATTCTCTAGAGAGAAAATTAGCGTTACAGAAAAGAAAAAATCCGCAGAACCCCGATTTTTCTTTACTGGCATTATAAAAGTTAATATTATAACTAAAATACAACAACTGTCTAGGAATTAAATCCATTAACTGCAGCAAAATTTAACTGCCATTGGTTGAGTAAAGGTTGGAGACAAGTATCATGTAAATCTAAATTCTGCAAATTCAGTACAATATTTCTGGTATATAAATGGTATATAAACTGCCAAAACATCAGCTCCTCTCCAGAAAGCAGATACTCCTTTAGTTATTAGTACTACAGAATATATTAGCAAAAAGGCTCTAATCAAGTCATGAAGATTATTTAACTTTACTGAAACCTACCTTGTGTAATTTTAAGAAGTTTCACAGCTACTCGATGTTGGGCCTGAATAAGCTCCAAGTGTAAATCTGTTACAAAACCATTATCTGCTCCTGTTTTATCATCACCACATCCCAGAACAGAATTCAAATTCTGATTATTTGAGTCTACCTAATGAATAGGAAGCGGCAATTAAGTAAATACAAAATTCCACTATTTAGCTTACTGCATTTTTCTTGATATTGATATTATTTCAGTAAACTGACAAAACTGAAATTTGTCATATTTGTGTAATAGGCAGTCAATCAAGAAAGCATGGAAAGGAGAGTGACCAGACAGAGAGAGCACAGATAATTCACAAAGAGAACTAGACAAAATCTGAGAATCAATAGAAAACTGGATCAATAATAAAGGCAAAACCACAAAAACTCTTTTACTGTGTTACCAATCCACAAAACAAGTACCAACAAATTGGTACAGAATGAAAATATTTAGAAAATTTGAACTCACATCAAGAACAAAAATTGATTTTAATAATAAACAGTTACAAGCAATAAATATGAACAGGATTTCTGCTCTTATTTTACACAAGAAACCTATATATTATAAATATTTCAAAATAAAATGTTAAAGAAAGCCTAAAGGAGTTCATAGTTTATTACCGAAAGAGAAAAATGCTCTTTCAACTCATGCTGGCTTTGGCTTAGGCAGAGTTAGTTTTCTTCATAGCAGCTGGTATGGAGCAGTGGTTTGGATTTGTGCTGGAAATAGTGTTAATAATGTCAAAGATATCTACATTACTAATGAGTAGCACTCACACAGCCTCAAGGCCGTGACAGCACTGCTTCTCACACCACCTCACCAGAGAGGAGGCACAAGAAGTTGGGAGGAGGCACAACCAGGGCAGGTGATCCCACTGACCAAAGGGATATTCCAGCCCATACAACATCACAGCCAGTACCTAAACCTCAGGGAAGGAGGAAGGGGCAGATGTTCGAGTGATAGCATTTGTCTTCCCAAGTCACCCAGGCTACATGTAATGGGGGCTCCCGGAGTTGGCTGAACACCTGCCTGCTGCGGGAAGTGGTGAATTAATTCCTTGTTTTGCTTTTGCTTTCCCCATTAAACCATCCTTATCTCAACCCTTGAGTTTTCTGGCTTTTACCTTTTCCCCAGGACACTGAGGGACTGGATGAGCAGCTCTGTGGGGCTCAGTTGCCAGCTGGGGTTAAACCACAACACTAATACACAGAGATATATTTTTTTTCTATTCTCTTCTTATGTGGGCAAGGAAGATGAGGTACATTTGATAGTGCTAAGATTTCTAAATATGAAGAAACTATTAAATTTGTGTCATCAAAATATATTACTGATAGATTTTGTTGCAGTGTAGCTTTTTGTAAATTTTACCTTTGTACAGCAGTTGTCAAATATCGACTTTCCATCTGGTAAAAGGGTCATTAACCGAGATGTGTTCATGTCATTAATTGCTTTTTCAAGAATTTCATAAGCAATTTTTAATTGTTCTGTCGGTGTTTTCTGAAATGAAAATGTAAATATATTTCCTTAGATAACATAAAAAACTATAATATAGACTATCAAAAGTAATGTGGTTTTCTTCTTAGCTGTTGAAGTTTAAAACTGTCAGATTATCTTTACATAGGTACAGCTCCTCATACTTCAAGATACTAATATCAATATTTTAAATTTCAAGTAGGACTGAAATAAAATCAGCTCAATAAAAAAAAAACCAGAAAAAAAACCCCAACAAAACAAACCAGAAACCAAAAGCAAACAAAAACCCCTTAGAGTTAGCTTATAGCAGAATGAAACCAAACTTAAAGAATTAAATTGAAACCATAGTACTTGCAATTTTTCAATAATCCATTAAACACTACAAAGAAAACACAGTGTTTTGAGGAAACACCACCTTTAAGTAGACTGTCACTGAACTAAACCTTGTCCACGTGTGTAAGTATTAAGAGACATGACTGACAACACCCCCAAATCCTCAGACTAACACATATCATTTGTCCTTAACATGCTTTAGTAAGCCATTTGATTGGACAATTCTGCAAAGTGCTGAACAAAGCAAGGAAATTCAGAATTTCATGTATTCCACATAATCCTTCCAAAAACAAGGAAGCAAAAACACAACCCAAAGTATTTTCTTAAATTAAGCAAGAACTAAAATTCCTACCGTCCTAATAAAATGTGCTATTAAACCATTCAAGGCTGGTACTACAGATTGGCATAATAAAAAGGTATACAGTGGAAATTACTATGTACATGCTGTAACGAAGCTTTCAAATATAATCTCTTCCAGAAAAAGGATTGATAAAAAAGACTCAGGGAAAATTTTCTAATGTTATTTCAGCTGAAAAAGTATCTTTGCTTTTTTCCTCTGCACTAGAAGGATTTCATGAAACATTTCATCTTTGTAAAACTAAATACAAAATCATATGAAAAGCTTCAAGCAGAACTATTCTTATTCTATTCAAAATCAATGTATTAATTAAGATAAATTGGACGTTACCATCAGTATTTCAGGCATATCACAGGTTTCATCTTGAGAAAGAGAAGCACTTCCTCCTTTTTATAGGGAGAAAAGCAGAAGTGAAAAATCAAATAAATCCAGAAAATTTTAGTACCATTTGATCAGCTCTATTAATAATTTCAGAGTTTGGCAATAATTCTGTTCTTCAGTGTTTGACTATGAGCGGTAACAATACCGTTTCTTGAAGAGCTTTCAAGGGCTTAGACACACAGCAATGTATATGTACAGTTATACTAATACAGGATATTATTAGCTAATACTGTTGTATTTTAAAGGTACCATACATTTCATAGCCATGTCATAACCAAGCTAATGAAACTAGGACTCATTTTGTAGTTGCTCATATTTTTGTAGCATTCATATAGCAATTCTCCATTTTGAAATCAACTCAAACCTATTATTATCTAATTCACAGTTAATTTCACTTATAGAAGGATTTTTAGGAATAGGAGGTCATAATATTATGAGAGATATTATTTCATTTTAATATTTCTTGAAACAGTATTATCATTCTTTTAAAGTTTGCTTTGATTGTTTAAATTACATTCATTTATGAAGAAAGCATCCAAACTTATGTTTCCCTCTTCAAAACAAGAAAAACCATTTATTTAGTTCTTGGTTAAACCCTCTAATTTCATTTTTTTGCTGAAATAAATTATTTTTTTCCCCTTTCAGAGGAACAACCTTCTAGTCACTCCTTGTGCCACTTTTGCATGATTGTTTTTGCTTGATCACTGTCTCTTCCTCATAAAAAAGAAAATTTGTATTCACTCAGTAAATAGGTTCTTTTCAGCACCGGCATGTGCTTGACTGTCAGCCTATTTTGACCAATGGCTCCTATCTATTTAGCTTTTTTTTCCTCGAAAAAGACATATTTAAACTGAATGAAAAAGTAGGAGTGCTACAATGAGGACTCATTTAGTTTCCCTGAGAACCTTACGATCTAAGTAAAGACCAAAACCAATACCTACTTAACCTTAATAATAAGTAGTAGATTCCCAAGATTTTTTTATTTCCAAAAGTGCAAAACTATTATAATTTCTTTCTGTTTCTAGATATGGTCTAATAAGATGCTTAACATTTATTCTCTAGTTACTGTAAGACATTTATAAGAATTATGATTCATATTCCAAAATACACAATAGAGAGCTTTCAAAGTATGTCTAAATATTCATGTTTTACAACATTAGTCAGGTTTTGAAAGGAAATTTGTTTACTGTGATTGATTAACATATCCCAGTAATGTCAGCCAAGTTCAACTTCAAAAACAATTGAATTACTATACAAAAATCAAGAATATGTAGAGAAGAAAACCAAACTGATTACTCAATAAATGCAAAAGCTTCAGTATGACCTCAATATTTTCCCCTTTAGCCTGCTACTAATTAACCAGCATTTGAAGGCTCCAAATTAGCAACAGCACGTACTGCCTTTTGCGTAGTCCATATTCAGAGAAAATAGCAGTGATCTGAGGCTACTCTGAAGGGGCTAAGAGACATGTAGAAGACCTGTGAGGAGAGTCAGTAATAAGAGATGTAATTCATAATGGGGTTGCTTCAGTAGAACTGGAAATGTAAGGAAAGGAATCATAAATCCTTAGGAAAGCAAGTTTCATTAGCTCAAATAATGGGTGAAATTTTGTGTGAAAAATACTGTCCTTCCACTCTCAACAATGTCTTTACAGTATTTTTTTAATTTGTATGTTAGTCAGTTTTCAGCTCAGAAAAGTTCCAATCTTAAAAGTAATTTTGAAAGAAACCTCAATTTTTCTTACCTTCTTTTTCCTTAGATACAATTGTAGAATCAGCTACATTTTCCAGTATTGCAGCTAGACATAAGGTTATCTCTGCAAACATTACATTAGTGTCTGCTATGTTGCTCTTCTTAATTATTTCATTCACTATCCAGAGTATGTGAACACACTAAAAATGAGGGAAAGGGGGAGGAAAGGAATCAGAACGGAGATAAATCAAAATTTTGGAAGACATTTATGTATTACAGAGGTAGACAGGGTTTTGCACTCAAAATTGTTTAAAAATATTCACAAGCATGCATACAACTCGTTTCCTGGATCTGGTTTCTTTTTTTAAATGTCACCAGACTGAGATGCTGAATTTACACTGCTCCATAGACCCTGTTCCTTCAGACAGCAGACTTTTTTTATTTTAGAACATTATTACTCCTGCCAATCTTTTTGGAAAGTTTTATGAATGTTCTACAGCCATAAATTTAATACCTTTCTCTAGTGCAGTAAGCCTTCCAGTAGATTTGATTACATGTCTCTCATTTATCTCCGTATCTTCCCACTTAGAATAAAAGAGACCCAAATGCTACGGTTGTACATACAGAGGAAAATAACCATACACTACCTTCTGGGGAAGTTCCAAACAATTTTGCTGTATAGAGTCACAAAAATAACTCCTCCAGAAACTGGCTGGTTAGCACCAACTGGCAGCCCAGAGAGCCCATTTCACCAAGAGCCTCTCACCCACAGAACAAATTCTAGGTAAGGCTGTGACTCCATCCAGTCGGCTGAATACTATTGTACTATTGACTCCCATCTCCCTTAAGTTGTATGGTTTTTGGCACTTTCTTCAACTGACCTAGGGAACTTTCTTGAAATACATTGATATTTTCTGCCACAACATCTCAAATTATTCTTCTTCTTACATCCTGCCCAAATGTTTTCACTAATTTAGCTTCAGTGGACCACCATGGCCCACTGGCACACTGGGTTACTTTATACTTGGAGAATATTTGGGTACTGGCTTATGTGAGCACAGTGTGTTCAAAGTGTGTATAATTGATATTTTTGAAGAAGATTTATCTGCATTTTACCATAAGAAAAGGTACTTAGACTGGATACCAGTATTTCACTGCCTTTACTATAACAGATTGCATTCACATTAAGAGAAATACTTTATAATGAAGGAGTACTTGGTAAGCTTGGTGTTTGTGGATATATTCTAAGCAGTCACTTCCACTCATTTGGATTTGCTGAAGGTCTGTTTTACACTTCTGCCACAAACACATTACTACATCAACAAGTATTTCTTTGTCAGGATGGACATTCTGGAAAGAAAAAACAATATAATTGTGGAAACAGGTAGGCATATAAACACACAAATAGCCCAGTACATGAACAGTCTCAACATTTTCCAACACAAGTAAATAAAATATGTCACCTTCCTATAAGGGATGACAACATTTTGAAAGCTTTAGAAATTTGTTTTAAAAATTAGTTCTGGTAGACCACCCACGTTTTTCTTCCCTCAACAAAATAAGTGGGTTTAGAGGTTTGGGGAGGTTTTTTTTTTGGGTTTTTTTTTTTTTCATTGGCAAGCTCTTAAAAGTAACACAGACAAGGAAATCAGTGAGGTGAAAATTACATGAGAGAGTAAATTAACTATAACGCTGAAATCAGTAGAGTCTGGAGAAACTTTATTTTTATTGAAGTATTTAAATATTTTCAGAAGAAAATCTAAATTAATAGTTTCATTTTGCTTGACAGAGTACTTCCATAGGCTCTTGGTGCATCTGAGACTATGAAGCAGTGAAAAACAAACTAGACAAATATCTGGACTGAAATATCTAACAAGTGAAAGAAATGTGAAACCCTACCTGCATCTTGCAAAGAGAATAATTAACGAATTCAAAACTCTAGTCAGTTAACCTCCCAATTAATACATTTTAAAAGGCAATAGAGTCCATCTATGTGTTAAAGACATTCTGAACAGTGAGTAAGGATCAATACACATCTTTATCACTAGTTACAGCAGAGCTGAATCAGCATCTCAGATGCAGTGACACCTGATATATCCACACTATCTATACTCTCATATATGTTTGAGCATAAGATTTATGGGATATTGATAATGAAACTGAGGGGAGAAGAAAAGGGGAAAAATGCAAATCAAAATAATTTTTGCACTGTTTTGGTGGCAGCAAGCTGTTAGATTGCCTCAGCTATGTATCATGTAACTTCACCATCAGTAAATGCTCTGTTAATCAGGGGTGAATTTGTGTTTCTTCTCTGGACAAAAGATCAAGAAGATTTGCAGGAAAGTGTAGAGGAACCAGCAGAGTTTAAATCCAGGTAACTGCCTCCATACAGAGGTCACATTTAAAACTGACAAATCATGCTGTCTAAAGGTATCTGTGGGGTACCTCACAGGCAAGGTACTTTGACTAAATATAAAAATACGCCAAAGCTAAAAATGTGTGTGCTCCAGTTACATCCAAAATGTGGCAATATTCAAATTATATCTAAAATAAATTTTGCAGTTAAGATATATGCCATGTTATCAGAAGAGGTTTTTTCTAAGGAAAAAAATCATTAGTCTCTTGGATCACAAACTATTTTAATGTAAATGCTAGTAGTGGAGACATTGCAGTAAAATTTCTTCCCCTCCCAGTAGCACAATAAGGGAAATCCCAGTTTGAGCAAGTAAAAGTGGTTACTCTGGGGATAAATCATCAGATACATAATGGGATTCATTCCACAGTGGAGACTTCAGCACAGAGTCCCACTCTCACTGGTTTTCTTGTTGCTGCTGCTTGTTTCAGTTCTTTGCAGTGAGAATTGACCTTAAATTGCAGACATAGTGCTGTTAAAAAGGTATTATCATTCCGTAGGGTGACTGCCCCCATTTCTATAAATATTGCAGAACTGTTTTCCACAGCTGAGCATATTTGCCCACCAAAATCTAACATATGTAAAGAAATTTGATCTCTCCTTGATTAGCTGAAGCATGCAATCAGCCCTATGGTCTTCCAAATAAATTTAATACCCAATAAATATTTTTCAAGTAACTGATTACAGAGAATTTTAGAACGAATATACCATTTTTTTAAATCACAAACTAAAAATATTCATGAGTACATTTTTCACTTTTTGTATTCTTGCAGTTTGTTAGTCATGCAATTGATTCCTTTGATCTTCAATTATATGCATTCATTACAGACTAAGTGATACATTGAGAAGAAATGTCTCAAATTCTGTTATTACCTGCTCAGATGTGGAGATACAGGAAAACACTGTTGTTGCCAGAATTGTAAGATCATGGAAAGGATCTTCAGGCTTTAAGGATTTCTCTACATTCAACATGTATAATGAAAAATCGAGAAAAAGGAAAGGCAAGATATCATATCTAATTTAAAAACTAAGTTTGAAAATATCTGAGTCAACTAATTTACTAATATAAACCAGCAGATAACATGGTCTAAGAAACACTAAATTCAGAGGGGGACAGATAATTCCAAGTTTATTCACTTCTGTGAAAATGAGCATTTCTATTTTTAGGAAACAGAAAGTTTTCAAGATATATTCAGGTTTTTGATTGTCATAGAATGAAATTGCAGTTGGTCTAACAAGTTTTTCTTGCTTCTGTGTAAAGAAATTTTGCATAAATTAAGTGTAAGAACAGGCAAAAAAAAAACCCTCAAAGATGTGTTTCACTTTTTCCCTGAAAACTTGTCTGAAAACATTCAATCATTTTGCATCTTTGGTTATAACCAGACACGTTTAACATGTATCATGCATTTCCCACTTAAGGGAAATCATATAAAGTCATATTTTGACAAATGAAAACTGGAAAAAATAGGTAGCATTTTCTCAATTACTACTTTTTGTCATAGACTACTGCATGAAACATATTACATTGTTATAAATAATCAACAAAACCTCTTGCTGTAAAAAATATTTGAAATTCAAACACAATTATAACTGAAAAACACTCACTTCTAATTGTCTGTGTCTTTTCAGAACCTTGAAGTGTGCTGGCTTCTTCGCTATTATCATCAGTAACAGAAAAACTACGTTCAAATTTTCCTGGGAATACTAAAGGTTGCATCAGTGTAAGGAGTTTGAGTTCTATTTCAGCTCTCTTCCATGTTGGGTCATCTTGAGTCTAATAGAGAGGGAAAAAAACATAGAAACTGTTCTTTAAGATATGTATTTTGCATACTCCTTACTCTCATAGGAAAAGACCAACTAAAGAATATCTCAATCATATCCAGATTACCTGAAGAAAATTATTAACAAATTCAAGCGCAGAATAAAACACGTCCCACTCTTCATAGCTGAAAGCTAATTTTACAAATTTCACAGCAGCATCTCCAGACACCCCTTTTTGTCCTGCAGTGATGACAAAAATATTTTCTTTGTTTTACATGTATGTAGTCAGAAGTTTATTGAAAGTTTAATTTAATTCATTTTCATAATTTGGGCATTGATAAATACAAAACATTTTTCAGCAGTCAGCATAATCTTGAAGGATGTTTTAATAACTTTACAAGAAACAATAGTTATATCTTTTCACAGTAATGTCTAGGCTTACAGACTGCTTTAATGATGAATCTGCAACCATAGAATCATATAGGTTTGAAAAGACCTCCAAGATCATCAAATCCAAACTTTGAACAAACACCAGCATGCCCACTTGACTATATTACATTGTCCTGTTACATTCAAAAGAGGCTCTTCAATTATTGATATTAACATACCTGTGTAAAGAACACCAAGGATCTAGTCCTTGCTGTTGCAGGAAGAGCTTATCACCCTGTAAAGAACCTTGCTATCCAAAATTTGAGTTAAAAATTGCATATAAATACATACAATTTATTTCAAGACAGGTAAACATTTCTCCTTACTGTGTCAGAAAATGCTCTTATACACCTAAGGAGCCTATTTTCTCACTTTTCAAGTTTATCCAGACCACAGTAAGGCAGAAAATAGACCTCCTGGTCCTTGGAACTCTCAGCAATCTTTTAGCTAATATATTCAGCAGTGTTCTGTAGTCCTAATAATATGCCACACTCACTGTCATGAGTTGGAAGGTACCCACAAGCTTGATCAACAAAGTCCAGCTCCCAGCCCTGTACAGAACCACTCCAAGAGGACACCATTTTGCACACTCTTTATGTATAGAACTAACATGAAAATTAATTCTGTCCACTAAGCATTTACATCACTGGGTTAAAGAAATCCTTTGAAATTCAAAGCTAGCTTACCTGTTAGCATCAACTGCAGAAGGGTAGATGATGGATTAATTATACCAAAATTACTGGTGCCGTTGCTCTCTCCACCTTCAACATAAAATTATTAAATCAATTTATAATTTATTTGACTTGTTAAATTCTAATTAGGCAGTAATCATTCCAAGAAAAATATCATTTTGAAGTGTACTTAGTCTCTATATATCCTTTCACTGACAAAATACCTCTATACCCAGGACTATATTCAGCCCAGAAAAAAAAAAAAGTGTGGAATGAACCATCAAGTCCAGTGTTTTTATCAAGTTTTCACATCTAACTTTAAATAGATTTTTTAAGAAAATAGAATACATCAAATACCATGGTACTCTGACCTTGCCTGGCTTCTCGACCCCCATCCTGCTGCTCTCTCACTCATGCTTCACAACAGGACAGGGGGGAAAAAATATGATGGAAAGCTCATTGTATAGACACTCCCAAATAAATAAAGAAAACAAAGCTGTGACTGCAAATGAAGTAGAAAAGGTAATTTATTCACTATTTCCCATAGGTGGGCAGACACCCAGCCACCTTCTGGTAAGCAAGGCTTCAGGATGTGTAGCAGCTTCTTGGGAAATCCCCCTATCCTCTCCCTTAGTCACAGACTCTGCTGCTGAACTGGATGGCTTTTGGTGTGGATCAGCTGTTTGGTGAGTTCAGGTCAGCTGCGCCAGCTATGTTCTCTCCCAGCCTCCTGCCCACCCCCCAGCCTAGTGGCCTTTGGGGAGGGGAGGGTTGGAGAGACAGCCTTGAGGCTGTGCAATAACTGCTCAGCAGTAGTGAAAACACTATGTGTTAACAACAGTTTTAGCCATAAATATATGGCACAGTAAAGCCTGTAAAGACCACTACAAAGATAATGAACTCCAGTTTACTTAGAAAATAGATGCATAAACTGCTGCAGATTTTTACTGAATATAATAGACCATGGAGATCAAACCAGATTTTTATCTTCTATTATGTGAAGATAAGAAAGACTACCTGCTTTTATAGGTGCTATTGTTATCAATTAAATATATACCTTCAGGCACATTCTCTTATTTTTAATAGAAAAAAAACCAAAATAAAATGGAGTTCCAGGCTCCCCACCAACACTGGCTTTGCTTCTTTAAGCTGTTACCTGAGAGGATTTCTAGGCCTGCGGAAAAAAGCTCAGAAGTGACAATACGGATTTGAATTTCATCAGGAACAGGAGGATGAGGAGGCAATAGATTCCTGCTGCTATCAGACAGTGCTTCCAGGATGGCAAGGAACTGAGCTGCAGCACCATCGAACATTTCCACCAGCAGCCGCTCAGTAGTTGTGCGAGGCCATGACAGCTAAGTAAGAAAAGGTAATTTAATCCTTGTGACATCTAAACTTGCAATAAAGCAAGATTTTTTTCAAAACATTTCTCCATCAGAAAGTAAGTACATGTTCAAAACAGAAAATAACATACTGTAAAATATATTGCTGTTATTAATGTCATGCTTCAAAGGCATAGCAAAGCCTCATGCTAAGCAGGTACAGTACTTAGACTAATCAATTCATAGCAGCCAGACACACTGTGGCATGGTATTTTACTTCAAAAATAGTACAATAGAAATTATGGGGGAGAGTATTAAGGCCATGTAGTTTAAAACCATGCAGATCTCTCCTGATAATCTTCTAAAGTAATAATTAGTACATCTTCCCTACTTTGAAGCTTGTTCTGAGTTTTCTTAATAAATTCTGCTAATTATGAAACTGCAAAAATAAAACTTATCGCTTGTGTATGGCACCATCCGTATCTGGAAAAATTATATCACAGTTTCATCACATGACAATAGTAAAGGAAGAGAAGGATTATATGAAATATCAGACTTACATTTACTGCTTTTCTTGGGTTAACTTTTGACTCACGTCGAGAACTGTTCGACTTTCTTCTGGATTCATATACTGCTCTCTTGAAAATCATTACTGACATCTGGGGCACAAATTAAAAATTTAGTCAATATCTATTTTATGTGTTCCGTTCATAAAGATCATAACTCCTCTAACGTTTTATAATGACTTGCATGATGATACCTTTAGAGTGGCCTCTCTAAAAATCTTTTCTGTCTCTGTATGTTCCAGAGAAGAACTGGTATCTTCTAATTGCTTTATTTCTTCAATTTTAATCAAACCACGGCGAGCAAATATCTGTCCAAAAATTAAAAATACATATATAATATATATATGCATACTCTGTGTTGATATCTAATTTTAGAATAATATAGTTCCTGAATTTATACAACTGCAAAGAGCCACAATGAAAGCCAGATCCTGAACAATTGAAAAGGAAAATAAAACCTTTGTAAAATACCTTTTGTATATATGGGACCTGGCCAGTGTTTAATGCTAGAAGTCTGTGACTGTGAGTATATTACAAAGTGCTATTGCATTTCAGTTGATTATACATTTACATGTGGAAACACATCTCCCCTTTGGAGTAAAATTTTGGAATACGGGCAGAACTCTAAATATATATGATCTGCTAATAAGTAGGAATATTTAAATAAATATTTCCTATTTGATTGCATCTGAAATGCTACATAAGGTAAATCAGGATACCTCTCCATGAATGCCAGCTTGACAATCAAAATAACACTGAGAAACTGCCGTATATAGGGTGGCTCTCCATGTCAAATAATGCACAGATAAGAGTGGAATGGATGATTCCATACATATACTGGCCCACAGTAAGTATTCCAGGACCTGTATTGAAGAAATCTAATTTCAAAATGAATGCATTTTAACATACATAAATATGCTTCCCATTACTAAAGGACAGATACAAAGACTTATCTTCACCTGGTAGGACAAACTGAAAGAGGGGGGAAAAAATCACAGAAATTGGAATAGTTTTTAACCTGTTTTATTGACTGAAAAGCCTTCCACCTGCATGTTATTGTTTTTTTCCATCTTAAATAGCAGTCAAGCACTATTTTAGCCTCCAAGCTACCTTAACCACTCCAGTTCACCACAGTCTTGCCACCAGACAAAGATCCAGCCCTTCTCTCTTATCTGCTCTTGAGAGCTTTCCCTCCCTTTTCTGGCAGCTCTAGTGATCTAGAGTTGAAGTCTGTCTTTTGTGGTGAAAACCTGCACTTAGATTAATTTATACCCATGGAACTCTTGGCTCCTAATTTGCAGGGGAACATAGTTATTGCAGCAGTTTAATTTTAATAATTAGTCCTTGACTGAATGAACAGTATCTTTATCTTCCTCTTACTATTTTCTTTGAGTCAGCTTTTTCCTGAGGTACATAAAATGTTCACCACCTTTGTCCTAAATTAAGCCAATATACAAATTTTCTTTTAGTCTAAATTTCAAGAATTGGAAATACCCATGACCAATTCCTCTGTTTCCTGTATAGCAGAAACCTGAGTATGCTAAAGGAGGTTCTAAGTCACTTCTGTTTTTAATAGATGTTCAAAGATAAAAAAATCTTTCCTGCTCAGTGAAAGATTAATAAAACAACAAATAAGAAAATACATTGTATTAAGGCTGATTCAAATTCTGTTCAAGTTTTAGGAGAAAATAGTAAAGCTAAGACAAATAAAAACCACATTCAGAAAAAAAAAAATAAAGGCAGGGGGGAAAGGCCAGGTTATTTTTGTCAAGTATTCACAACTAAAACCCTAGCCACCAGGTGTCAGCACATTTCCACATTTTAAGAAACAAAAGACCAATTCTTGAATATATATAGCTGTCCAAAACAAAGGACCTGGAATCCTCTGAAACAGCCTAATGTATGGCATTTCAGTGTCCAGCAAGACATTACACTGGGCTCCATTCCACAGCTGAGGAAGGAGCAGACTCAGGAAGGCATGAGGGCTTAGAAATCAACCACTTTGAAACACAGACATTTTATTTCCTTGTGACAAAGTACTACTATTGGCAATACCAGTGAAATGGAAAAGTCAGGGTACGGTGTTATGCAAAACACAGGTGCATTTTCTAAACTCCTGCCAATTTTATAGCTCTATTTATTTTGCTGTACCTTAGCAGACTGACCCATCACCATCAATTGTCTGCATATGGTGTAAATATGGATAGTACCTGCAGAAATAAATTAAACAAACAGGTAAGTTCTATAATCCTACCTGAAATTTATGTTAAGCAACTCAATCTTTTTCTTATTATCTGGGTTATTACTTCCAGAGAAGAGCAATCTAATGACTTTTCGTTAAACAAATTAAAAACAAATGATTTTTCTGAAACAACTTCTAATTTACAAAAGATGAAACCATTAAATTCTTCTGCCATATTAGTTTTATTAGTGAAGCTGTATAATCATGAGATTTCATGAGAATGAAATATTAAAAATTTACCAAATCAAATTTTTACTCAGTAACTGCTAGAGAGACAAATCTTACTTTCATCCCCAAACGCCAGGGTCTTTAAAGCAAAACACTACCTCTCCTCACAGACCTTACCTTACATGATCCTTTTAGCCCATCATAGCACTGCCCTGGCAGACACCACCACAATTACATGATATTAACTATGATAAGTGACATGAAGAAATTTGAAAGCAAGTAGAGTTTACAAAAGCATCAAAATGACTTACAAATAAAAACCTGTCAAAAATGTACTTGATTTAAGAAATGTCATAAAATTTTCAAAAATCAGTCTTAGAAGTATAAAAGACAGTGCAGTTCTGGGACACAAAAAAAAGCCTATTCTTCTGTCTGTTTGAACCTTCAGAAAGGGACACCTGTGGCAGCAGGAGGCATCACAATGTCACCTGTCACAGCTAGAAGGGTGTTATTATGCCAATAAGCTTAAATGGAGCAAGTATTAGGAAGATTTCTTTTTATCAGTCAAATGTGTAATGAGGCACAAAATGTATTGTCTGAAATTGCAGAAAAATGCTCAGGAACTAGGGAAAAACTGAGTTACTGCCTCCTTCTAATTAGAGTAGATTATTGGCTAGGATTGGTAGAGAGACCTGTCCCACTCACAGGCAGTGGGATGTCACAATGGCAGGTGAGTATATTTTAGTTCTAATTCTTCTCCCACAGAAACATACAATCAAAAAACACACCTCAAAAGTAGGGACTGATGGCAACAGCAGTCCCAGCAAAACAAATGGATAAGAATTTTGACCAATCATAGCTCGGAGAAAGTGCATTTTTCAAAATGAAATTACAAACATATTATCTCCGCAGATTACATTGCAACAATTGAATAGTAGTTCAGTTGGTCAAAGCATGGTGCTAACAATGCCAAGGTTGTGGGCTCAACCTGGCCATTCACTCAAGAGTTGGACTTGATGATCGTTGTACGGCCCTTCCAATTCATAAAATAAATAACATTGCCTTTCAATGCAAAAGTATGCTGTTGTAAATTAAACAATTAAAATCTTTAATTAAAATCTTTAATTAAAATTGATAAATCATTCTCTTTGTATCTAGTTTGCAGAAGTTCCATTCTTTTCTCAATTTTTCCCTAATACAAGCATTTACAATCAGCACCCTGAAATCTTATACACAGATCAAAATTCTTAAGTACCATATGGTATTTTTTAGAATAGATTTATTACCAACTCTTCCCTTCAAAGTACTTTCAAAAATGTACACAAAGATGTGATGACAGACAATTTTTTGCTCTTAGATCTGAAATTCCCTTTTCAAAAAAACCCCAAAACCCAACAGCAAACAAGCAGAAAAAAAACAAAACCAAAACCAGAAAAGCCCCACCAACCAAAAAACCAAGACAAAATTAACTCATCAAAACAAACATTTTATTGATAGAAAAATCTTGAGCTTTTTTTGTTAATCAGGATTTACTCCAAAAATGTCCTTACTTTTGATTTCATTAATATTCTTAAGCACATGATGATGAAAAATTTGATGCTTTCACAACAGTCCACCTGAAAATGGACACTGTGGAAATCCTAATTTTAAAATCCCTTCTATTAGAAAAACAAAAAATTACAAAAAACCCTACTGTGATTGAAGACTAACTAGAGATTTTTTCATGACCGTTGGGTTGACCTTGAAGAGCATAAAGAGTATAAAAGTTTCCCTTCACAGCTTTGCTTAGCAAAGAAATGTAAATGGAAAGCCTGAGGTACCATTGTAGATAAGCCAACACAAATTCTCCTGAGGTAGAGCCACTTGCATAGTGAGTCGTAATGAGGCCAAGACACTGAGACAAGTCTGCAGGGACTCTCGATTCTGAAGATTCCTGTCTCTGCTGCAAACCATCTCATAAATACAAACATTTCTCGCTTGCAAAGCATGGAACTAAAACACATAGAAATATTTATAAAGTTAATTAAAATATAAGCATATTTCAGTTCACATCAGCAAAGTACAAAAAAATGGTAAGGAAAGATTAGGTATAACAGGAAAAAAAATCAGCATAACATTGAACTGAGCATTAGAATACTGAGAAAATGCTAAAGCTTCAGGGTTGCTGTACCATTAACCTGAGTCAATTTCCACTGTGTCACAGGATGAAAACACACCTAGTGCACTAGGAGTGCTGGAAGTGGTGTAGGGAGAATGTGGCATTGAACTGCTATTCAAATAATCTAGCTTTGACACTTGGCTTCTCTGTAGAAGTCTTCCACAAACTAAGGCAAATTTTAACTTACCTATACTTCTCCATCTATATCACCAATATCTTATTTCTCACTCTCATCTGTTACTTTTCCCTTCCACAGATGGATTTATTCTTCTCTTCCTTGTAATACCTAATGTGACCTCAGTCGTGCCTGAACTACAGCATCAGCTTAAAAACTGGGCTTAATGGGACATGACCAGTCAGTACCTATCAATCTCTCAAAGCCTCCTAAACTGGTAACTTTTGAAATTATATTATTTTGTTGCAGTTAATTTACCAAAGCTGGAAGTTTCTAGCCCTGAAATGCCATTTCTTAGTGTTACATTAAAAAAAAAAGCGCAGTGGGAACATGGCAAAAAAAATTACACCTAGAGCCTTTAGATGTGATCATTTGACACTTTATAATTTTCCATTTCGAATTGTAGGGATCATTGCCAAACTAGATTCCATATCTGAAAATTTAGGGATATCTTAGTCTGTAAAGGCCAAGTTACAGAACAGGCATTTTAGTATGGGCTGCAATAACATTTGCCAGTAGGACTGGTTCAAACATACAGAAAACAGAGGAGAGCATCTCTTGAACTTAAAATTTATTTACAAAACATTTTTTAAAAATGTATTAACACAGTCTTTGGTCATATTCTTTCTAGGAAGCTGAACCACATTTTAAAAACAAAAAAAAAACACAAACCAAGTATCTTTTCTATTATGATTCTGCTTCTAGCTCTTAAGCAAACCATCTGCTTTCTTCTCTTCTCTAAACGCCTATTTACACTCTGACTTGAGGATATGAATTTGATTAGCTCAATACACAGGAGCTGCCTACCATTTCTGTTCATTGCTCTTGATCACAGAGTAACTTGCATTAGTTAATTCAAAATACCCACCATGTACAAAAGTAGAGCTTCTCAGCAAAGAACTGCTTAAAGTAAAATATAACATGTTTTTAGCATTCTTCCTATATCAACTGAAACACTTTCTTCCACGAATAACTAAAGGCATACTGCAAGTCCCAGCTTTGATAAGCAGTTAACACAAAAGTATTCCAAAACATTCTTAAGGTCACTTGGCTTCCTAGAGCTTAAAGCACTTAGAAAATTATTCAGCATTTTTCCCTTTTTTTTCACAGTGAGAAAATAAGCTAAAAAAAAAAAAAAACCTGCTTTTCTAACTGTCGTGTCCTTTTATAACAAGTGGTATTTTGTACACTTATGGTACAAAATACAGAAGAATGTTTTAATTGTCTTGCATTCTGCCTAGTTCTTAGATCATGCAATACAGAAATTTCCAGAATTGCAGGACATTTATCAAATTTTGCCTACATCCTGATTCTGACAGTGGATAATAGCAACTATTTCAGAGCAAAAACTGCTGTAAGCAGTGACAGAACACCACATTCAGAGAAAACTGCTGTTTTAACACTAAGTTGATGGTGGTTGGCTTCTGCCATAAAAGCATTAGGCACTTACATCCTCTTAAAAATATACACCAATTCCAGATGTTCATATCATACATATGATCATTAAATCTCAATGCAATTGATATCAACAAACTATTAAATATTAGTTAATGTTAATATATAATTAATATGAAGTACATTCATGGAGGATAAAATGGACTACTTACTTTGAATCTGTGAATGTCTTTGACCAGAAAAAATTTTAAAAACCCACAACCTACCATAAGTGCTGCTTTTTTGTCTTTGACACCGTTTGGAAAAAAAGTGGATTTAAAGCAGTCCACATCATTCATGACATCATCAAGGTTTACAGAAACAAACTGCTGAAGGTATCTTTCATAACACTGTACAAGTGCCAACTTATATTCCTGAAAAAAAAAAAAATCATAAGTTCTTTTTATGGTTTGTATATTGCATTTCTATTTCTACAAAATGTAGTTTTTTATTATCTTTATGAAAAAAGTAACAACGTGAAAGAGCAACAGGAAGTAAAGCACTACAGTTTCATACAAATATCCAGCAATGTACTGTGAACACTCAACATATGAAAGGTTGAAATACTTAAAAGAATGGCTTGTGCTTTGCAAGTTTTAGTGGGTTTTTTTATTCTAATCATAAATACGACATATTAGATAACAATAATAAAGCAGGGTGCTGGGCTAATGTAATTAAGAGTTGCTGGAATACTCTACAACTTCATAACAGTAATGACAATGACATTAAACTTCAGAAAAAAGTACTTCATAATGTAGAACTTTATAAGCAATATATAGCTATAATAACTTCTCTCTTCCTTGTTTCCATGTTGTCAAAGCTTTCTTTTTTCTTTCTTTTTTTAATATAAAAGAGAGAAAGAGAGTAAGATGCCTTAAAAAAAGATTGAAACAAGTGAAAACTGGAATTTACATATGGCCAAGAAATCAGCATTAATAGACCAGAAATTGCCACTGGGTCTTTAAGAACTGCTGGCAAGGAAGATGTTGAGCTTTATGTCTCATTCCAAATAGAGCTCCCCAGCAGCTTGTCGAACCACTCCAGAATCATGCTGACTCTATGGTTCAGCTCTGACTCAGATCTGGAAGTGACATTTACTGAATCATCACCACCACTTCCTTCAGCAAGGATTACATTTAGGTTTTTCTACCAATTTCACTAATTCTAGCACACACCAAATAAATTTTTGAGGAAACAGTAACTAATTTCTGCTGCTAAAAATGATCTTTAACATTTAATCACAGAAAATTCTTATTTCCTTGCACTCCCTTCTTTTTCTCAATATAAATTCCTTCCAGCACAGTGACACCTTAAATTTTTCATCATCTGAGGAGTCCAACTCACATGGCGCTATTATCCTATTTGCTGTGTGAAAGCAGCAGCCATACCTAGAAACTTTGACTTTCTGTGGACAACTATGGGCAGTCAGTCACTTGTGTAATCTAATATGTACATTGAGGCTGTGATAACACTTAGAATCCAAAGCCATCAATCAGAACACCATTAGGATAGTTACTGACATATAACAAAAAAGTAAATTCTCTCCTGAACTGTTTAAAACGTGTGTATGACCGAGGATAACAGGCAGATACAGACAGAGTGGAGGCAGGGAAAAAACGAGTCAGTGCTGATCATATGATGACTAATGGACTAAGTAATTTCCAGATATATGACTTAATGAATTTAGGTGTGTCCTAAAAAACACATAGCAGATGTATTATAGGAAGGAATCTAAAGGCATTAAAAAAACACAGCAGTAGGACAGAAAGCTAAGTGGGTGCCTACCCACTGACTATTTTTTAAGGACTACACATCATTATTATATAATGTGAAGGTTAAAACATAAAAGATTCAACACTAGTTTTCAACTAGGAGTCAAGAGGGGTACTTATGGAATAGACTTTACCCCACCTATCACAGACCCTGGTTTTACACCATATCCATCCTTCCTGTAATGCATTTGAAATTTGCAACATCCGCCCCTTGTTGTTTCTATATTTCTTTTCAAGGAAAAAAATTGAATGAAAACTAGGTTTTCATTCTAAAATTAAGTTTAAAAAGTGCACTTTAAAAAGTGTGAGTTCCAAAAAGAAGTTGAAAGTATTGGGCTGGCCAGCAAAACAACTTCTTCAGCAACACCAATTACTGTAGAAAAACACATTACACTAGAAGATTGAAGCTGCAAGCAGAAGTCTTTAAGCAGAAACATGGATTATTTTCATGCAATCCAGGGTCATGTCATTAAGCACCTTGAACATAAAGACCAAACTATATTGGAGTGCTGCTTTGGGAAGCCAGTGCAGAGTACAGGGAGCAGCATTTGATACTTTTAAAATAACCTGTGAGAGCAGCAGTTTGCAAGCACTAAAAGCATCATGTAATGTTTCAAGCAATTCCTAGGGCCTAGAAGCTATGAAAACTTCAGGAATATTTTTTATGGGAAAAAGAACAAATAGTATATAAAAATGTATTTGCCTTATTGTGTCAGATCAATAGTTACTAGCCTGGTGTCCCATCTCCAACAGTAGTCAGTAACATACAACTAAGTAAAAGCATAAAAATAGAGTTATCATATAATGAAACATCCTTCAAATAATACTCTGGCTTCAACAATCTAGCTCCTGAATCCCTTTTAGTTGTGATCTCCCCTGTTTGAGGAGACCAGAAATGAACACATAATTCAAGATGCAGAAGCATCACTGATACATATAGTTGTACAATGTGCAATTGCACTCTGGTTTTTATCCTCTGATCCTCTCCTGACAATTCTTTTTATCCATGGTTGGTTAACTGAGCATGGAGTTGGGTCAGTGGAACTTCTCTATCATTGTCAGTTTGTACTTTAACAGCATTAAAGTCACGGTCAGATATTGTACTCTACCATGCTGAAACATCAAACAAATATTAAAGAAAGATTTTTGGGTGTTTGAAAAGGCAATAGGTGCATAGAAAATAAAGATATAGAAAATATATTCAAAAATCAGGACAATTTTACAATAAAAAAGCAAGAAATACAAACAATCAACTGTCACTGGAATTATTTTGTGGAAGTTTTTGCTACTTTCTAAATAGCGTTCAGTAAAATATGATTAAAAATTAAAGTTGCATAGAAACATAATGAAACAAAGGCTATGATTGAACCTTTTCTCATTCAAATGACTTACTTTGATCTGAGCAAGGGTATCACCAACTTTCACAAGTCTTTCATTGTAATACCACTCTGGTAGTCGTGGCTTATATTTGATCCATATGTCAAACAAAGTATTTGCTCTAAAAAAAAAAGTACAGGAAAAAAAGTTACAGATTAAACTGGCAGTAGACCTGTCATAACAAGTAAACAAATCAAGAAGACTTCAAATTGTGAAAACTCTTTTCTTCCAAATCTATTTGAACTTCTACATATTTCAAAACAAGTGATCATTAAAATCAGATTTAACAGGCAGACAAGGACATTTCTGGGTTTCATTTCTGTCACCAGTTTTTACTATACATTTTAAATAGGATGAATTTTCTCCCATGTAAATTCTCATTAAAATGTCCTAGTAATAATTCCCTTTGTTGTTCAAGCACAATCACAAGCACAAAATCTGTCCTACCTTTCAGCTAGTATTTGAGAAGCCCTGTTTGAAGAAAAAAATTGATATTTTAGACTCAATGAATTACCATTCACAGCAATTATTGGACCAGAAACTACAAATGTTAAGAGCAGGAAAAAAATCTCAAAGTAACAGTGTATGGTCAGGTAGTTGCAACCTTGGGAACTGGTAGCCATGGGAAAAACCATAAAGATACAGAGTATACAGAGCTATAGAATACAGAGCTCATGGTATACAGAGCTACACCATGAGTCAGGAAACAAGATTTAAATTGTAAGTAGGATTCAGAGAGAACCAAATGACATGCTTGCTAAAACAGAGAGGATTTTATGGCAATAATTGTGATGCTCTTCTGTTGCCTCTGTCTTATTCTAGCCACAGTTGTCATCAAGGATTCTTTGTGTAACAAATTGCCTATTTTGCTGAACCAGCAAGCCTCCCACAAATGGTAACAGATTCTAAGCAGTTCCTGACTGCTACAGAGACACCGACTACATCGACTACATCGTGCCAGTACTACAGTCCCTACCAACCATGGCTTGATGGCCTCATGCCCCCATGTGTACAACTTCCCCACACTATGCTTCTTTAAGAAAGCTACATTCTAGCTGGAATACAATAACTGATCAGACAGACTGCAAATTAGCACTGGGACTTTTTCAAAAAAGATTCCCGTTAACAAATCATTACCAGTATTGATAGTGTTCACCATCCCAGGCATCTCTTCCATTTATTCTCATAACAAATCACTTGTCCAGAAATGTCAGCAGAGTTGTGATACTGCTACAGCCAAATTATTTATAGGTAGCAATTTATGAGGAAAGAGAACAACTGAAGAAACATAAATTAACATTTAAAGACATTAACATCTGAAAAAAAATATCGTTCTAGCCGAATTGTCATGCATAAACCATATGTGTACTGGTGTGAGGTAGCTGGAACTTTTCAGCTTCTCTTAAGACTGGGTAGATCAGAACTCAAGACACTTTCTTAAACTCTTCTCTTGACATTCAAGCACTTAGAATGCATTCTCAGTCTCTCGTATAACTCTTCATTTCAGCTTATAAGAACACTCTCAATTTTAAAAAAAGCACAATAAATAACATTTTTTCCACACAGAAAGCTGTGAGCCACCTTCACATTTCAAGGTGAAACAGATGGCTTTATGAGAAATCTGTCAAAATTATCTTTACAGCAAAGAAATGCAATCATAATCCTTTTATTTTTCTAAAAGTATCATCTCATCACAATTCTCAGTTCTTGAAAGAAAGCAGTAAGGAAATAAGTAGGACATCCTAGAGGTGTATCCTAAAGGAAAAATGCAGTAACAGCACAAACTAGGCCAAAAGCAACAATCAGAATAAAATGTTCTAAGGCATTTTTAAGGAGAATTTTTTTAAGGAAACCATAGCTCAGTGAAATGAAGGGCACTTTCCAAATGGATGGGAATGAGTCCCTCCTGATCCATCCTTAACAATTAACAGTCTGGGTGGGTACTGAGTTCTTACACTGAGAAAAATATTCCACACTAGTTCTGCAAAGAGGCTCCAGAGCAAAGGAATCTGTCAGGCAGCTGAGCAAAGTTCCCTTGGACTATTAAAGGAAGAATTTAGGAAAACACCTTCAGAGACCAGGAGATTTGATGGATATTAGGGGGAAAGGGGAAGAGGGGAAGAAGAGGGAAAAAAGATAGAAAGAATGACCCTAGATGAAGCTCTGGAAAGGTAAGACTAGTACATTTCTTTAAGACTGATCAGATCTAAGTCCCCAGCAATGGTCATCTTCATTTTTTGCTTTGAATGTTCATGTTAGCACGTGAGATTCTCAGCTCTAATAAACAAGTAACAAATCTGTAAAAAACTAGTTTAGCAAAGTACTGACGGAACTGACCAGACTTTCAGCTTCAGTGGGAAGATTAAGGTAAAATGATTCTGCTATAATGCCATGACTAACTTCAAGTGAGTTCATGACACAAGAATGTTTCTTTGACACAGACAAAAGAGGAGCATGAGACATTTCCCAAACAGCTCCTCAGCCTTTCCTATAAGCAGCCTGTAGGACACAAGAGAAACGAGTTAAGCAAGTGAATTCCTAAAAAAAAAAAGGGACTGTTGGAACTCAGAGGTGAAATTTCTTTATTTCCACCCATAATAGAAAAAATTTCCCTAAGGTCAACCCATAATAGTGTGCACAGGATAAGGCCCACGTTAAATCACGTTAAAAAGGCCCAGGTTAAAATCTTTACTACAAGTATAAAGAATTCTCTGATACTTATCAAAAGCCATCTTATTAAATAAGGGTAGCTAAGCCACACAACATGAGATAAAATCAATAGTTCAAGGTAAAGTTTTTGATGGCTCTGCTGCCATGAGAAATGGGGCAAAACAACTTCTTGTTTAGTTGAGGAAAAATTACTTTTGTTGCTATTTCCGACTGAAAGGATCTGTGATACCAGGGCAAGCCCTCAGTAATTTTTGTTTCCTACATTAGAACATTTAAGTGCCTAAATTATGGCCTTTCTGTTGACCTATAAAAACCAAAGGTTGAAAGAGTTGGAGGAATATAGCTCATAATTTTATTTTTCTAAATGGAACATACGTGCCATGTGGAAGCTGTTTTCTTGCTGCTTGTAGAACAAGAACACTTTGATCTCAATCCATGCTACAAAAGACAGCTTAAAAAATGACATAGCAAAAAATCTTTAGAGCATTTAGGAAGGCAACTGTAATAGCCATTACCTTCAGAAATTCTTAGGACCAGACTACAGCTGGTTCTGCAAGCATCACATGCACCAATTTTGAGTTATCAAACAATGAAGCAGTAGGGAGAGAAATCCCTAAAATGTCACAGTCACAAATAAATAGTCTAGACTTTGCTAACTGCCCGAACATACGCTTATAATCAGAATTCCAGTCTTCTACCTCTTTACTGTCCATATAGAAATGAAGAACGCCTGAGGATGCAGAGCTACTGGGAGCTTCATGTTACTCAATATTCCTAATGCCCTGGAATTTTGGTAGGGATCATTACCACCAGAGACTTCTGGGATCAAGGCCTTGATAGAGTGAGTTCTCATCTCCATGATGAACACTGCACATTTCTTCAGATGTGAAAATGTTCTCATGCCAGCCAAGGTATTCACGGTAATGTGTCACATCCACAAAATACCAGTTTGAATAAGGCAGAACTTACTTAGGTTTGAGAGGTAAAGCAAAAAAAGGCTTGGAGACACTTCACAAAAATTGGTAACTTAGCACGATATTGCGAACAGATTAGATTCAACATGGCCACCTCCCAACTAGAAGATACAAAGAACACATAGAAGAATCACTGTTGGCAATTTTGATGGTGTCTGAAGCAGCCAAGTAGTGTTACTTCTTCTAAGTGGGCCTGGAGAGACTAATTTTTAATATAGTAACACCTATCAGCTAAAGCTGAAAAGAAAAGGTTTATAACTATAAAAAGGCTTCAAAATCAGCTGCTGAAACAATATAAACAATATAAAAAACCAAACATGGTGAGATTCAAAGCACTAGAGGCAAAAACCTGGAGACTGATACCTACATGATACTTCTAGGCCTAGACCTGATGATGAACATGCCCCATAAACAAATTAGGAAGCCAGATAGCTTAGAACAGGAAAGATCTCCAGCTCAAAGGCCAGGCTGCAGAATCTGAACACCTTCTGAAAATGTATACACGTACTTCAGAGCAGGGTAATTTGTGGACTATTTTTAGGAAATTACTGAGCAAAATATGCAAGGATAAAGGCTGCACCTAAGCAATAAGGTAATGACCCTGTAACCTAACTCCTATGCTGTTTTTGAAGGAACTTTTGAAACCCTGGGAAACTTGTGGGGTGTATGTTAAAGACCTGTACATTTAGAACAGAGTAGTATTCAGGTAACAACAGAAAATCAACTATTCACCTTAAAAGAAGTAGTTGAGCTCTCATATCACAGTGCCTAATGCAGCAGGGAGAGCTACATGAGAAATGCACAGTCTGTAAAAGACATATGTATGCACTATGAATCACAGACCGATTCCAGTTGCTCTATCTTAACGGCATTACAAAATCTCGACTTATGCATACCCACAGATATGCATGTACGCGAGCAAACAAATATGCACTATTATACCTGCCATATGCTCTGCCTGCATCTATGTGTATAAAAATACACCAACGTAGACAGAGACATATGCACAGAAAGAGCTGTGTGCTGTTATCCTCGTGTAGCCCTACTTTTGAAGGCATGTACGTGCCCACAAGTGTTCACCCTCGCACGCAGCAGCACACGCTGGGGGGCTGCCAGTCCCTGCAGCACTGTCAAGGGATTTTCCCACCAGGAAGCTCAGGCAGCTCTGGCAGAACCAACAGTGGTGCTGCCAACTTCCACAGCCCCTCGTGCTTTTTACCTAAAGCGCTGACTTCTAGGAAGTAGTGAGAAGAGAGAAAATAAATAAAATAAAATAAAATAAAATAAAATAAAATAAAATAAAATAAAATAAAATAAAATAAAATAAAATATTAAAAAACCGCGGTGTTCAGATTCTGAGGAATTTTCGTTGCAATGAAAAAGTACTATTAAAAAAAAAAAACAAACACACAAAAAAATCGGATTGCGGGTGCTTTGGCAGACTGCTGGGGAAGTTCGTTCGGAGAGCAAACTCCTGGCTATCTCCCAGTGCAGCGGGCGCGGTACTCGCACGGCAGCCCGTGGCTGCAGCGTGAGGGGGAGCCGAGCAGCGGCGGGCCGGAAAGCGCAGCCCGGCGGGAAGAGCCCGCGGGGCGGCTGAACGAGCACAGCGAAGCAGGAGGGGTGCGGCCGAAAAAAGGAGCTGAGGCAGGGGCAGAGAGAACCAGGGCCAGCGGCTGCCGGAGCGGGCGGCGACGCGGGAATCGGGGTGGCGGCGCAGCCCTACCCGTGGCGGTGCAGGTCGTGCTGCGACGGCTTGGCCTCCCTCACGCCTCGCAGCCGCCGCAGGGAGCTCAGGACGCGCCGCAGCTCGGCCTCGAAGCTGTCCACCACCGGGTTGCCCCGAGCCACGGGCCCGAAGAAAGCGGCGTGCTGGGCCTGCGGGCCGGCGGCGGGGGGCGGCGGCCCGGCGGGCTCCGCCATGCTCGGGTCGGCCCGGGCCCGGACGCTGTCTCCGGGCAACGGCCGCGGGCAGCGGCCCCGCGGGGCCAGCCTGGACGAGCCCGGAGGTGCAGCACGGCGCGGCTTTTCCACAGCCTGTTTCATCGGGGATGGCACTTTGCACTTACTGATTGTGTCGCTGTGCCTACTGCACGGCTACGAATAAAAGAAAAAAGTGTGCTTACCCGCTAAATGCTTATGTTTGTCTGTTGGGGAAAGAAAAGGGAAAAAAAAACAGTAAAAAGTGAACTTTCGAAACTAGGAAACTACCAGCCCGTATTTATGTTATAGGAGGTGCCTATAGCAATCTATGTGTTTTGAAGTTCTTTACAGACACCGTGGTAAAGAGGTTTGGGAAGGATGTGAAGGAAACTGACTCTGTTGCCCTGTTCGTCATCACGATGAGTGTAAGGGACAGCTGAACTGAAAACATGAAAGTGAAAGAAATGTGGTAAGTGGGCAGAGTGTCCTGGCAACCAGGGCCTTTGGAGGCAGTTTCTTGACAGTGAATGGAAAAGGATCAATAGAGATAGGAAAAGCAAAGAAACACTTGAAAACTGCATTCAGATAATTCATAGATGACAACAAAATAACTACACTTCCAACAGCTGGAGACACACAGCATCAGCATGCTGAATTATTGGAATCAGAAAATACTGCATTAGCAAGGTCAAAGAAATGACATGGGAATCATCTAGCTACTATTCATCCTTGGAAAATTGCGAAGATGCGAAAATATGATTAATTTATGACTAACATGTCTGACTCACTTTACACATTGATTTTGTATTGTTACCTGCTGGCAGTTGTGTGAATCCATTGTCCAACAGGTATTGTGAGACTATGGGAAGATCCAGTGACAATGGCTATGCATTTAGGTGACGGCAAATTTAGACAAAGCACAAGAGGGAGTGGGTTCCTCAGATATGTGTGAAGGAGGTAGAAAATGAAGTCTGCAATAAAAAGACATGGCAAAAAGATTCTGATGCAGAGATTTAGAAATCACTGTGTTCAGAGACAAATTTTACAGAACAAATGAAATATGAGAACTTGGCTTGCAGAGCAGCTACTGCAACTTTTAAAGATTTTTGCCTGTGCTTTGCCATGCTAACAAAAGAACTCCCTGTGATGGATACCAGATGACTAATACAACACTGGCCTCCTGGGAAAAGTGGCCTGTGCCACTGTATGTATTGCTGGTGGCATTCGTTTCAAGTCCCTGTGAAGTTCTGAGCTAGCTTGCCTCACTAGATGGTGCTGCATCCCAAAGGGCTGATATTCACATTCATGGAATGCAGGGAGTGCTGTTCTCAAACCAGCAGTGCCTAGAAGCTCCAAGGGGAACTTGAGAGACTGGAAACGAGACTGCTGAGTAAAACCTTATGTATCTCTAATATTTGGGTAGCAGATGGGGGAATGAATATAACATTTGTTATCTGGATTAGCTTTTCAGCCATAGAAAACAAACTGAGTCAAGGAAAACAATAAAGGAGAGGGAGTATAGCCATTCCCCAGAGGGCAAGATTGCAGAACTATGTAAAGATAAAGCTTTAACCAGTGGGAGGTTAACCAGGGCATAGTTGGTCAGCCAGCTCGTGAGGAGTGCATAGCCTAAAACTCCTGGGTCAGAGTTCAAGAGGATCAAAGCATGCATTCCCTGTTAGGTGGAGGTTTAATGTATGGAGGGCAATTCTGACCCTCTCAGCACCAAGGGTGGACATTAGCAAGGAACTACCACCACAAACACTATGGTGTGTACATTATTTCAGTTTTGGATGCTTACAATATTGATTTCTATTATACTGTTCTGGGGAAGACTGGAGTTTAAACTTCATGTAGTCTCCATCTAACATTGTGTTGAACATTTAATTGGGTCCAAAAGTCAAAAAGGCTTATAGATAAGTGATTAGAACTTTTTAACTGCAGAAGGAGTGCAGATTCTTCAGAAGCATTCAGCTCATATAACCTGATCTTTACAGAGAAAAGTTTGATGTATACAAAACAGTAAGAGTGATGGCTACTGAAGTTTTAACCATGATAGGATAATTTCCTCAAAAGATAGAGCATACTTGTATAACTTGGAAAGTTTATAGCAATTTTTTTGAATTACCTTACATTAGGGTCCCTACAACCTAAAAATATGTAGTCTGTTGATTGGAAGGCTAATGATTCATTCATCATTGGTAGGTGAACATTTAGATAATAATTTGAACTACAGTAACATTAGGGAGAAAGTAGGACAGATTATGGAGCATTGGCATGGACAAGAACCCAAGAAATGGAACTTAGGTAAATCCTTTGACCCAAAGAGAGAGGATTTAGTGACCTGTGCTTTAATACCACCAGATCAGATAGAAGGAAGCTGCCTCATAAATAGAAGCACCCACAAAGAGTTAACGTAGTAAAAACCCATATAAGGAAGTGTCTGCTTTGGGGCTAAGAGTATGCTTGAACTGTAAAGGAGGAAAACCTTGTTGCTAACTCATCAAGCTGCCTGCTTACTTCTTGTGTCTGTCCCACTTGTGTGAACAGCAGTGGTTACTAAGAGCAGACAAAAGGGGGAAACACTGCATGATCACAGCAGAGTTGGGCAGGAAGAGTGTGCAGTGATATCTGGGTTCAGGGGCTGAGGTAATGTCTGCTGAGCCCCATCTAGTACATCAATCAAATTTTGCTTCCTATGGATAATTCTCAGATGCATGTTCAGATCTCTTTCTAGGATGCTTGTAGCAAATATACACCTGAATTATGGTGCCAATAGACTTTGCTGTTTGATATTCAGAGACGAGAAGCAGTCATGGATGCTGCATCGCCAGAATTCTGCAGGGTAACTTGACAGTCCCCAGGGATTTGAAAGAGCTACATTTATGTCATCTTTTCCTTGATGCTTTCAGGAAAAATAGTCTGAACTGAAATTATTCTGTGCCATCACTTAGTATCTCAGGCTGATAGGCTAATGAAGACATGAGAATTTAAAGTAATGCTTAATACACTTAATGTACTACATATTCAGAATGGGCATCTGCATTTACTGTAGTTGCAGTATGCCTGCCTGGTCCTGAGAGCCAGTGGGAATCCACTTTGGGTAGGGTATTCTCCTTTGAGTAGGAGTGAATTGTTGAATTAAAAAAATAGAAGAAAATCTAGAGAAATAAGCAATAGCAGGTGTGTAGTGATTCTTATGGAGAAATTAACTGTGTGAGTTAGTCAAGCAAAACAAGGTCAAGGAAATACATCATCTTATATGATAGTACAACATTTACTATTTACATGCTATAGAGGAATCATGTATAATACAAAGAAATGGCTCTAAGTTACCCAATAAAGCTGATAAAACCCCATAAAAAGCCATCAGACAGCTGGAAGAAGTGAACTTCAGAAGCTGCTGAATCCCAGGAGCACTGGCACTTTATAAATATGAAGAAGTTGTCCAATGACAGTGGGAAAAAATAAGAACTTGTGCTGAGCTTACAAGAGGCAAAACACATGCTGGAATTAATGGACCTTCCAATATAACTAACTGTACAGGAAGCAGAGAGGTGCAGCAGACCTGCAAGCTTCTTGCTGTCACCTCCTGTGGCACTTGTCTGTACCTACAGCTAATGAGACACATATGGAAATCCTGGACCTTTATGAGCAGCTTTGAGAGATTATATATAGTCAGCATTTCCTTCCCACCTCCTTGCTTCTGGGCTGTTTTTGGTAAAGCTGCTTGTGGCTTACTGGAAGTGTCATTAGACTCAGATGCCTTACTTAAATCTGCCTTTACATTCAATTAAAATTTGTGGATTCCTACCCTTATCTAAGGGCTACTTACTACCTTTCCATAGGGAAGTTATCAAGGAGATGGGAGATACAATGTCCTGTTTTGATAGCATTTGTATTTTTTTGCTGTACCATGAAGAAACATACGGTGAACTAGGAAGCTACATGCCTGATTGCAAAGGTAGGGAAATGTGAAAAGATGGTGGGAATGGCTTACTTAGGACACCATACAGTTTTTCAAACAAAGCAGCAGTTCAACTCCTTTACTGAGACAGTGACACATATTTGTAAAATATTTTGGTACTCTTCCTGTCAGTGAGCAGTATACAAAATTTGTCAGATAATGGCATGGTCTCTGAACTCTGCAACATAGACTAACAATAGGTGAGGCATGTGTGTCTTTTCATGAGACACTGATGACTTTTTAAGATATAATGAAAGCAGATCTGGGACAGTTTAAATGCAAGTGAAAGCTAAGAGAAGGAAAATGCTAAATTTTCACTTGAAAATGGTTTTTGGCTTCCTTTCTGATCTAGTTCATCAATGTTGTAAGAGGAAGGAAAAAGAGTGATCAACACAGGAAAGAACTGCAACGACTGAGAACTGTGCCAGTGCCAGGTTCTTACAGAGCTGTGTTCAAGCTTGGGGTGACAGTTGTTTCTGTGTTTTCATTGTATTATATGAAAGGCTTCAGTGTCAAACTCTAAAGATGATGTGAGAGCTTTCAAGCTTATCGTATATGTATTTTTTTTTCTTTTAAAATCTGAGTGTGGATGCTCACAAAAAGGTTTTTTCAATTTCCTTTTATAATTTTGAAAATTTTCTTAGGCATATAAATTAATCTCAGTTGACTTGCAGAAAATGGGAGAAATCTGGGAGAAGTGATCTTGTTCAGCTGATTTTTCCCCCCATTGCAAAGAAAGTGTAGGAGTGTGTAATATTTGCGTGAACAATCTGTGAGATTTGACTCACCCACTCAAGTTGTATCATTATGCATTGAGTGGGTTAAGCAGTCTTTGGGGAGGGAGATAGAGCAGGGGTTTTATATAGGTGCTTGAGTTTGTAAGAGGTTTAAACTGAAACATGACAGATTCTGAGATCTTCATAATGGACTTAAGTGCCAAAGGTAGCAGTTAGAAATATGAAAGTCCATGAGTGACTTTCCAAAAATGGAAATATTACTTCAAGGAGAGAGTTTGCCTACAGTTCATGTTGTT